AGCCCAGCCATGCCCAGTCCACCGGCTGAACCAGGAGAGATGATACATTATTGTTTAAGCCACTGAATTTTGGTGGTGTTTGTTACACAGCAGTAGATACCTGAACTTTTTTATATGTAAAATACAACAAGCAGCCTATTTAGATAAATGTGTGTAAGTATCCACAAGCAACACACTCCTGATCTAGAACGATTCCCAATTCTCATTGCAGGACATCTCCAATTGCCTCCAACAGTTTCAAGAATATTGTGAATGTTAAAAATAATCTTAAAATACAATTGATTTAATTTGGAAAAGATAAATATGTAAATACAGCTCCTTATGGAAGGAATTAAATATATCTAAGACAACTATACTTTAAATCAATCTTTGCTTTTAACAGGTAGAGTCACTTATCTACAAGTGATCCCTGCACTGGAAAGGCCCAGAAACGGGCAAGCCTCCACTGTGGCTTCTTGAGCCTCAGGGCCTTGAAACGTGGCTTGTCACTTGGGAGCTGAATTGGAATCTGGATTACAGAACAAGATCTCCAGGTAAGTCGTATCCCATTCCAGTTAGAAGCATGAGGCATAGATCAGTTGGTCCTGAACTTGTCTGCACATGAGAATCATCTAGGAATCTTAACAGTTCCAAACTCCAGGCCACCGGGACACAGCACTGGATGGTTTTGAACCGTCCCAGTGATTCCAGGTGCAGCCAGCCTGGGAACCACCGGTCACTCCAGGGAGAGCGCTGGTTCTCAGGCTTGACCAGACAGTAGGACCACCTGGGGGCATCCAACATACTAATGTCTGTTTTCACACCGAAAAAGTCTGAGGTTACTGGCCTCAGGTGTGACCCAAGCCCTGGACATTTTTTAAGCTCCCTGAGTGATTCCCACATGCAGCAAGTTTGAGAACCGGGGACCTACAGCCTGACACAGAGGGTTCAGAGTGGGAGCTGAGCCTGCGCTGCCCTTTCAGGAAGAGGATTTTGAAGGCAGTGAGCATCCAGTAAAGTGAACAGTTGGCCTCACAGTTTTCAGCTCACTCACCAGGTAGAATGACAGCACCGAGCTCGCTGGAGCTCGGGTCTGCCAAACCGTGTGGGCCGCCATGAGCTCTCCTCCAGCCCACTTCTCTTCTCTTCTGTTGGGCTGCCTTTCAAGTGATCAACCGTGAGCATCTGCGCGGCATTAGGAGCAGATATCTTCACCTTCAAAAATAGAAATAAAAACAAATGATGTCATTGCCGCTAGGAAAACAATCAAGCAAATCAATCTCAGAGCCTAAACAAGAATGGAAAGTCAGAAAACCACTGAGGGATTCTATATGCCTTCAGGTCCAACACCAAAAACAAAGCTGTACTACAGCTCGGTCTCAAGAAAGAAGTGGCAGGGGGCTTCTAGAGAAAACAAACAGCTATACAGCAGCTTCCGGGAGAAAAAGCAGAACAGAAAGAGGTTGGTTTCCAAATATATGTATGTCTATGTATATATATCTGTGTGTGTGTATGTGAATATATGTCTCGTATACCATACACTGTGTGTGTGTGTGTGTGTGTGTATATATATATATGCTTTTTAAGAAGATAGACGAGAGGAACCATTTTCATAGAGCAGAGTGTATAGTTTTCAAAAACATGAGAGAATTAATGAAACATGCCCTTGAAACCTTTCTGAAGCAGTGCTTTTCAACCCTGGCTACATATTAGAATCACCTGCGTTGACTGCAGCCGAAACAAACCAGTTACATGTGAGTGAAGTGTGAGCATGTGCATTAGAATGTTGTAAAATCTGCACCTGGTGAGTGTATCTTTGTCAGGATTGGCAGCCACTGATCTAAAGCAAATGGGGGATAAAACTCACAATCTCCAGACTCTGAGTTAAAACCCCAATAAGTCATGGATGAAAAACTGGAAATCCAAGGGGTAAATTCTAGCTCTTAAAGGGCATGTGCATGGCTGTCAGTGAAGTCCACATCTAGAAAGAGGGAATAAACTGGGCATAAACCGCAGGCAGGGGAAGGGTCAGCTGCTTATGGATAACATACATATCCACCCAGTTCTTTTATGAGGGGAGGGTGAAAGAGGGGGAGAGGGGAAGGGGAAGGATGGTGGGGAGGAAGTGGATGGGGGTTTAGCAAGACAAGGAGAAAAGTAATAGTGAACCTGAGAAGTAGGTTCTGAGTCTGACTGGTGGGGATCTGCAAGGCCTCTTCAGAAAGTATCAGCCATGTAATATGAAAAATAGAGACACTTATTGAAGAAGATGCAAGATACAAGAAACATTGTACACGGGACAGTGATGCCTCAGTCCCCTTTAAAGTAGGCACCTTGGGACCTCACGCAGTTCTCCCAATCGCCATCAGCTGTCCCATCATATTTTCCCGAATCTCATAGATGGTCTGAAATCTCTTCCCTTTCAAAGGTGATTTTAGTTTTGGGAAAAGCCAGAAGTCACAGGGTGCCAAATCTGGGTTGTAGGGGAGCTGAGCTGCCTGGGTGATTTGATGTTTTGCCAAAAAAACTCTGCATGAGATGTGATACATGAGCAAGTGCATTATCATGGTGAAGCTGCCAATTGCCAGTTGCCCATAGCTGTGGCCTGCTGAATCATCAAAATAGTTTCTAGGGAGGAATATTCAAGCTTAAAGCAAAATACGATGCAGACTCGTTGCTCTACTTGCTCATTTTGAATGTAACAGCCACACAGTATGCATACTCACTCAACAGCATCCATCGCTCCCACTGACTAACACAGTGAAGTCACCCTTGTTCACACGTGTGCATTCCAGTCCACTCTCCTTGGCTGCCAGGTTACATCAATATCACGCAAATAATTTTGTTATATTAACAATAACTGGACTTTTTCTGGATAGACCTCATATACTTTGCGTGATGTTGGGAAAGTTACTCAATATCTGTGCCTACATTTCCTCAGTTTGAATGTGGGATGTAACCTTTTTCGTAGGGTTGTTGGGAGGATCAAATACAGTAAAAGTCAGCTGTGTCACAACCTAGGTACGGGTGCATTTCCTCTTACTGAACAGTAGGCATTGCTTCATTTTGTTTGATATACATGAAGAAAAGAGAAGTTATCATTCTGAAGCTGGTTTTCTTGAAAGTAAACTTAGTAAAAAATACAGGGTTAGGCTAAAGTAGGTTTACAGTTGTTCGTATGGAAAAAGGCATGCAGGTTATGATGATTGCAATAGCTTTATTAACTCAAAAGAATGTCACAATGCAACCGTAAACCTGCTTTTGCCCACCCCTGTATATTCAATAAATACCTACACGATTGTAAAGCCTGGTTTAAGAGACTTAGTATAACACGTAAATCAAAAATTACCTGATTTAGGATTGAGATGTTAACTACAGTTCCAAAGTTGGTTGTTTGTTTTAAAATATTGTGCATTAAAGAGATACCCCTTCTAATTCCTTCAAGGGAATATTATAATTTTTAACTTTATTAAATTTAGACTTAAATTATTCTTTAAATTATCTTTGACCTAAAAGAAATTATGGTGTAGGTATGTGAAACTGCCAGTAAAAATCTGAAAATAGGACCAATATGTATTGATGTATTGGTTGAAACTTGTGTCATAGGCTTTTTTAGGGGAGTGGGGGTTGATGTTTTGATTAATATCAAGATATTGTTAACCTCTTGCATTAAAATTAATGCAGAAAATTACTGTGTCCAAAACATGGGCTTTTAACCTTTCCTCCTGTTCTGTGGACCTCTTTGGCACCCTTGTGAAATGCCGTCTCCGACTGTTTTTTAAATATTTGAAAGAATAATTTAAGACCATCACATTCTAAGTGAGTACGTAAAAATTAGGTTGGACTGTAAAAATCTGCCCTGCCATTCAGATAAAGGCAGATAAAACCAGTTGCAAAATTAACAGAAAACAATTATTTCTTTCAAAACACAGTAGCAAAGTAGAGTTGTAAAGCGTCAAAGTCGTAAGGACTCCCCGGTTTCAATGGGCCCTCAAGGTTTTAACAGCCACAGAGTAGAGAGAAGTAACCAGCACAGCGAGGGATCAGGCAACAGTACTCTAGAAGCATTGTTACCTTGAGGTGCTGGGCTTGTAGCCAAGAGGAACAGAAGGCAGAACCAGCCCAGAGCAGATGGGAGCTAGTAAGACGCTAAGTTAGAGCTAATGTGAGGAAACGCTTTCTCACCATTAGGGTTAGACCCGAGACAGAAAATCCCCCAACCACCAAAATCAGCATTAAGGTTCCTTTTGCAGCTCTGAGGGGTCCTGAGCAGAACTGGAAGTTCCACTACAACTGTCTGGTGTATGGTCCCATCGTTTGCACAATGTTGCTTTGGAAACTGTTTCTTTGCATTAGTTTTTAAGCTGGCTTCAAGTGCTAGTCCACATGAGATCCTGCAGGTGCCCTTCAAATCTGATGTCACACGGCAGCTTTCATGGCTAGGATCTGTCCCCTCTTATTTTCAGTGGTCTTCAGAGAGGCCAGTTTAGCCTTGGTGATTTTGAATGAGGGTGGTACATGGGGGAGGGCTAGAACTGGAACCACCTGAAGCTTAGATAAGTGGGTGTTAAAATGGGGCCCTGCCTGAACCTCCACAGAGCTCCCCAGCCTGGTGCAGCAACGGGGCAATGGTGTTTGGTGATGGGGCTGGGAGTAAGGAGGGGAGTCAGAGATACTTCCCATCAGTCTTCAGAAGGCCTGGCAGGCCTAGGGAAGCCACTGATGCTTCCATCCCAAACTCCCATGGGTCATGGTGGTCAACTCTGGTCATTACAGCCATCTCGCTTATTATATACTTACAGGTATCATAATGGTTCATTCGAGGTGTGGGTGAAGTGAAGGTGTTGGACGGCTCTGGTCCAAGAGCCCAGGATGCTGCTGATTTGTTGTAAAGCAAGCAACTGTAAGTGACAATGTGCTTAAGGTTCTATTTACAGTCATAAATCAACATCTGCGATAACAGCATGGCAGGCCATAAAGTAGGGTAGCTGATAGCATTGTTTTCTTGGGGTGGTTCAAGGGTCAAAGAAAAGCAGGTCACACAGAATCTTCTTCCTTGTTTGAGTAGTGGAGCCAAACGAAGAAAAACATCCGAGCGGGAGGTGCGTGGGCAGCGCTTCAAGCAGTAGCCTGGGCTACGTGTTGTTAGTGTTGGCCATTTTTATCACTGGTCAGGTCATGTGAAGACAAGTGAGTCCCTCAGAATTGTCTTCCTCATTGTATCCACCGCCTCAAATAAAGATTCTCCTTCACTCAAATGTTTGTTGTCATCTAGTCTGGGCCGTGTGTATGGCGGGGTAAGAGTCCAGTGGTAGAGAGGAGCCCAAAGCTGGACTGGTGTGTTCATCTGGTTTGTTTTGGTTTTCATAGTTGTTGCTGAGGGGAGGTCAGAAAAACAACAAACAAGCAAGCAAACAAGCAAACAAACACCTGGTGATCTTGAAACTGAGACGTGAGGCCAGAACACCAGCCACAACGAGTTAGAAAAAGAACAGACTCCAAATCCAGATGCAGCGTGCTGGGAGGTGGACCCACCAAGCGCCTGGCCTGACTGGTGGGAGGTTTGGAAGCCGCCACCGTGCAGGGACCCGAACCAGAGTGGGGGGCAGGCGGTGGGAAAGGGGACAGGACTGCGCAGAGACCCGCTGCCAGGTTCACTAAGGCTTCCGGTACCCGGGGCACCAGACAGAAGGCGGCAGCCTCCGGCCCAGCCCGCCGCATTCCCAATGTCGGGCGGGACGGGGGCGTGGCTCCGCGCATGCTCACCTCCCGGCCCTCCGCCTTGGCGGAACTCGGCAGGCGCCGGAAGCACAGGCAGCCGCTGCATGGCGCAGGCGGGGAACACCGGCCCTGGGGTCGGAGGGCAGTGGGGCGCGGGCATGGCCCGGGGGCGCGCGCCCTGGCTCTGGGCCCTGGCGATGCTCTGGCAGGTGGCAGCCGCGGGCCTGCCCTTCCAGCGCCAGTGGCCCATACCCTACAAGTGAGTGCGCCCGTAGGGGCGTGGCGGGGCGGGAGCGCGCATGGCCCGGGGTCAGCGAGGCCGGGGATACTTGGCGGGTGGGGGGACTAGCGCCCGCTCTGGGTAGGTGTCCCGGTCACACTGCTGTGCGGCTCTGTGTGCAACGGCTCCGTGTGCAACACCTACGGCTCCGTGTGGAACGAAGTTGACAGCTCCGGAGTGGCCCCTGCTGTTGCATGTAGTCCTGGGGACACTCTTCCTAGGGACACTTGAGCCAGTGACGAATGACAGGCTCAGGGCTGACCTGAATTACAGAAGAAAAAGGGAGTAATGTTGTTTTACCGTGTGATTTGTTAGATTATTTGAATAGTATGAGGAGGCTTTGAATTTCGCGTTCATGATGTCATGCGCCATCATTAGTTATCATCAGTGCTTAACTTTTGGCAGAATTTACAGCTTGGTTGGCCGGGACTTACCGTTTTTATTATAGCTCTAAAATTCCAGAAGTCCTAGGATCCCGGCATTCCTGGCTCCTTGGGTCCCAGGCAAACCCGGAAGGTGATTGACTTTGTCCACTCTTTTAAGTGAGGAGGCGGGTCACTGGTCAGAAGTCTGGTCAGAAGTCGAGGGCGGAGACTGCAAAATTGTGAAGCGGATTCCAACTTTGACCTAGAAGAGTGTTTACTTGGCCTGATACTGTCGGATGGATGGCTAAACGGAGAGAAAGAAAACATGGGGGCGGCATCAGGCATGGGAAAGGCGAGCAAATTTTGAAAACGCACAGCTACTTTGGATGACAAAATAGTGACTGGGAGGACTGAGTTCCGGATTCTAACTGCTGCAGATTAAATCAAGCCCCACCATGACTAGCTGTGAGATCTTGGGGAGTTACTCAGTATCTCTGTGCCCACATGTCCTGAGTCAGGCAGTCAGAATAGTAGTAGCACTTACCTTGGGTATGTTGGGAGGGTTAAATCTAAATGCCAGCTGTGGTCAAACCTGGATATTGGTGTGTTCTGCCCAATGGTTTGTACCAGTTCTCGCTTTGCTTGATACACCTGAATGAGAGGTTTAGGATTGATGCTGGTTTTCTGAGAAATGCTGATAAATGTTCATAAGAAATAAAAATAAATATTCAGTAAAAGAATGAGGAAAATGTAAATCCAAAACCACTTGATTTAAGGGCAGAGTATTGAATATGACTTCCTACGTTTGTTTAAAAGTTTCAAGTATTAAGTATAGGCTGCCATCTAGTACCCTCAACTGAATGTAAGGACATTAAGTTCATGCTTAAATTATGCTTTTGCAATTACCTGTGACCTAAAATAGGTTTTGCTGTGGGCAGGTGAAACACACATAGTTATACATTTGTTTAAACCAGGTAAGCACCTATCGAACATGTAACTATACCTAAATCTTAAAAACTTTCATGAGGGTTAACTATTTTTGGCTAACATCAAGATTTTAACTTAAAATAGCAATTTTGTTGATGTGTTAGGATTGTAAAACAGTAGATCCAGCTAGAACCTTAAGGATCTCGGATTCTTAGTATATATATATCGATACCTTCTTTTCCTGTCATCTTCCCCTGCCAGTGTCTTATATGGAAGGGGACCAGTAAGTGTTGAGCTGAATTTAGCTGTAGTCCCATTGCCCTGGCCCCATCAGGCCACTTTCTTTTCTTGTTGCATTGTTGAAGTTACCTCCTAAAACTGACATGTGAAATAAAAATTTGGGTTTTAAAATGTGCAAGAAGAAGCAACCTAAGTTAGTGGTTTCTTTTTATTAGACGCTTCTCCTTCCGTCCGGCACCAGATCCTTACTGTCAAGCTAAATATACTTTCTGTCCAACTGGCTCACCCATCCCCGTGATGAAGGGTGATGATGTCATTGAAGTCTTTCGGCTACAAGCCCCAGTGTGGGAATTTAAATACGGGGACCTCCTGGGACACTTGGTAAGGATGCAGCTTCACTTTCTAAATTTACTTAATTAAATGACGTCATTATTAAGTGGATTTAAAGGAATGTTTCAGATCATGTTTATTGGTTTTCCTCCTAGTATATTTAAAATGAGTGGTGAAAAAAATGTATCAGGTTTCGTGATCCTGTTGATAAGAAATGCAATTGTACTCATCCCTTTCAGTATTCTGAATCCAAACCCAATTTCTGTACCCAGCTCCTGGAAAGTAAGAAGGGAGGAGGCTCAGAGGAAGGGCAAAGCAGGCAGGAAACACTTCTTCATGTCCAGGTCCGAGGAATGCACTTTTCCGAGGCTAGTTCACCATTTGAGCCTCTCATCCCCCGTGAGATACATAGTGTTCCTTCCTGAGACTGTGGCTTGGAGGCTTTTCTTAGTCATGCTAAGTGGTAAGACAGTTAGGACCATGTCCACTTAGCTTACGTCCTTCCCATCTGAGATGCGCTGCAGTGGACAACGGGAGAGGATGAGGGCCTGGAATCTGAGGAGCCAGAGTAGACAGGAGAATGGCAACATGGAAGAAGGAACAGCTGACTGGTGGATTGTAGTTGTGGTCTATCGAAGTGGTTCCTTCACGAATACTTGTATACTTGTATGATCTTTACACAGAAAATCATGCACGATGCCATTGGATTCAAAAGTACTTCAACTGGCAAGAACTACACAATGGAATGGTATGAACTTTTCCAACTTGGAAATTGCACATTTCCCCACCTCCGACCTGAAATGAATGCTCCATTCTGGTGTAACCAAGGAGCTGCCTGCTTTTTTGAAGGCATCGATGATATGCACTGGAAGGAGAATGGGACGTTAGTTCAAGTAGCAACCATATCAGGTAAGTTTGAGAAATATGACAGCATTTTCTGATTGCATTAGTGTCTAAATGACAGAAAGGATTTTCATTGAGGCATTTCAGTAATGTTGTACTCAGCCATTTTCAAATGGTGTGCTGCAAGATTTTTTAAAACATGCAATACCTGAGTTTAGTTAAGGGCACTACCCTGTTTTCCCTTAGATTTTCTTTTCTTTTTTTTTTTTTAAGATTTATTTATTTATTTATTTTTAGAGAGGGAAGGGAGGGAGAAAGAGAAACATCAATGTGCAGTTGCTGGGGGGTCATGGCCCGCAATCCAGGCATGTACCCTGACTGGGAATCGAACCTGTGATGCTTTGGTTCACAGCCCACGCTCAATCCACTGAGCTATGCCAGCCAGGGCTCCCTTAGATTTTCAAATTAAAAAATGACAACAGCCAACAAAACAATAGCCATCCAGTGTGAATAAATCAAAATTAAACCTATTTTTCGTCAGATCAGCAAAATCTATACATTTTGGTGTGCCACAGAATTTTAGTAATTAGTTTATATGTGCCATGAAATGGAAAAGGTTGAAAATTGCTGGTCTACTTTATAGGGTCAATTTATAAAACATACTTCTGGAACCCACAGCCTTTGGCCCAAACTATTACACGCACAAAACTTCACCTGTAAGTGGTGACAAGTAGCTTATCTCCTCTGTTCGCATGGTAGAAATGAATGAAATGATAAAAAACACTTGACATAATTTAATTGTACTTCTTAAATAATAGAGGGAAGTACATAAAATGCCTGGAAAAAAATAACTGATTAATGGACCTGTTAACCACACCTGAAAAGAGGCTTTTAGTGATGACACATGAAAATGTTTTTATCCTGAGAAATGCTAACAGCCGCCACTCAGCGGCCTTCCTCTGGGCCCGGTAGAGTTCCCAGGGCTTTATGTGTGTCACAGCATTTATCCTCACAGCAGCCGCCAGAGTGTTGCTGTTATTTCCCCCTCTTTACAGATGGAGAAACTGAGGCACAAAGAGGTCAAAGTCCCACCACTAAGGAAGGGGGGCTCCAAACTCGGCAGCCAAGCGCTGTTGACCACGTTCTTAGCCACTTCACTACATGGCCTCCCAAAACATACGTGATCTTGTGCATTCAAGTCCTCTCGAGCAATTTAAATATTTTCTAAGATTTTCTGTTTTTCAGATGTATTTGGAAGTTGATGAGACAGTTGGAATTTTGCTGCGTTCGTTGCATTTACTTAGTGTTAAAGAAAGGAATTCAGCAGAACTTCTCCCAGAAATTGGCCCTATGACCTTGGTCACATTCCTCTCGCTGACTCACTGCCCATGTGCAGAGTGGGCATGAGGCGACCACTGCTTTTAGATGTAGGGAGCTTGCCCTTATTGTTTACAGAGCTTACATTAGAAATTGTTCTCCACAAAAGTGGAAACATAATAAAAGCACTGTTTGTGATAACAACTACTCAGTGAACCCCAGGACAAGAGGAAATTATCACGCTTTCTGCTTGTATGGCTCTGTACAAAACATTCTGGAGTACGTTCAGTGGGGAGGATAAGACCCCCTTCTTTGTACAAAGAAGGAATTAAGGTTCGGTCAGATATCACAACTTACCTTTTTTTTAAAGTCACAGAGCTTGACGTAGAACCAGGAATAGCGTTGGTGTGACTTAGGTGTAATCTGGGCATCTGTGAAGTATGCACCATGTTGTTTTCTAATCTTTCAGCGGAATACCATGGTGTTTTGTACTTTCTAACCGATGTGCTCCAGAGCATCCCAATAATGTAAAGGTCTGTTTCTCTTTTAACTGTGCTCTGTGTAATAAGTAGCTATGCTTTCTTTTATTCTAGGCCAGTTCATATTTCTCCTTTCTCATTTCCTCCCACCTCATTATCTGAAATTCTTTCTGCTGACATAAATGTATGGTCAGTGGACAAGTGATCACTATTTTCTGTAAAATAGTTTGTAATATGCCAGTACTTAAAAATCTTTTTAAGTTACTCATTTGCTTTGTGATTAATCTTATCCACTGGCCTTTCTTCATGTTACAAAATAGTATTTTGAAGCATTCTTATCTCCTAATTACAGCACTAGCTTTTCCAAGTTGAAGAACACTAAGAACAGTATCCCCAGTTTTAAGAAAACATGTGTGATATTATTCCACAATTTTAATTTATAAAATTGATAAAGGCACTCTATTCATTCTACTTACATAGCATGAAGTACTGATTATACAGAGTCAAGATGGAGTAACTTAAGAACAGTTCACACACAGTGACCAAGTGAAGTGCTGAGGCCAAGCTCGTTCGGCATTATAAACACCCAGAGAGGCTGTAACCATGCAGAGTATGGTGTCTAATTAACATTTAGAGTCTCCTGTGTGCGGGTCCAAGGTTGTAGGAGGGAGTGTTAGCCCCCCCGCAGGAGTCCGTATAGTCCATGAACCTGGTCAAAAACATTTCCAGCTTTACTGGATTTATTGGAAGAATTTGTGTGGTGTGTAGAAAGATTGTAAGCAGAACCCCAACAGCTGCAAGCACAAGGAGGAAAATAAATACCAAATATTCCAGGCGGATGGGGTATGGTGTTTCCTCTTGTCGCGAGAGAAGACCAGCCTTCCATAGCTGCCCTCAGGAGGGTGCGCACGCCACGCTGCGGGCACACCGCGCTTTGTGACAGAAATGCTCGCATCTCGCCCTCCTCGGCTCTTCGTGTACTGTCTTTGCCCGTTCACTCCTTCCTCTTCCACAGCTTTTCCTTGCTTTCTTTTTCTCTTTTACCTCCGAATACAAGATTTGTTAGGTAGGGTAGAGAAAGACAGTTTCGGCATGGGTATAATTTTGCTTTTGGCTGTAGCTTCAATGATTATAGAATTAGTATATATGACTTCTCTTTATATACCTATTATATCTAATGTGTACAATTCAGAAATACTTTGTCCCTTGAACATGGAATAAAATTGGCTGAGCTTGGATTTCTTTCATGAGATGCAGGTTTGGAAATTCAAAAACTGTCCTTTATTTATGTATATTCATGGCCTTAATCTGGTCAGAATATTTTACTTAAAACATGATTAGCTTTGATATTCACATAAATGATTTTTTTTCACTAGGAAACACATTTAACAAAATGGCAAAGTGGGTAAAAGAGGACAATGAAACAGGAATTTATTATGAGACGTGGACCATCCAAGCCAGCCCAGAAAAGGGGGCGGAGACATGGTTCGAATCCTACGATTGTTCCAAATTTGTGTTAAGGACATATAAGAAGTTGGCTGAACTTGGAGCAGACTTCAAGAAGATAGAAACCAACTACACAAGAATATTTCTTTACAGTGGAGAACCTACTTATTTGGGAAATGAAACATCTATTTTTGGGCCAACAGGAAATAAGACTCTTGCTTTAGACATAAAAAGATTTTATTACCCCTTCAAACCACATTTGTCAACTAGAGAATTTCTGTTGAGTCTCTTGAAAATTTTTGATGCAGTAATTATACACAGACAATTCTATTTGTTTTATAATTTTGAATATTGGTTTTTACCTATGAAATTTCCTTTTATTAAAATAACATATGAAGAAATCCCTTTACCTAATAGAAACAGAACAATCTCTGGTTTATAAGACCTTTATTCTCATGCTCTTTTCCATCCTACCACCAGCATATCAGTTTTTCATGGAGTGTTTTTACATTTGTGTATTTTTCTAGGTCTGTCTTCCTTGGGGCAGGAAGGTAACATGCACAGGGGCAGAAGTGCTGCATAATAATACCTCAGGAGTTTTTTTGGAAAGAAGCTGAAACTCTATAGTGTTGGCCAGAGTGAATATAGTACATGATCTTAACTTGTCTCCAACCCTTTATTGATATGGAGAATTAAAGTTTGTATCAGCTATATAGGCTCTTTAGATCCAACATTTTAAAATCTGAATATGGTGTACCAAGATTTTAAAACTATACTCAGTGACATTTTCATGGTAGGAGCTACTTCTGGTATGATAGTTATGCTTTTTCATTTAAGTACTTTTTGGTAGTTTACATTGCCTTTACAGCTCTTGCAACTTTTGGAACTGCTTTATTAGTTTGATTTTGTTTCATTCACTTAAGCTTAAAGATTAATTTGGACACCATAGCTACAGTGTTGTAGTCCTCTGACCATCAGTATTTAACTAATTAATAGGAAAGGGAAGCAAAGGGAACTAGATATTGAGCTTAATATAATGGAGAGTTTAGGCCTATTTGCTTCACCAGGAAGCTACAGCTTCACACCCCAGGGGGTCATAGCATTGCTTCCACAAGATTAACACTCCTCCCTTCCCCCAGTCTGGTACCTGATTGTTGGGGGCACAGGGGAGGTGCTGGACCATAGAGGCCTGTCAGTCTAACTAGGGGGTGTGCACCCATCCAAAGTGCGTGAAAACTTGGGAAGCAGATTGGTCATTTTGAGCAACCACCTGGTCTGTCACAAAGCCAAGCTCCTGGTTATTACCCCAGGGGAACAAAGAACTTGCTCTCTCTCTGGCTGGGGACCTGCTGTCCCCCATGCACTCACGCATTCTCTCTCCCTAGCCATGTGATCTTAGCAGCCACATGGCCCATGTCCACTGGGACTCCTCACGCAGGCTCCAGGAGGGAGCCTGAATACCTCCGCACAGCAACAGACTGCAGCTGGAAACCCCCGCGGAGCCAGCTGGATGCGGGACTGCACTGGACTTGAACATGGAGCGGGAACTCTGAGCAGTGGCCTTCAGCCTGGCCCTGCTGAAGACAAGAGTGGACTTTTTCCTTGGCGAGATGGATGGAGATGGGACATTGGGAAGTCAGAACCCCCTTAATTTTACATCAATAAAGTTCAGTGTGGAGCCCCATCTTCCCATCCAAGTCTCAGGAAATTCTTTTCCTCGTGATGCCTCAAGAACCCCACTTCCACCAATAACAGTTCCAGATGTACTAAATACAGTGAAAAAGTGCACAAGTGTTTGACTAGCATTTTAGAACCAGCCAGTAACCAGCACTGTGTGATTTAGGAATCTTAACATCTTTGAACCTTAGTTTCATCATCTCTAAAATGATTCATCTGTCAGGATCGTTGTAAAGATTGAGGCCATGTATGATTGGCATAACAAGGTCACTAAATGGTAGCTATACTATTATAATCAAAGAATGAACTACCATCCTTGATCTTGCCTAATGAAGTTTATGGTCTGGCCTCTCCTGGGTTTTGTAGTAATTGCCTAGGCTTTGAGCTGGTAGCATAGTGTTTCTGCAGTTTGAACGTGGGGCATGGGAGTAGCTGACTGCGGACACATCCCCTGTAGCCCTCCCTCTGCTCACTAAAGCTGCCAGCTCAGAGGAAGAGGGCAAACTTCTGAGAGGACTGCCCTTTTTCAGGGATCTCCAAGTAGCTGTGCTTCCAATCAAGGCTATCAAAGAAGGTTACAGGGTCCTTTGAGTGTTGGAAGATCAACTGAACACATTGTCTCTATTCACAGAAAAAACACCAGTCAGTAAGATGATAAAGCAGAGATAAGAATAAAAAACCTGTGTTTAGTATTCAATGTACCAATTATATTATTCAGGCTGTACTAAGATTTGAGTGCTTCCTGAATTGACCATTGAATTCTTATGAAAAGCCTAAGCATGGAATATTATTTACCTGATCCAAAAGAGTAAATCAGGGCTTGGAGTTTAAGTGACTTTCAATAGCTACCCAGCGAGTGGTAAATAGAGCCATGTTTTGAACCTGGTTCTACTGTCTAAACGGGATGCACTATCAAGCATTACAACTTTCAGCATTAGTGTGGTCCTCAGATCAGTGCCTGCATCATGTTACTAATACCAGACATTAATTACTACTGGTTTGTAGGATATGAAGCATTTAGACTTTTAAAGCAACTTGGAGTAATTTTGTTTCTGTTGACTCTAATTTTAAAAACTGGGCTTGTATTTTATGTCATTTACTTCATTTTTCCAAGAACTTACTTTTATTGTTTTTCAAAACTGAAGGCACCATACGGCAGTCTGAAAATAAAAACCCAACCTTTTAGTATAGATGGCTTTAGAAGCTGCACTTTTAGGCCTGCTAAAGGCTTAGTCAAGTACTGAGGAGAGCTTGTATCTTTGCACTATCTCCATCTAGTGGCTAAAGTTGGGCAATGCCAACCTTCCCCGGATTCTTAGGCTAGGTGCTCCCTGAAAACACTACTTTGGATTTCCAGAACTGTACTGGGGTAAGGAGCACAAATTCCTGTGCTGTTTGTGTTAACTGTGAGCCACAGAACTTGGTTCCATAGCAAAGACAAATGAGGACATCTGTACATGAAACTCAAATTTTAAAGTAAGATTCTAAGTTATGTAAGAAAAAATTCAAGATTTTTCATTGTTCCTAAGAATATTAATAAATGGAGTTCTGTGAGGGTAACAGACTGAGGTGACTATAGCATAGAGAGCATTGAGTTCATGTGAGTACTTCTTAAGAATTTACTAAACCTGTGAGCTGAACTTACAAGTTGAAAAGGGGCTTTGGAACAGAAATGATTTCAAGAATGTTTTCAAAATGGGAGCTGGGAAGCCAAAACATAGCCAGGCAGGAACTGGCTAATTTAACTTTGTGGGCCTTTGAGTTGCTGTATAACTTTAATGTGATTGCCAGTTTTCGGTTAAGTTGTAAATTAACAAAATTTCCTCTACTTCTAAGAGAATCCATTTTATTGAAGTTTGAATTATATAAGGGCTTTACACAATAAATATATCCTCTCATCAATTCTGGCTCAGCATTAGATAATGTATACCCACAAAGTGGCATCAAATACATTTTTGTAGGTGCAGGAGTATAGTCAAAAGGTAAAAATAGCTATTAAACTTTAGGTATTTGGAACCTTAAATCAAAATTGGCTCTTAGAAATCAGAAAAAAAATAAAAATTAGGAAGTTTCATCCAGTTCTATAATCTGCTTTGGTGGTGCTTCATGAATTCTTTGGGACTGAAGTTCCTTTAAGATGATGACTTCATTTTTTTAAAGAAATTGTAGGCATGTTATACAAAGAGCAATGCTCCAAAAGTACACCATTTTTCCCTTTTCACAGTCAAAGACAAATGGTTGGCGAAATTTATTTCCAGCACCGTCCTCATATTTACCCTTTATTGTCCAAGTACCTTTCTGCTCCTCAAACTTACCTTTTCTCTCCCCTATTTAAAATGAGAGGATATTTATTATGTATCTTCTTATGGGACTGATTATTCTAAAGATAAGCTTGTAATGAACTTTGAGGAAAAAGGTTTTGTGTCCTTTTTTAAAGGAAAGTTAGGTGCCAGCAAACAGGTGAAACTTTTATGGCTACTTGGTAACATTAAAACCAGCTCCACAGAGACTGCAAGCTGGTACAGCCACTATGGAAAAGTGTCGAGGTTCCTCAAAAAATTAAAAATAGAACTACCTCACAACCCAGCAATTCCACGTCTGAGTATATATCTGAATTCTAAAACACTAATTTGAAAGGATACTTGCACCCCTATGGTCACTGCAGCATTATTTACAATAGGCCAGCTATGCAAGCAAACTTAAGTGTCCATCAAGAGACTAGATAAAAAGTGGTGGTACATATATAATACAATGGAGTATGATTCAGCCATAAAAAAGAATAAAATCTTAACATCTGTTATATTCATAGACCTAAAAGGTATTATGCTAAGTGAAATAAGTCAGAGAAAGACACCTTATGATTTCACTTATACGTGGAATCTAAAGAACAAAAAAAAATGAATAAAACAAAAACAGACTCACAGACACAGAGATCAAACTGCCAGATGGGAGGGGAGCTGGGGGGCTGGGTGAAAAAAGTGAAGAGATTAACAGGTACAAACTGGTAGTCACATGGATGTCAAGTATAGCATAGGGGATATAGTCAATATTACCATAACTATGTATGGTGCCAGGTGGGGTAGTAGAACTATCAGGGAATCACTTCAATTACGTAACTTTCTAATCATGCTGTATACCTAACATAACATAACTAACATAAAATAATACTGAATGTCAACTGTAATTGGAAAATAAAATGACCTTTCACTGGAAGGCTTCATTCCTTCAGAATGCACTAGGACAGAATTCCTAACCCCTTGCCTTTTCCAGATTCCACAGGTTTGCTTTTCCTTGGTTCGTGACCCCTGCCTTCACCCTCAGTCTTTCATTAGGCCTTTTCAACTTTTACAACTCTATTACAATAGCTTCTGGACATTTTTATAGAGGATAAGTAGTACAATGACCAATTTTTCTAAATCAAAGAAATTTTGAAACCTAAAGCTTTGTCTGCAAATGACGGATGCTACCCTAGGGCTGTAGAAAGTAGGACATTTTCCTGTATTGGTTTCTTTATGGGTAGGAGTTCTGAATATTGAGTGATGTTATAGTTGTAAGTCAATACTGTGGAAAGAACCTTATAAAGTTTACCACAATAAATGTAAACATGATTTTATAAAGAACACAATGAATTCATTCATCTTAAAAAAAAAAAAAGCCCCACTGGTAGCCTGGGGTTGGACTCCATGCAGACTGTTCCCAGCTGTGTGGGGGGGGGATTCCTTGCAGCTTCCTTCTTCCTGTCAACCCTTCCCTTTCATTCTCAACTTTTCTATAATGACAAAAATTGTTTGAATGCAGTACATTGATTTAATCTTCAGTCATGCCTGATCTTTTCCTGATAATAATGTTAAAACAGCCCAGATTACTAAGGTATTGAAGTTATTTTATGGAAACTATTAAGACAGGTGGTGAAAATAATCACAACAGTTCAAATAAAAACTATTCTCTGATTGTATGGATTTATATGGCCTCTCTAAACAGGCTAGCTGGGTTCAAGGACCCTAAGAATTCTTTTTCTATTTAACCTACTTTATAAATTCTTATTCTAAATGTAGAAAACACCTATTCTTTCTTTTTAATTTAACCATTTTCTTTATGAAATTTGAAGAATTTACATTTTATGGTCAATTTTTAATTTCCTGTCACTTGAGGCACCAGAACTTACTTCAAGAATAGATTCCATTTGCCTAACACAAAAGCCATTCTACGATAAAGATTTAATGTTAAATATTATATCCATCAAATATGGATTTGAAACTAAAACCATAAACTTTTAAGTTTAACTTGTTTTAAAATCAATTAAGTACATGTTAGGGAAGTTTTTTAAAAATTGTAATACAACAGCATTAGTAACTATCTTTATTCTTAAATTGATAAAGGCATTTAACACATAGTTTACAGTATAAACAAGTGCTATACATTTTGCTTATAAAGTGACTTAAAATATTTCAAGCATTATATAATTCCATTTGTACAAAAAGTAAATTTCCAAATAAAGCTTTGGTTAGTAGAACTGATTATGTTCGTCATATCCATTTTCCAAAAGTTGTGCAAGGGAAAAAAAAGCTTCATTCACTAACAAAGGTAGTTCTGGTACAATCAATGCTTTACGGTAAGAGGGGGAAATAGTATAATCATAACTTTAGTTTCCAAGTCTACATCATCTTTTTTTCTTCTTATTTATATGTGGCCAGATACCATCAATTTTAAAAAGCAAAAATTATGTAGAAAATCACCTTTTACTTTATTCTTAGGAAGGTAATCTATTTTAAAAATAGATAGATCTGCAAGACTATTCACTTCTACGACTACCGCAACGCTTTCTCCAAGTTGGGAGCATTAATATATTCCACTGTGGGTAAGCCACTCCTGATCTGGCTCAGGAGGGTAGTATCTACTAGCGCTAGTGCTCAGAATCAAAGTTTATATAATATCTAGAAAACTAAATGTAGTCCAAAACTTATTTTTACAGACTCTACAATGTATGGATTACCTTCATTTATATGAAAAGTAATAAAAATGATACCTTACTTAAATAATATAAAATGTCAGTTTAACCAAATTAACAATCACAAAACTGTAGACACTGTCCTATTAAAATTTTCCAGTCCACTGAGCACTATTTACTCAAAAATGATTATAAACTTAAATGCATCTTCTTTTAAATTTACAGTTTATGCTGAACTATACACTGGTGCTTTTTTAAAAATGATTTTTGTAAAACCTACTTACACAACTACATAATTCCAAAATGGAAGAATAAGCCAACACTAAAATTTACTGGAGATCAATATTCCTTCATGGAAATAATTTTTAAATATTTGAAAATCCTATCTTTATTTCAATTTAGCTTTTAGAATAAACTTTTCATTTCAATTATTGTATAATACTTCAAAGCTAGTTTAAACAGATAAACAAAACCAAGGAGAACTGGTAAAGCATTCCTTCCTTTACACACAATGCCTCAAGGGACACATACATAGTAACATGTTGCAGAAAAGAATTTTTATGGTTCAGCAGATTGCAAAGCAAAACTGAAAGTTTATACAAAGCTAAACAGTGTCTCCCTTCTATTGTTTTTCTTTTAATTTGATCTTGGCTGTTTATTATCCTTCTACTATAACCACTGTGTGATATATATCAGATTCCTAATTGTTCCAATTATGTTTATACCTCTTAAACAGCTTTGTAATATTTGAGAACATTCAACTAATTTGTTTTCATTAGATACGAAATATCCTACATTTTTCTCACTAAATGCTCACTTTCCTGAGCTATATTAAACACCTTATAACAGGTGTATGTATAACTGAAGACCCTAAAATGTCAAGTTTACATTTTTAAAAAATGCATAGACAGTGCTTTGGCAAACCTATTAGTACTCACTTCTTGGCTATTATATATAGGTTCAGTTACTCTGAACTGTGAAATATTTAATCTTTATAACAGGTTATTATTTTCAAATTTGAACCACAGTTTTAAAAGTTTTCTGCAATTTGACTGCTATTAGGCTAAAGAAACAGATGAAGTTTTCTGACCAAAAGTGGTCAATGGGTCTTCCAATAAACAATCCTTATATACTCAATTCAGATATTAAACTTCTGTGCCACAAAATAGAATTACATCAGAACTATAGGAAATAAACTTTTATTATAATACAATATGCTTAAAGTTAAGGTGCTATTCATCATTCCTTACATCATTTGGTCTTTACCAGGTAGGCATCATGTCTGGAAACCATACCCTACCAAGATGCTTGGACACCTCCCAATGAATCTGCTCCAAGCTATACTTCTGGTCAGGAATTAATACTTCTTCCATAATGGATAACTGAGACAGGCGGCCGCCACACATCTTCACAAACTCAACAAAGGCACTACATGAGACTTCGCATTCCCCTAGTCCAATAGCTGACAAATTTTTGCAACGCTCTGCAATTCGAATTAACTCTTCATCAAGAGGCCGTAATCCATTAGCACACACTACTAGTTCAACTAGTCTAGGGCATGTCATTCCCACACGGCCAAGCACGTCTTTGCTTACTGATCTCCCAAAGTAAAGATGGGTGGCAGGTGTTTCATATCGAAAGAATGGATCAAATTCCTCTTCATATAAAAAAAAATACATCACTAAGTTCACTTTGGGTGAATGTCTGATGAAAGCATCCCAGCTGCTCTTCTGAATAGTATGAAAGTGTGTCTGTCCAGGATTCTCACTGACTACATCAATGCGCAAATGTTCTAATCGAACATGTTTTTCAGAAGATAAAGCAAGCAGCAATTCATCACTTAACAAGTGGTAATTCAGGGCCAGTTCACGTAAGCCATGACATTGATCTGCCACACAAAGGATACCTTGGAAGAAAAAAGACCTAATTATTTACAATTTTCCGTACAAGTTCACCATCTGTTCAAAAATTTAATCAAGTGCATGTCCCACAATAAAATCTTACCATATTTCCCTTATACAAAGCTATATAATTTAAAATTTAGTTGTATGGTTGAACTAGCAGGAGGTAAGTCACAAATATTTAAAAGTTTATTACGAGTTTTGTCTATTAAGAAAATGAAACCAATTTCAATCTGATACCTTAAAAAGAAATGAAGCTCAATATAAACCCAGAAAAATCATAAACTATTAATTATATATCATTTAAAATTATACACAATGACTAAGTAAGGTATATCACATTAATACAGTACCATGTTTTTTTAAAAAACTAATTACTAACACTACACTTACAGGTTAAGAAAAAATTATATGATCACTAGAACAGAGGCCAAAAGACATTTTTTGAAATTCAAGACCTAATCTTCATAAAATAAAAATATGGTCAAAACCATATAAAATATGATTTATGTAACAAGATAAAACATTTGAAAAATAAAGATTTCCATCAAATCAGCAGAATTCAACTGCTAATAGTATATAATAAATTTGTCAAATTTATCAAAGGTAATTAATTACCCAATTCACATCAATGGAAATATACATTATGACTTTTAAAGCTCAAACATACCCCCCAAGGCAGTTAAACGTTTACAATGCTTAGGATACTATGCTTCAAAACTATCCCAAACACCTAGCAGCAGATGATTTACCAAAGGTCAATATCGGATCTCCAAAGTGGCTTAGTAAGACACACTCTATATATACTCCTTGATAAATGACCCACTCAAACCGTTTCCTTTTTGTGTTTAGCAACAAGGACACATTATTTACTATTTAGTGTACAATAACACGTCAGAGATTAGATAGATATGTAATACTATACTCATAAAAATCTAGAAAGGTAAATATTACTTCTGTTTTGAAGTTTAGGCAGCTAGCAAAAGATAGCACAACTGGAATTCAAACACACACTGTGATGAGTGACTCTAAGTTCATGAATGTAACTATTGCTTAAGAAGTGACAATACCGAGACTTCTGGTCAAGATGGTGGTGTGGCAGACATGGCTCACCTCTTCACACAACCACATCAAAATGACAACTAAAATACAGAACCACCAGCATTCAGAAAGGTCAGAAATTGAGTAGAATGAAAGTCTGACAACTATGGAATTAAAGAAACCACATCCATACAAATGGGTAGGAGGGGCGAAGACATGAACAGGCTGGTTCTATACCCACATGTGGTGCATAAAAATTCAGGACAGAGATCTCAGGAGCCAGGAGTCTTAGCCCCACATTAGGCCCCCCAGCCCAGGATTCCAGTGCCAGGAAGGTAAGTCCCCACAACTTCTGGCTGCGAAAAACAGGGGGATTGAGTAGATGGAAGAAACTTCTGCAGCCCCAAGCAGTTCCACTTGAAGAACCCACACATGGACTCACCTACTCAGACATACTCCCCCTGAACTCCAGCACCAGCGTGGCAGCTTGGGGGGGCATAAGTAGAGTGCAGGGGTAGGCTGACATGTCTGGCATCAAGGTGAGCAGAGGCCATTGTGCCTTTTCTGGACCCTCCCCCAACAGAGCCTGCATATTGGTGCCATATGCAAGGTGGTTAACACTGTTAGACTGGACTTGGAGATCCCCAGAGACTCTGACCCACCCAATTTACAGGACTACCCAAGCTGCTTTTCCATATGAATGGTCTTGGCTCCTGCTTTACAACTTCCTATATCCTCTCAAACAGCAGCTGGCCTCATCAAGCCCCAGGCCAGAAACTAGCAGCCCAGATTCACAGCTTGGCTTTTCCTGGGCATCTCCAAGCCCAGCACAAGTTGCAGCCATCTCAGATTGGCTTACAGCCCAGGCAAAGCACAGGTGGGGCTGACCTTAGCCTGCACCACCTGGAAAACCTGAGGGCCAACACACCCAGTAGACAGCTACAGACCATGTTGGAGCACCAACACCCTGCCCTTACAAAGCTGATCCACCAAGGAGGGAGGAGGTTTGTGGTCAGTGGTCACAGCCAGTCCTTGAAGCTGACTGGCCTGGGTAAATCCCTCCTATTGATCTGCCAATAGTAACCAAGGCTCAACTACACATGGAGGGTGTACTCACTCAGCCCACACTAAAGGTATACCTCAAGTTCCCAGCTTGGGTGACAGGGGAGGCTGTGCCACTGGTCCCTACAGAAAGCTATTACATCAGGCTACACTACAAGACATGAAGTCAAAGCTGTTCTACCTATTACACAGAAACAAACATGGGGCGGCTGCCAAAATGAGGAGACAAAGAAACACGGCCCAAATGAAAGAACACAGCAAAACTACAGAAAAAGAGCTGAACAGAATGGAGATGAGGAATCTAACAGATGCAGAGTTCAAAATGCTGGTTATAAGGATGTTCAAGGAACTTAGTGAGAACCTTAACAGCATAAAAAAGATCCAGTCAGAAATGAAGGATATGCTAACTGAGATAAAGAACAATTTACAGAGAAACAACCATAGGGTGGACAAAGCCAAGAATCAAATCAATGATTTGAAATATAAGGAAACAATAAACAACCAATCAGAACAAGAAAAAAAAAAGAATCCAAAAATAGAAGGATAGTATAAGCAGCCCCTGCAACTAATTCAAGAGGTCCAATATTCACATTATAGGGGAGCCAGAAGGTGAAAACAAAGAGCAAGAAATTGGAAATCTATTTGAAAAAATAATGAAAGAAAGCTTCTCTACTTTGGTGAAGGAAATAGATAAGCCCAAGAAGCACTGACAGTCCCAAACAAGATGGATGTAGGGGCCCACTCCAAGACACATCATAATGAAAATGCCAAAGGTTAAAGATAAAGACAGAATTTTAAAAGCAACGAAAGAAAAGTAGTTACCTACAGGGGAGTTCCCATAATACTGTCAGCTGATTTCTTAAAAGAAACTTTGCAGGCTGGAAGGGATTGGCAAGAAATATCTGAAGTCATGAAAACAGGGACCTACAGCCAAGATTGCTCTACCCAGGGAAGCTGTTATTTAGAATTGAAGGGCAGATAAAGTGCTTCCTAGACAAGGTAAAAATAAAGGAGTTCATCATCACCAAATCATTGTATTATGAAATGTTAAAGGGACTTATTTAGGAAAGAGAAGATCAAAACTACGAACAATAAAGTGACAAAGTGTGTATCAACAACTGAATCTAAGAAACATGCTAAGCAAATGAGAAGAACAGACACAGAATCATGGATACAAAGGGCATTTTGATAACTGCCTGATGGGAGGGGAGTGTGGGGAATGACTGAAGAGGTGAGGGGATTAAGAAGAACAAATAGGTAGTTACAGAATAGCCAGGGGGGTGTAAAATACAGTTTAGGAAATGAAGTAGCCAAAGAAGTTATGTGCAGGACCCATGGACATGAACATGCTGGGGGGACTGCCTGAGGGAGTGGGGGGTGCTAGGTGGAGGGAGGCAAAGGGGGAAAACAGGACAACTGTAATAGCATAATCAATAACATTAAAAAAAAAGAAAAAGAAAAAGAAATGACAATACTGAAGCCACCAATAAGTCAAAAGCTTTACAGCAGTGGGAGAAAAACACAAGTAACAGAATCAGTGAAGAGATAAACAATGTCCAGTATAAAAGAATCACCAGAAGAGGAAGTAAAAGACATTTGTGCTTCACCATTCAGCCACAGCCAAGTTTCACTCTCCCCAGAGTATGTATATACTTTAAAATAAATCCCGACCATCCTAGGTAACTTGGGCACATTTTCATTCTTTGCAATCTCATAAAGCCTGATATAAAAAGAAAACAAACACATGGGAAAAGGGAACCAAAGATGCAACTAAAAGAAACTTGGAAATATCATTTAAAAACTACTAAAACAGTGTGGCAGGCATTAATTCTAGAAGTGGTCCCCAACATTCTGCACCCTAATCCCTGGAACCTAATCCCTATGAATGTAGTTAAGATATCACACCCATGATTACCATATTTTGTCATGTATAATGTGCACTTTTCTGCCCAAATTTTTGAGGGAAAAATAAGGATGCACATTATACATGGGCATAATAATCCTGTGTATAATATGCACAAAAATGCGGGTGCACATTACACACGGAAGCATATTATGCAAGGCAAAATATGGCATGCTGTATTATATAATAGCACAGTTGGCTTTAAAACAAGATTATCCAGGTGGTTAATGTAATCACATGGCCCCTTTAAAAACCAAATTTTCTCTGGCTGGTTGCAAAAGAGTAAGTCAGAGAGATTCAGAGCTTTTATAGCTAAGCAGAGAAACCACTGGAGCCATGCCAATAACTCTGACTTAGGGAACTGTGGTATTAATGGGTGTTGGTTTAAGCTGCAAAGTTTGCAGTTGTTAGTTATGCAGTAACAGAAAACTAATACATAGTTACCAGTGTTTAAAACTGGAAAATGGTTACAACCCAATAACAAAAAGAAAATAACTTAATTAAATCACAGGCAAAGGATCTGAACAAATGTCTCTCTAAAGAAGATATACAAATGGTGAATAAGCACATGAAAAGCCATTTGAGTCATTAAGAAAATACACATCAAAACCATAATGAGATACCTGTTCACACTCTCTAGGATAGCTATAATCAGAAAGACAGATAACCAGTGTTGATGAGGATATAGAAATGTGAAATGGTGCAGCTGCTTTGGAAAACAATATGGCAGTTCCTCAAATGGTTAGACAGTTATTTACTATGATTTAGCAATTTCAATCCTAGGTATACATCTAAGAGAAATTAAACCGTATGTCCACACAAAAACTTGTATATGAATTTTCATAGCAGGAAAGTTATAAGGTGGAAACAACCCAAATATTCACCAACTGATCCCAAGATAAATGTGACATATCCATACAATGAAATATTATTGACAATAATATGAAATGAAATACATGGATATGTGCTATAATATGGATGAACTCTGAACACATACACTAAGAAACCAGTTATAAAGGACCACATACAGTATGATTCCACTTACATGAAATGTCCAGAAGAGGCACATTACAGAGATAGCAAGTATGAAAGATTAGTAGCTGCCTAGGCCTGTTTAGGATGAGGGTTTTGGAGGGTAACAGCAAAGAGGTATGTGGTTTATTTTTGGGATAATAAAAATGTTCCAAAATTGATTGTAGTGATGGATGACCTACTCTGTCAATATACTAAAAGCCAACACATTGTAAAAACAAATGGTATATAAATTATATATCAATAAAACTGTCATAAAACTGGTACTGAAATCCATTGTTTGGTGGTATAAATTCATATAACTCATTTGGAGAAGAAAAAAACAACAACAACAACAAAAAAAAACAAAGAAGCATAAAAAAGATTCGGATCATCTGACTTAGTTCTTCCACTTCTCAATAATTTGTCCTAATGAAGAAACAAACAGAAGCCAACTACTATGTGCCACAGCAAAAATGTGGAAACAAGTGTCCAATCTTAGCAACAAAACAGAATACCAAGTAACTAAATGTTCACTAGTTCAGCTGATAATTGAGTGTCTTATACAGTACTGGTGCCAGGATGGTAATGATAAAATAGGAACAAAACATCCTTATCCTAATAAAAGGTAGCAGATAATGAAACAAAAATGCTGTGTGAGTCCTAACATGGGAATCCAGGAAGATTTTCCAGAACTTACAGTGCAACTTACAGAATTAAAAGGATCAAGCTAGGGCAAAAGGTGAGTGGAGAAGGAAAGTGAAGGGTATTTCTGGTGTGAACACCTAGACATGGAAGAAAACACAAGCATTCCAAGAACTAACTCAACACACAATATCCAAGTTAGGGGAGTATCTTAAAAGATGAAGCCCAACAGATAGACAAGGACCATGTCATAGGATCTTGCCGGCCGCAGTATGGAGTTGGGATGTTATCTCAAGCACAATAAAAAGTTTGGAAAGAAACGAGAAAAAAACCAGATTCATATTTTAGAAAGATTACTCTGGCTGTAGCACGGAAGCCAGGAGAGAGAAGAGCAAGGCTACAAGGCAAGAAATCAGTACATCACAAAGACTGGGGGCCAGGACTAGAGTAATCTGGGCGGGGGGGGGGGGCGGCGGCGGGCGATAAACACAGGTGCAGTGTCTTAGTTTGGGCTACTTAACAGAGCTGGCTGGCTTAAAAAATAAACATCTACTACTTACAGTTCTGGAGGCCAGAAGTCCAAGATCATGGTGCCAGCATGGTCAGGTTTGGGTTAGGGCCAGAACTCTCCTTACTTGTAGATGGCTACCTTCTCACTGTGTTTTCACATGGTGGAAAGAGAGATCATATCTCTTTTGTCCCTTCTTAAAAGGACACTACTGTTATTCAGGAGAGCTTCACTCTCTTGACTTAATGACCTCCCAACCCACTGCCAAACAGCATCACATTGGGGATTAGGGCTTAAACACATGAATCTGGGGGGAGAGGAGGGAGTTAACACATTCATTCTTTGGCATCACAGAGATTCAAGGCTTATTTCAGTGATGGACTCACCAGACCTCCATGACTGAAGTGAGGGCAGGAGGAATCGATGCTGTCTATCAGGTCCCTGACAACTAGGTGGATAGCACTATTCAGTGAGATAGTGAAAAGGGGGAAAGGAAGAGATCTGGACAGGAGGAAAAGGAAGTCCATTTGTCTGAAGTACCTGTGAGACATTCTATAGGCATTGGGACACTGGCAACTCAACACACAGCCCTAGAGTTCCAGACACCAAAAGTAGCAGGGATTAGCATATATAGAATATATGTGAAGCCACAGATGATGACAGAGCCCAGAGTTTACATGGTTAAAAAAAAAGGGCCCAATACAGAACACAGTGAAACATCAAAATTTAAGGAATGAAAAGGAAAACCAGCATGGAAAACAAAGTAGGAATAATCATAGAGCAAGGAGAAAAATCAAGAGTATGATATCTAAGAGCCAAGACCCAAATCTTGGTCCCTAGTGGTCTAGTAATAGACATAAATTATAAGGACTATATAAAATGAGAAAAAAGTTTGATAAGATGTTCAGTAAAGAAAGCAGAATAGAAAATATCCCGTAACTTCAACTTAGAGAAATTGTCCAAAAGTACAAAATATGGATAGAAAGAAAATACATAATTATGTTAAATTTTGTATTAAAGTCCTCTATTGTTATACTCTTAAATTAAGTGTTACAAGCACTTCTTTTCCTCCCTTCTCTTCTTGAACTAGTCCAAAGGTCATTAGGTCATACCAAGCAAAGCTTACACCGTATTATCAGAATTGATGTGTATATTTAACAAAAATAAATGGCCCTGGCTGGTGTAGCTCAGTGGATTGAGCGCGGGCTGCAAACCAAAGCATCGCAGGTTTGATTCCCAGTCAGGGCACATGCCTGGGTTGCAGGCCATGACCCCCAGGAACCGCACATTGATGTTTCTATCTCTCTCTCTCTCTATATCCCTCCCTTCCCTCTCTAAAAATAAATAAATAAAATCTTAAAAAAAAAAATGAACGTGGGATGTATGGGGATAAAGAGAATAAGCAGCTCAGTCTCACAGAGAAACCAGAGACCCAGAAGCTCTCACACAGCCTAAGTGCTACAAGTTATATTCAGAGTGCTATAGAAACAACAGAGATCTAAACAAGAGAGGAGGAGGAAACAAGAATAAAACCAAAGCACCTGAGCTGAATTTTGAAAGCTGAGCTGGAGTTATCTAGATGAAAATGGGGAAAAAAGGTATTCCACAAGGTACAGTGTACTGATGACACACACAGATATAAAGACCTGCGGTTACACAGAGTTCAACGAAAAGCTGCACTGAGTGGGCAGCAAACAAGATTAACGAGAAAGGTGGAGATCAGGATACAAAGGACCTTGTACACTATGAAGCTATAAAGTATGAACCTTACTCTCACAGCAAACCTATACAGTAGAGAGTACAATGTGACCAAGGTTAAATAAGAAGTAACTGCCAAAGCCCATTCTCTTTGAGATTATCTTTAGTGATAATCCAGAAGTGGCAGAAGCAGCTAGGAAAATATGAACATCCCTCAGTACCCATGGGTGATTGGTTCCAGGACACACACACAACACAACCATTCTACCCTACTCTCCCACGCAGAAACCAAAATCCATGGATGCTCAAGTTCCTTACATAAAATGTGTAGTGTCTGCATCCTGGTTGGTGTGGCTCAGTGGACAGAGCACCAGCCTGCGAACAGAGAGGTTGCCATTTGATTCCTGGTCAGGGCACATGCCTAGGTTGCAGGTCAGGTCCCCCAGTTGGGGGCAAGTGAGAAGCAACCGTTTCACTCTCACACAATGATGTTTCTCTCCCTCTCTGTCTCCTTCCCTTCCCTTCCCCCCTCTGTAAAAGTAAATAAATAAATAAATAAATAAATAGATAAGTAAAATCCCTTAAAATGTATAGTGTTTGCTTACAACTTATACACATCCTTCCCTATACTTCAAATTATCTTTACTTACAGTACTTAATACAATCTAAATGCTAGGTAAATAGTTATTACCCTGTATTGTTTAGGGAATAATGACAAAAACAAGTCTGTACATATTCAGTACAGACACAACCGCCACAGGCCTAACTACATAGTACATATCAACAACAACATAATGTTTTTATTTTCAACCCACAGCTGGTTGAATCCATGGATGCGGAACCCATGGGTATGAAAGGCCCACTGTATTGCAAGAGACCTAGCCATGCTCATCATCAAGATCCTCTGTGTGGGAAGAGAGGAGAGAATGAGCAAGGATCCTCCACTAAGGATTCATTTTCTTGGGGGAAAGTCAGGTTTAGTTATGGCAAGAAGGTAGGAAGTGTTCTATAAAGAGTTCAAGGATTTAACACTGTCCCTTAAAACCAGACTTCCCAAATAACACAGCCAAACGGTTGGGAGGAAATTCAATAGTGGGAGGTTGAGTCAGAAGTGAAGCATCAAGAGCAGTAAGTATGGGTTTTATACTTACTTTATAATACAAATAATTGGGCATTTAAATGGTATCAAACAAAATAATCTCGAATGCTTTAATTGTATATAAGAGGAGTTGGAAAGATTTTATAATGCTATTCCCCCATTTAACAAGACTCTTAGGTCCAAAATTCAACTTAGGAAAAGCATCATCTTGAAAAATGCTGGGCAACATCAGCACACAGTGAGAAGAAAAGCAATTATGAGAATACACTGACTCAAAACCTACCCTGTTAGCTCAGCTACAATTAGAGAAAGTTCTATTTTACCTAAGGGGTACCTTAGGCAAGACTCACCTTGTACTTTTATTTTTTAATTTATCCATTTTCTAGCACAGGTTGGACACAAATTGCCCAATAAAATTAGAAAATAAGTTGGAAGTATCAAGGCTACAGAATTTATGCTACTGTATTATGTCATTAAAAACACTTTTATGTAAAATAGGTGCAATAATCACAGTAATCTACCTTCAAGATTTCTGATCACGGTTTTTCTTATTTTGATACACACATCGATAGGTTTTACTGAAATGCTGTATGGTAAAACACCACATACCTGCTGGAGACACGTGAGGACAGCTGCTCATTTTCAGCAGCTTGAGCGTGTCACTGTTGTTGGCCACTAGCACTTTGAGGGATGGATCATCCACTGGGGTATCATCTATCTTAAGCGAGGACAAGGATTTGGAGTTTACAAACACAACGGTCAGTGCAGAGATGAAGTGAGACTGAAAAGCAAAAATAATTAAAATTGTTTCAATTTCTACAGATAAGAATTGAGGGGGCTGTCATAATACACAAATGTTCCACTTGAACCTTAATGATATTATTTCATAACTGTTTTAGGGGTAGCATTCCCTTCACTCAGTCAAAGTGCTTTTTAACCTCTGGGAGGGGGAAAAAAAGACTTTAAGCCTCAGGATGAGTGTCTCTACATCAAAACAATCACTGGTAAATAAAAAGAGGAATTCTGAAATCCAGGATAATACCTATCAGTCACCTTATCTGGAAATCCTACTTTAGTGTTTTATAACACTAAAATGTGTTATCTTTTGGTCTGATAGTAATGACCACTAAAATAGTAATAACTGCCCCAGGTGGGTGGCTCAGTTGATTGGAGCATTGTCCCATACACCAAAAGGTTGTGGGTTCTTCCCAGTCAGGGCACATACCTAGATTGTGGGTTCCATCCCCCGTCAGGGCACATACAGGAGGCAACTGATCGATGTTTCTCTCCCTTCCTCTCTCTCTAAAATCAATTAAAATACATACATGCACATATATACACACATGTATATCCTCAGGTGAGGATAAAAAAGTAACAACTAATACCTATTAGCATAGTAATTAAAATTATAATAACTCAGAAGCTATGACAGACTTATTTGGAATAAGGTAGCTCATACAAAATTTGATTCTAATCAAAATCATTATCTAAATAAAATTTCAAATTTAAAACTCACTTAAGTGTATTGAATTATCTGTAATATTTTCAAGCCTATTTTACTTTAATGCCTTTTCCCACAAATGTACCAATTAATATCCATCCATTTATTATATATATACACTAAGATATCAGATATGGAACCTGAACTAAAGGAACCACGCACGGTAGGGAAACAGGTAATAAAAAGAACCTATGCAGCCATAACCAACAGACAAAGAATCCAGGAGAGTAAGGAAAGAGAGGCCGAGAGATGGTCCAGCATACTCCTCTCCAGAGCCCATCTGACCCTCCACTGAGCTTTATAAAGTCACTACAGCAGTGAAGAGGGAAGAGGGCAGGCTAATAGCCAGAAAAGTACAGTTGACCCCCGAATAACATGGGTCTTAACTGTGCAGGTCCACTTGTATGTGGATTTTTTTTTATTGAAAAATTTCAAATTTCATAAAAGTGGACCATGAAGCCCAAATCTGCTTTGTTCACAAGTTAATTATATTCAACCCACAACTGGAAATCTGCATATGCCAAGGGTCAAATTTTTTAATGCTTGTGGGTTATTTTTCTGTACTGTAATTAAATAACTGGTTTACTTCTTATATTGATTAAGTAACTGTTTCACTATTTAAATGTTCCTTTGTGTCTCCTGCATCCACATTTCTTCATCAGTATACTCATGGCTGCACCGCTGCCTTCATTTTCCCACTCCCCTCAGATTTAGCTCTGGTCAACTACATTTACTTCATGTTTTCTTTGGTTCTCACAGGATTTCCAAAATAAAGCAACACCCTATTTCAACCTCTACAAAAGCTGTAACAGGAAAAGAAAAAAGAAAAACAGTATAAGCATCCTAGGCCCATTTATTTTATTTATAAATGCATTTTTTATTTTATTAAATTTACTGGGATGACATTGGTTACTAGGGTCATATAGGTGTCAAGTGTGCATTTCTATGATAAAAAATATGGAACGCTTCACAAATTTGCATGGCATGGGGCCATATTAATCTTCTCTGTATCACTCCAATTTTAGTATATGTGCTGCTAAAGCGAGCACCCTAGGCCCATTTAATAAGGAGAGAGGCAGCATTAGACACAGCAATAGTTCCCAAAGACAAACCTAGTATGTGTAAGTACAGTGTGAGTACTAATTATGCATAATGATAACCCTGAGTAATAAAAAAAGGAACTCGTGTTCAACACCCTTTTAATATGGTGTATTTTATACATATGCCATATGTATATTTGTTTTTTAATTATAGTATGTACATTAAAAAAAGGCCAATCTGAAGCATTTCATTTCCCCTGCGATGCTTGAACAAGGCTACTAAGTACTTCTTAGAGTGAGGTCCTTGAATCATATTAGGACTAGACTGCTCTCCTGAAGGGAAAATTTGAAATAGGAATAGTAATTCAAAACTCAGAAGTTCCTCACATGATTTTTATGCACACTGTTTGAGAATTAGAGTGGTCTAATTCATGGACTTAGAATCTTAAAATGCTGAAGTGAACAGAGAATCTCTTGCCCATTTCCCTCATTTTACACAAGAAAAAACATTTTATCTCAAATGTGCATATGCAATGAATCTTTTTAACATCAATTGAGACTGTGAAATTAACTGGTGAAATATTTGTCACTGATAGTCTATTACACTACCTGGGTTATAATATACATTCAGGTTAGTAAAACTTCTTCCCTATTCATCCTAGTAAATTAAAATGTTAAGTGTTTTAAAAGGATGTTTACTCTGAAAAAAGTTCTTCAAATTATTATTGGATATTAACCTACTAAACATCTGCTAACCTACTCAGGGGCCTTTGTAGCTGTCTTTCTAAAAAAATGCACCCTTTTTACCATTCTAACAGAATAATTATTAGAGAGACTATTTCTAATTATATGTAGGATCATCTTAGAACATAAATATAAAATCAACTTACCTCTTCACCAAAAAAAGTTTTAAGAATAAATCTTTAAACAATTACCAGAAGATTTTATAAGAAAGCTACACCTGCTTTTGATACTGGCACTGCCTACTTTTCTTTGATTTTAATTTCACCAATCTGGTCTGAAAGTCCAAAAAGGCACATCTACATGTCTCTTTTTCTAATATGCTTGTTTTTCAGTTTGACTTTGTTGCTTTTAGGACGTTCTATAGAATCCACTGTAAATTCATTCACTGTTCAACCTTACTCATGAAGAAACACAACAATAAAAAATGGAAAAGCTTAAAAAAAATCCTATAACATTCTAATTGATGTTTTTTTTTTTTCCTATCATACTATACTACTTTCCTTACACTCCACTCACATCACTCCCATCAAGTACAAGAAATGGGTAGGGTTTCAATGAATTTCTCATTAACAGCTAAAAAAAACAAACAAACAAACAAACAAAAAAAACCCCAACAAACCACAGCAAGATACCTTTGGTAAATCCATAAAACTTGGCCGAGCAGTTGAAATAAGTCCAAGTGTTTTTAAAGAGCAGTTCACAAGTTGCGATAATATGTCACAAGCTGCTTCAGCTGATTCTTTGCTGCTGTCCACCTTAGAAAAGAAAATACCATTTATCCATGGATATATTTACAGTATTCTGTGCATATCTTAACTTTATAAAAGCAATAAATGTAGTCACTAGTCTACTGCATTATAAAGAACTAATACTGAGTTTTTCAATTATCTACTACCACATATAACATCAGCCTTTTCTGAGTCACCTGGAAAAAAATAAAAGGGCTAACTGTCAAGACTTCACTTTTACTATGATGATATATATTTAATATTGGAATAACTTGGCTCCAAGTTGATTTATTCCAAACTGACTATATAACCTAGTAAAATGCATTAGTTTATCTTTGAAAAATAATTATGTATTTGGTAGTGGATCCAATCATACATATAAATAGCATCTATGGCAGGGGTGTCAAACTCATTTTCACTGGGGGCCACATCAGCCTCGAGGTTGCCTTCAAAGGCCGAATGTAGAGCTCCTTGCCCCTAGTTAAGGAGTAGTTATATTTATACAGTCCTAAAATTACACTTGGCCCTAACAACTGGGGATTCATCATTAATGACAATGAAAAACAAATGCAAAGTAGACTGAGGGCCTCCAACCAGTTAAGCATGAAAAACTGAAACAAAGAGCTGTTCCTATACACTCTTCTGCAGAGTAGTATCTTGGGAAAAAGGTAGTATGTCAAAAGCTTCTTAAGAGTTCTTTTTTTTTTTTTAAAGGAAGTTGTTCCCTAAGCTAAAAAGCATCTTAAACCAGAATAAGTAAAAGTAATACCATTACTTTAATTCCAGAATGATGTACATTACCTTAACCCCAAAATGTCCTGAGGAGCCGGTTGTAAAACTGTCCTACAATTTTCAGAGCTGTTTATCATTCCCTCTGGCTAAGTGTTTCTACACCAGTGGTTCACACAGTGTAGTCCCTGGACCAGCAGCATCAACACCTGGAAACTTGTCGGAGATGCAGATTCTCATGCTCATCCCAGATCATGGCAATCAGAAACTTCGGGTGTGGGACCCAGAAATTTTTATCTTAACGAGCTCCCACCATTTCCCCATCCTTTCCCCTGGCTAGGGTTGCCAGATAACATACAAGATATCCAAAAAGTATTAAAGTTTGCTCTAAATGATGCAAGGGACACATTTACACAAAAAATCGTTGATTATCTGAACTCAAATTTATCTAGGTATCCTTTTATTTTTATCTGCTAACCCTAGCAATCTCACCCTCAATGGCTTAAGTGCCTTTATGCATTTTTCTGAGAAGACGGCCGTAACACACCCAACCATTCCCATTACTGGGTCTCTCTTCCTCCTTGGACACACGTGGGTGAATAAGCTGGTAATCTCCACTCCAGAAGGAATAACATTCTTGGGAGCAGCCAAGACCAGTCTTGGTAGGGAACTCTGGGTTAAGAATCACCACTTTATCTAGGTTTAACTTTACCTGTATAATAACTGCTACATATAGCTAAATCAGGTATTCAGGTGTTACTTTTCAACAATAATTATCAGTGTTACAAATGTAGTAAAGATGGCCATAGTCCATTAGTCACCCCCAAAACAAAACATTACAAACCACTATATTCATACACACCACTGTGATTCCTTAAGCTCTTCGGGACATCTCAGAAAGCCACCCCACTGCACTTATCACCGCATAATTTCAGCATGTCCCTTCCCTCAACGAAAAGAAACAAATAGTTCTTTTTTTGGCAGCCTTCCATGTACCTTTTTCTATTTCTCTCTAAAATATATTCACCTAAATCTTTCACATAAAATTTTTGTATCTCTCTTTTCTTTGAAGACTTCTTACCATAAAGTCAATAAGCAAGTCCAGTCCCTGTTACATAGAAAAGTAAGTGTAAATCAATCATAATAGCCACATTAAAATTTTTTTATTACGTATTTCTTTTTCCTCAAATTGTTTGCAATAATTCACTCTGACAACTTTAGTTGATGATTTATGCTACTTAGTGGTTGCTTCTGCTCTTAAGAAATTAATAATTATAATAAAATGAAGTAATTAAGTTCAAATATAATTATTTGTCACAGCTTCTAAGGTACATGACAATTCTAAATCTTTAAGCACTCTCCCTAAAAAGCAGTATTTCAAAGGCATGGGAAGGTGTATTGATTTAGAATACAAGGGCTACTAAATCTGATTTTTTAAAAGAAAGATTTAAATATTACCTTGAAGCTGACATACTGTAGATGGTTTGAATGTCTTTTAATAATCTGTTTGATCAGCTCTGGATGTGTAGCTTTCAAATAAGATGTAGCTGGCTGATTCAGTTCAAATTCAAAACATCTCCACAAGTCAGGCATGTGAAATACCTGGTTCCAGTTGCGGCAAACTTGTGAAGCATGAGCCCGGTCAAGAAGAGGCAAATACTTAAACACTTGGAGAATAATGTCCTGAAGGAGATTACCCCAATCACAAGTCTGAGAATGCTCATTTGAAGTCCTCAGTTTCTTGGATTTTTCTGCCGTATCTTCTTCTGATGAACTGTGGTCACTATCTCTTCCTCCTCGTTTCATCCTATTTAGAAAAATGCATAATTTTTCATACTTAATTTCCAAATAGAAATAAATCCAGAATTTATTCTTCTGTCACTGAGATGTGTATATATATATTTATAAACACAAACACAAACAAGCAGAAAGAATTGGACCAGTAATTCCAGGAGCATATCAAAATAAAATATAATAAAAAAACACCAGTGGAGACCAACTGTCACAGCACAAGTTCTATACAGGTGTTTAAACATTTGTATTTATACTGTATTATCTGGGGGGGAAAGTTTATCATCATTTTGGAATTAAACCAAGAATTTACATACATTTTTAAAAATTTTCATGTATTGATGTTAGAGAGACAAAAGAAGGGAGAAGGGGGGTAGAGCAGGAGGGAGAGAGGGAGGAAGAAAGAGAAAGAAAAATATCAATTTGTTGTTCCACTTATTTATTTTTCATTGGTTAATTCTTTCTTATATGTGCCCTGGCCAGGGATCAAACTCACAACCTTGGTGAATCAGGATGATGCTGTAACCAACGGAGCTACTCTGCCAGGGCACCAAGAATTTATATTTTAAAAGTTATAGTTAACTAACTCAAAAAGAACCTACAGTGACACTTTAAGGTTTCTTACAAGATACCTAAAGGTACCTGCTATCTCTGAATTCCTGAATTCAAGGCAGACTAGAATCCCAGTAACCTCCAGAGAGGATCTGAATGAAGTAGCCAAGAGATCTTTTCACATTGAGCAGTTTGTGATATATGTCATCATCAGCCCCACTCTCTGCTAAACATACACAAACTCATTCCTACTAAGTATTGTTTGGTCTGGAGTATGGTAGCTTCTTTCAACACACCACTTACTGCTGAAATGATTTCCCCAGATTGTATTTCTAACTGACAGGTATGTGTTTATTACATGTATTTGTATTATCTTCATTCCATTTTTTAATGGTCTTTTTGTTACAAAACAGTAGTGTGGTTATATAGCCTCGAACAAATTACTTGACCTCCCTGTGCTTCAGTTTGGTAAATGAAGATAGTAACACATACTGTTCTTGTGAGGAATTTAATAGTACTAGGGCTCTGAAAGGAGACAGATGATTGTTGAACTCAGTGACAGTAAAGCAGTCCAGTACTAAAGACATAAAGTGCATGACAGTAAAATAGAAAACACGATCCCATTTTTGTTTTAAAATGAAGTATGTATATGAGGAGTGCAAGAACAACCATTTATATATGAGAAACACACACTGGAAGTAGATTCACCACATTAATATAGTAACTATAACAGTGAGTGGGATATTAGTAATGGGATAGCAGGTGATTTTCTTTGTGCCAATACACTTCTTTGTATTTTACATTTTTACTTTAATGTCATTGAATTACATTGCAATCAGATGAAAAGGTCTTCCGTTTCTTCAAAAGTAAGCATTATTGTATCTAAACTAAATGAGATTAACTTTGGACCACTTAAATAGTACCCCTATTTGGTTTAGAGCCTGTGATACTTTCCTTTTGTCGCCACAGAGCAGTTTGGTGGTGGTTTGGATTTGAAATCAAAGCTTTCGAAAAGGATGGCTTGTGCCCGGCTCCAACTATACTCTTGGCACACTAACACACAGGAACTTCTGATTCCTGAGTGGGATGCAACATGTGCTAATGCATGAAACTTAACCAAGTATTTCTTCGCAGATTCTCTCTCTATTCAGTAGTTACAAAAATTTGTGAATAAGCATTGAGGGCTGCAGGGAAAAAGAATGGCAGAGACCCGTGGTCTTTATGGCATTAAAATAAACCCAGGTCTAAAAAGTAGTATAAACTACGTTACCTTTAATAGAAAAAAATCTCTCCCAGTAATAATGTCCTACTAGAGGTTGAAACACTGTCATTATGACCCATTTTTCTGCTCTAACGTATCCTGAAGGCTTACTTTAATTTTAGCATATAAAATTTGGGTCAAAGAACAAAGAGATTGCTACCTGGGGCTTGTAATTTCTCTGCTGGCTATCTAAAATCTTCAGAATTTTGAGATAAAGAGAGTCAAAAAGAATGAAGACATCTTTATAATTTCTACCCCCTATTATAGAATGCTGTTTCTGGACAAAATCCTCTAAAACCAGAACTATTCAACTTCAAGATGAAATGATTCACCTTAGAGTATATGGACATATAAACAAAATGAGTCTTATTACATAATTATCTTTGTTAATACTTTACTGATCCTAACAATAGATACTTTCTTTTGTTTATTACAGTCCTATTTTGAATCAAGTATATTTCAGTACCTTTCCAAGTTGAGGGAGAAAACAACTGACATATTAAGAAGTACACAACACCGAGGAACAGAATCTCTTAGTCTAGATATAAGACTGGGTGACCACCAAAGTATATTTTAAATACCTACCTCGGTAGTTTATGACCAGCCAAGCAAAATCTGTAATTTGTCATATGTATCATGACTGTTATATGTCAGTATTATAGTATGTTTAGCAACAGAAAAAACCTCCAAGGTCAAATGCCGAAAAAATGGTCTCTGTATTGTCTTCATTTATGCATGAAAATAACAGAATACAGTGGGCACAATTCTTAAGTATGAATTTTTTCCAAGATGATCTGATTTATCAATGCAAAAATGTAAACTGCTTTCAAAAGTATCCTATTAAATCGATTTACACACGAAACTCTGCTGTATCAAAAGCTAATGCAAAGCACCCACCAATCTGCAAAGAATTCACATCAATGGACTATTTCCTACTTTTAGTCAGGGTGAAACACCTCTCACATTTGAACAGAAGTGCAGAGACGGGAACCGGGCAACAAACGTCAACGAGGCTCAGCAGAGCACCACAACCAGGCCTCCCCAGGGCTCCAGCGGTTCGATTCAGAACCGCAACTTTTCCTGGCCCCAAATAATCAAGGCAGCTTAGGCCACCAGAGCATTTGGTAAGGGAGGACATTCCTACGAAGGACCCAGAAGCAAGTTAATGAGCCAAGACTACAAACTAGTTGAGCAGCACAGGGAGCGGCAGAACTAACAGCACGTCCACGCCCTCCAAAGGCGCAGTCGCGCTTACTCATAAGGGCTGAAGAGAACACTCCGCTGGGTCTCCCTTGTTGCATTAAGCACTTGGGGCACTCTGGGCTTGCGGTAATTTTAAAAGCTCACTGGTACTTGGCTCTAAAAAGCTTGTTTTGGCATCAGTTCCTTTCCATTTACGTTGTGCTTTGACTAATATCAAAATTAATACGCATACTTTGGCTGAAATACAAGAATAAACCCGTGGAAAGAGATCGACTCTCAAATCTAGACAGTAGGAAAAGTGTAGCGGTGACAATCTGCCTGTTGGTCATTTGCAGATGACTGGGACTCGAGGGCATTTTTACAAATATTTCAAGGATGGTAGAAAAAAAGATCTGGGCCACCTGACTGGACATCACGAGCAGTAAAATACTAGTAGTCTCCCATCTCAGCCCAGAGGCGCAGGCCCATCACGTAAGAGGCTGCAGCCCCGCCGGGAGCGGCTGCCACGCCAAAAGCAGGCGCGGAGCCGCTCATCACAAGTTGACCAAGTTTTCCACTCCGCTACGCGGCCCGGCGGCCCTTCCTCCCCGCGCCACCTCCAAGGATCGGCTTTTCCCGTCATTTCTCCGGCGCCCTACTCCGAGCAGTCTGTTTTGACACCTTAAGTCCCTTTCTTTCTCCAGGTACCAATACGGGCGTAGCACACACCGGGAAGAGCCCGGCCCGGCGCGAGCGGTGCGGTGCCTGTCACTAACCCCTGCCAAGAGTAATAAAGACAGGCGCGGCGGATCGCGGGGAGGCTGCACGCGGCCCTTAGCAAAACGTACCACGCCCTGTTGACATGTTTTGAAGCAGGCAAGAGGGGAAACGCCCCCAAGCAGGCTCCAAGGTCTGGGCGCCGCGCCCCCAGCCCGGCTCGGCGCTCCCGAGGCTCTGCTGGCGAGGGCCCGGGACCCCGCCACCAGGCCCGTCGGGCCGCCCACCCCAGTCGGCGGACCCTCCCTGGCTCCACTGTCGCAGCGGAGCTCCGGCTCTGGCCCTCCGCCGTTACCTGCTGCTGGAGGCGGCTTCCCCTACACACCACCCCGGGCTCCGGGGACGGCGGCGGCTGGTTCCGCGGCTTTCACATGGGGCCCCCGGGGCCCCGCGCTTCGGACTCCCGCCGACGCGGCCCCCCTCGCTCCGCCCGCATCCGAGGCGCTGGTCCCTCCGCGGGCGCCAGTGAGGCTCCACCTTTGCGGCTCTGGCTGCCCGAGGAGAAGCCTTCCTCCCCAGTCCCACGCCGTCCGCGTCCTTCTCCCGGTACCGTCGAGGAAGTGAGAGACTCTCCTGTGCGAGCTACTGCCACCGCGTAGGTCCCTGCGCCTCTGCCCGCACTCCGACTCCAAAATGGCGCCCGAGGCTCGCGGCCGCGCGCTTTCCCCAGCGCGTCTCCGCCCCAGGGGCGGGCGCGTGTCCGGGGCGGTGCACTGGACGAGGGCGGGAGCGGGCGGGAGCGGGCGGGAGCGGGCGGGAGCGGGCGGGAGCGGGCGGGAGCGGGCGGGAGCGGGCGGGAGCGGGCGGGAGCGGGCGGGAGCGGGCGGGAGCGCGCGCCGCTGAGGGCTTCGCCTCCGGCCGCCGGTGGGCAAGTCGGCCGCCTTCCTCTCCGCGACGTTCCCGCGGGTTTTAAGGATTTTTTTGTTTTCACGCCAAAGTGTAAGGGGTGGAGCTAACTAGATACCTCAGAGATTGTCGGCGGTTGAAAATGGAAAGTGTAGGGAGGTGGAGCAGAGAGGAAAGGAGGGAGTGTCTCTCGAGCTCGCACCATAAACAAGAGGCGTGGGCCGCGGACACACCTCCGCGCCGCGGGGCCCGGCCCAGGTGTCCGGCCTGCGCCTGCGCGGGGGATCCGGGAGGCGGCCCCGGCTCTAAAAATACACGCGCCTTGTATACAGAAGGTGTCATTAAAACCTGGAAGGAAGTATAGCAGAATGGTGACAGTGTTAACGCTGGGATTGCGGGCGAATTTTATATTTAAAATGCTTGTGTTTTCAGTTTTTCTAAAAATGAGTTATTACTTCTTAAAAAGCCTCCTTTATAAAGTGGATATAGGCTCCTGAAATCTGTAAGTAGCTTTCTGTAACTCAGAAAGGAGAGTCTAAAGGAGTAGGGGATGGTTATTTAAAACAAAATCTCTGCTGAAGCCTTTTGTAAATTGAGGCCTGTTTGTAACTGCTATCTACATGTTTTCATAGTTTGGATTTGGGGATACTGGGTTTTCTTAAAAAATTAATATCCTTAGATGCAAAATCATAACTTGAATCAAGCTCCGCCCTCAAAAATAAAAAAAAAGTAGTTTCCGTCTCAAGGCGTCTTCTCAACCATTTGCTCCATGTGGAAGGACTAGAAAGTTGTGGTGTGCGGGGGTCCCACCACTCTTCCACTCCGCCTCCAAACAGCTAGGAAGCCAGGTGGGTAAACTTACATTCGGATTCATTGTGGGACAATGTCAGTGTTTTCTGTTGGGACCTATCTTATCACCAAGTCAAAGTCCCTGCACCACAATGTGATTGTACCTGTTTTTGCAACGTTTTTTTAAGATCCGTCAGTGACTGGATGATGGAGGACAGTAAGAAGTTTTAAGACAGGCAACAATAATTATTGAAGAGAAACAAATCAAATGCAGGCACATTTGTTTAAAACTTAGGTTAACATTACAAATGATCTGCAAAACACCTTAAACTATATCAGCACACATAAGGAATATATATTACATTAAAACTTTCAACCCCAACTGTAGTCTCTCTTTAATTTCTCATTGTAGGCTATTCTCTCCCTAAAGAAGACAAAGATCTTGGCAAAGTTTACCTATCAAATGCTTCCTCTCCTATTATTTAAAGATTTTATTTCACCTTTTTGGAAAACAAAAACTTGTGCTTATTTTTTTTAATCAGTCAGTACTTAATTACATTTATCAGTTGTGATGGTGGGGAGAAGGGTGGTTATGGAGTAGTTTGGTGTAGCAGGGGAAAATATTGTATTAGTGATCCTGTTTAATATTGCCAATGCACGTGATAATAAAAAACAAACAGATGCTTACTCAGTTTTCTTAATCCCTTCCTTGGGTGCCTGAATGTGCGACCCCGGAGATATAGGTGGTCATTCTCTACCACAGGGTCTGGTCTGGAAAGCAGAAAAAAGTGCTCTGTGTTGAGAAAGCGGAAGAGATGAAGAAGGAATCTACAGAAGGCACAGAGCCGGTCCTGGTTCTACTCTATTCCCAAGGACTGGAGGTATCACAGCAATTGCATTTTTTTCTTGTTTGCTAAAATTATTTTGAATGTGTTTTGTTACAACCGAAACTCTTTACCAGTGCAGACTTGACCTGGAAAAGTCTCCTCCTTGGGTCTCAAAGGATTTTTTCCTTCTAACTGAAAGGCAGTCATGGAATTTGGTCTCACTGTGTCCTGTATCTGGAGTGGGGGTGGGAGTGGCACCCCCATACCTGCCATTAACCATGGGCAATTCTGCCTGGTAGTACAGAGGCGGTGGTCACTAGGCTGGGCTGGTCTCTGATGGAGCCCCAGGAAAATCGTCATGACAGTTGTCCCTTTTTGATGGATTTCCTGCCTTTCGAGCTGACAGATGAACCACAGATCATACTGTGAGAAAGATGCATGAAGTTCTTTTCTGAGGGGCAGGGAAATCTCTGAAGAGCAGTGGAGTTGGAGAGGAACGGAGCCTTTAGTTTTACCTTAGTCATTCCTCTGAACCATACAAGGGAAGGGCCTTACAGATTTAAAGGGTTCTTCCTGACTCTTTGACCTTTTTTTCTTTCTCCCCAATTCCACTCCTTCTTCTAATCCTTTCTTCTCTCAGCTCCCCAGCCTGGTGTTCCCCATAGGAGAAGGAACTCGTTTCCTCATCCCCTTCCTGGATCTTGCAGTTTCCAGCGCTCAGTCAAAGCTGCCCCAGATTGGGAGGGAGAAGATGTGCATCCAGATTGTAGCTTAGGTTTTGAGCCCTGTACTGGATTTGCAGGCTTGGACACATTCCACCTTCTTTGTGCTTCAGTTTCCTCACCTGTTAAGTAACAACAACTACCGCACGGAGTTGCCGTGACAATTAAGTGAGTTAACGTGCTGAGCACGTAGGTCAGTCGCAGGATCACAATAAAAGCTCGCCGCACTGCTCCTGTTGCTGTTGGCTCTGACCCCATGGTAGGGGCACTCGCTCCTCCTTGGCATCTTGCCTCAGCAGCCCCCCAGCTCCCCCTCGTTAGTCCAGCATACACCTCCCTCTCTGGAAAATTAGCCTCACTAAACCGTCTTGGTTTAGGCCATCTCTGGATTTTGACACTATCTAACATGAGATGGTAAGCTTCTCAAAGAAGAGAAGTGTGTTTTGAGACTCTGCCAAGAACCTTTGTCAACTCTTCCCAAGGCCACAGTAGTGACTTTGCAGCTGGTCTGCCCTGGGGCAGTGTTTTTCAGGCTACTTCCTGACCTACTTCCTGACTTATGTTCCTAAACCACATGTCTCTTGCTCAGAAAAATCCAAAGACTGGTGATAAAATCCAAACTGTTGAGAATAATATTCATTAGAAATATATGCAAGCCACATATTTAATTTAAAATTTTCTAGAAGCCACCTTAAAAAAAGGTTAAAAGGAACAGGTGAAACTTATTTTAATAATAATTTAAATATATAGTTAGTATATCCAAATATTATAATTTAAATATGTAAGCAATTTTTATAATTATTTAGATATTTTAATTATTGTCTTTTAGTACTAAGTCTTTGCAAAACCTTGGGCTGGTGTTTTCACCTTTGTGAGATTCAGTTGCCTGATCTGCAAAAGGAAAATAATGGTTCATAGGTTTGTGGAAGATGAAATGTGCTACTGTAACAAATAACTAAGATTCAGTGGCTTAAAACAACACAAACATATTATTGTACAGTTTTGGAGATCTGAAGTTCAAAATGAACTAAAATCAAGGCTCATTGTCTGACTTTGCTTCCTCTTTCCCGTATTAGTCCTCTTGTGATTACACTGGGCCTATAAAGTTAATTCAGGAAAGTTTCCCCATCTCTAGGTCTGTGCCTTTTTTGACACGTAAGGCAACAAATTCATATGTCCCTGGGATTCATATGTCCCGGGGATTGGGACAGGGACATCTTTGGGGCCTGTTACTCTGCGTCCCACACCCAGGCACCAACCAGCACAGTGTGCAGCCACTGGGAGCCCTCAACATGGGTTTTCCCGCGTGCTGTTAGGGAAAACCTTGGCTACAGTTCTCAATAACTTTGTATTTTTTATATGTTTCTGTATTTGTGCTCTGCGAATGTGAAATCCCTAGCTCCTGGCACAGTGTGCTTGCACACGTTAACTCACGAACTCGTACAGTCACCTTCTATGCGTAAGTCGTGGTTACTAAGCAACTGAGAATACAGTTCCCAGGCTCGTGAGCCTGTACTGTCAGGTGCGGATATAGAGCAGGTGCTCAAATATTTGTTAAATGAATTTATGAAGCACAACAGCTTACTTTCCCTTCTGAGGAACACATCAATGCCTTGGTTCTCACCACACTTTCTCTCTGGATGCCCTTTCCCACTTTGGCATGTCAAAACTTCCTTCAAGGCTAGACTTAAATACGTGCATTTACTTTTTTAGGAAATGGAGGTTATAACAGAACCTGTTTCTTGCCGGGCTTTGTTAGCTGAGAAACATAATGAAGTTGATGGTTTGTGCTCCAGCAACAATGTCAGACTGTGCGTGGTTCTTTACTAGACACTCGTCTCTAACCTTGGCTATTCTTTCCTTTCATGATTTCTCTTCATTTTGTAACTCCCTCCAGTATTTATCTTTTTCTAAGCTACCTTATGTCATTTGTGAAATGAAGCAACCTGTTTTATCGGTCAGTCAGGTCCTGTAGGACGCAGACGCCAAGATCAAGTTAGAGGTGCAAGAAGTCTGTTGGGGGTAATGCCTGAGAACAGGTAAGGGGTGAGGGAGGAGGAGGCAGAGGAAGCCCTCAAACTGCAACATGGGTTTGGCATCCAGGAAAGGACAGGGAGAAGGAACATTGCGCGGGAAGGCATACTTCCTTGGGTAGAAGTGGGCAGCTCTAGCACCCCTGCCATGCCCTGTTGCTGCCTGGGGCTGCCCAGGAGGAGTGTGGCTTGGATCAAATGCCATGGTGGATCCCACAGGTGCTGCAGCTGGAAGATGTCAGCCGACTGCCTTCCTATAGAGAAGGTTCTCCCACGAAGGGAGACGAAGGGAGGTCTGAGCCGGGGCCTCCAGATCTGCATGGCACACTTCTTTCGTCTTGCTCCTTCGCAACCTCTTCCCCATTACAAGTGCCCAGTTACCATTTCATAAATTACTTCTTTTCATGGAACCAGTGAGTAATGTGATAGTAATAGCATGATGTAGTAGAAGTTTAGATGGGAGAGACAGAAAGATCTGATTCACATCCCGGGGCTTTTATTTTTCCAGCCAAATCTAGATTAGTTAGAGAATCTAATGCTGGTTATTTAACTTCTCTAAGCCTTTAAAATCATCCGCTAAAATGATTAATAATGTTTTACCTTACAAAGTTGCTGGGAGGATTAAATAAAATGCCTATAGTTCAATATCTGCCATTTAGGAGATGTTAAATAAGTGTTCTACTTTCCTTTACTCTTCACTTTTGAGTAATACTCGATCACAGGATACGGCGCTATAGTAAATATTGAATACTTTCTCATCTGATCTGGACTACGTATTGGGTTGGCCAAAACGCTCATTTGGTTTTTTCCATAAGATGGCTCTGATAGTTCTTCGTTATCTTTAACTTCATTCGAAACAATTGTTAGATTGTATTGTGACAGCTGTCCTATCAAGTGTACATTTAAAAAATCAAAATTGGTGGATTTTTGTGTAGCTGTTTTAATACTGAAGATGGAAGAAAATAAGCACCGTTTTCAGTGTATTGTGCTTTATTCTTTCAAGAAAGGTATCAATGCAGATGAAACGCAAAAGATTTGTGCAGTATGTGGAAAAGTATCGAACATGTCAGAAGTGGTTTGTGAAGTTTTGTGCTGGAAATTTCTCAGTGGATGATGCTCCACGGTCAGACAGACCAGTTGATATGGATGGCAATCAAACCGAGACACTGAGGACATCTACATTATATACCATGGCGGAGATGGCTGACACACTCAAAATATCCAAGTCAATAAAGTTATTGGTGAAAATGAAAAATGTCTTTTATTTTATGGGAAAAACTAAATGAACATTTTGGCCAGACCAGTATTATTATTTCTAAGAAATTGTGACTAAAAAAAGGCGAGTGCCTGGCTCAAGGTCACACAGCCACAACAGAGGCGGAGCTGGGATTTGAACCAGAGTCTTCTGGTTTCAATTTCAGTATTTTTAATGGATTGTTGGCAGTTTTCAGGGAAATGAGCTGTGATGTTTCAATACAGAGCCAATGTAAGAAACACATGTAGCCACCTACAGGTGGAATTCAGTGACAAGAGGGCAGGGCAAGATGCGGGGGCTGAAAAATCTGAAAAAGAAGGCAAATCAGTAACCATTGCGAATGAAGAGGGAATAAAGAGCATTGCATATATTTCTCAAATAAACTGATTGACAGAATAAGGCGTTTTTAGCCCTAAACAGTCTAGCCAGAAAACTGCTTAAGTGATGCCTTTTCCTCGGCCTGAAACTAAAACAGGAAATGAAAAATTCCTTCCAGATTCCCCAACACTATTGTGATTCTGCCTTGTTTCCTGCTAGTAAATTAAACACAGCATTTGAAAATGGCCTTTGTGCACAGCATGCTTGAGCCAAATGTGTGCTAAAACCATCTGCCTTCTGTGCTTTGTCAAAACTTATTCCTAAAATCTTTCAATTTTCTGGATTTGAGATGCTTGGAATATAATTAGAAATAGCTTCCTCACAAATGAAGATAAATAATTTATCGTGAGTATACATTATACAGCATTGTTGTTTTCCCCTGTTTCTAGAATATTACCTTGAGATGGCTCATGCCAGTCAAGCCATCTCCCTAGTTTCCTGTTTCCTTCCTTTCCCATTCCAGTTCACACTGGAGCAGATGGATTTGCTAGCAAAGCTGATGGACACAAAATAGCATTCTTTACAGTCATCAAGTGCCCATGGCATCACCTACCTTTGTGGTGCTTTCACGGTCAGTTTCATTTCTGTGGCCTGTGAGTTTAGGTCAGACATATTTACAATGGCCTCACTGCACCCTCCCTTTGTTTTCCTGGAATATACCTAGCAACAGCTCCTGCCTGTGTACGGGCTTCGTGTGTTCTGGACACATGTGAAGCCGGCCCTGAGCCTCTGTCCCCCGTTTTCTCCCATGAGCCTGGGCATGGAACGTCTGAGACGGCTGTGACAGGCAAGGGCTGGGAAAAGAGGCTGAGGCACAGATTCCTAAGCAGGTCATGGGAGGTAGAACCTGGGCCTGAGAGGTGGTTCTGGTACCTGTCACCCAAAATCCTCGTGGCAGAATGGCATGTTCTAAAGAAAAAGGCTGTTGCCCTGAAGGCTGTGGAATCTCTTTTGAACATAGATAGAGTCCCAACAGGCCCTTTGTCAAAAACAAAAACATGAGAGGATATAAACATGCAAATACCTTCAGGACCCTTTTCTGCTTAAGGTGTTAAGAGCCTGGAATTGAACAGGTCCTGCCTGCGCCCCTTTCAGCGTGGCTTGGACCACCACAAGCGCTCTGAATGACAACCAATCACTGCTGCTTTCACATTGGGCAATTAAAAATGGCCTGCAACTTGACGGCACTGTTACACACTACAAAGGAAGTTTGTGTGCTCTTGAGAGATTTGAAAAGAGCATTACCATTTCTTTACAGTGATGGTTCAGATGTATCTTATTTAGACAAAGGAGGACCTTCTGTACTGTTTCAAAGACCTCCCTTGCTCAGGAAGCCCATGTGCTTGAAGAGAGGATCCACAAACTGGGTCATGAAGAGATCAGTCTTCATGATCTTCACGTTTTTTCTTTTTTAAACAATAAGGTCTCCAACACTAGGAAAGTTAGACTACTCACAGTTGTATCATCTTCTAGAATTTTCTGTGTACATACTTTTTATCATGCCTTTCTCTACATCTCTGCCCCTTGAAATGCTAGTCTTCAAGATGCAGCTCTAATGACCTCTTAGCTACACCCTTCCCAACAAAAACAAAAAGCCATTAATAACGATCTTTCCTAAATCCTGAAACACTTGGCTTGGACATTTTGATGAAATTCATTAGAACATTTTCTAAACGGTTATCTGTGCTCAGACTGGATCTTTATATTTTTAAGGTCTGCCAAGGCACAGATTATTTTAAATTTCTCACAAATGCTTAGCAAATAATAATGGCTACTGTTAAATTAATTTACATATTTCCAACAGAAGGAATTTAGGATAAAACCCAGCAAAACTTTAGCCAGTCTCGTGAAGTAAATATAACCTGATTTTATGATGAGTCATAAACAAATAATTTGGCAACTTTATGGGTTAGCTATTAAAAAAATCACACTGTATTCTGTAGCAAATAAAGAGAAGACTAGTGATTTTGTTAATTACTTTATAAAAGTTCTAAAAGGTACCGGTTAATAAGGTAGAGACTGGTCACTTCCCTAAATGTTTTCCTCTGTTTGGCACGTGTCTGTTTAATACGTACAGCTTCTACTCAGTGTGTGATTAAAACTCCAACATTGCACTTCATCGCCACTCTTATTTTTCCTCACAGTTATACAAGTAATGATTGTGCTGTGTTACTACCTTTCTGTCCAAGGAAAACTGGAGTTTTAGACCTTAAAGATGTTTAAATGTTGTTTCTCAAGCAACACCTTACACAGTTGTTATGCTTTATCACTGTATAAAAATGCACAGTGGTTTATTGACATGTACATTCCGATGTGTTTACAGCTGCAGGGTAATGAGGCACACTCAGTATTGCACTTCATTAAAATTTCAGGCTCAAACTTAACCTAGAAGTTTAAATGAAACTGCATTTGTAATTTAATAATTCTTATAGAGGACAAACATTGAATATCTTTATATACAGTGTAATACTTATTACATTTATATGCCATCCTAACACAATTTTTTAAATAACAGTCTAAGAAATAAACCAGAATATTCTTCTTTTTATCCCCACCCGTGATGCAATTGTACAGGATTACAAAAAGGCAGTATACAATAAACAATGATTTTTTTCCTTTTTTTTGCTTGAAAGCCAGCATCATTCTTAGTCCGTGGACATGGTGATTCTTTTTATGTCAATTATCTATAAATGTCCAATGCCTCACAGGCCAATGACGGTAATGGCCACATGCAAACACCTCACAAGTCTGATGTCTTGGCTCAAAGAAAATAAACCAAAATAATGGGGAAACTTTCCACAGCAAGAATTATGTACACGGTATTTGGCATCCTTCTTGCACTGTGAATGGTTCGTTTTCATGGATGTAAAAATGGTCCCGTCCTTATCCTGAGCAGAGTTTAAACTTTACCACATCCAGTTAGAGGATGAAGGCAACTTTTCTCTCTACAGACACAGGAATCTGAGTGTTTTAAAAAGTGTGAGCATTTCTGCACACTCCACAACCCAAAGCAAACTCTTCCCCGGTGGGTGGATGAACAACATGGAGTGGACATTCAGTTCCTTCTAACTGTTTGCCTTTGGGACCTGTATAAATTTTGAAGGAGACAAAAGAATACAATTCAAAATATATATACATAGAAACCTAATGTAAATATAAATCACTGGTAAATTATTCAAAGGATAATATAACAATGGTTGTGCAAATATAAAATTAAAAAATTATTTTTTCCTAACTGCACAAGTAAAAGTGTCCCCATAAAAAACTCAACATCCCAGGTATATATATAGAAGAAGGTAGGTGGTCCCTTACTTGCAACATCCTGCCTTGAAATAGCCACTAAAAGCTACAGATCATTTTCTATTAATATGTGCACTTGGTTCATCATTTTAAAGCAAAGAGCAATGAACAAAAATGGCCACAAAAATCCTTCAATTTAGTCTAGCAGGAAATTGTTCTAGATGAGAAAATACAGACTCTTGTATGAAACTTTTTTCCATGTAGTAATAGATTTAAATGTAACCACGCAATGTTACGCCTTCATCTCCTTTGAAAAAAAAGACATGCACTGATAAAACGGGAAAACTGGTTACTAGTGTTCTTCTGAAAAGCAGGTAGGAGGGCAATTAGTTGGAAAATGAAAATTAATCATCTTAGAAATATCAACAAAAATGGAATATAATCTGGAAGAAACACTTTGGGAAAGATATATTTGTAGACAATAATAAAATAATCTAGGTTAAAAGCATACAAAAAATCATACTTTTCAATCATCCATTATTTAAAAGACTGGTCATGGTCACGTGCACCAGCATCCTGGCACCAACAAGGTCGTCAGGAAATGTTTTAGAAGGGAATGGGCAGAGGGATGATCACTGACTTCTTAACCCAGACTCTTGTTTTCATATACTATTTAAAATTAATGGGTTGGCGGTAATGTTACAGGGTGCAGCCAAGGGGGGGGGGACCCCAAATAGGCATTTGAAATGGGGTCCAGAACTCAAGGTGTCCAGGAGATTTTAAGGTGTCTTCACCCCTTCCCCCACAGGTGTGAGTTGGGGGGAAGGGGCACACAGAGCAAGAACATGCAGGGCAGCTTTGCAGCTAATCCATGGCATGGTCATTTAGCATACCCTATAGCCTTTGGCTGGTCACTTAGATATGCTAAATAGCTATGGCCATGCTCAAGGCCAGGGGGGATGGAAAGGGATCTCCCCCAAGATGGGACTGGGGGGCAGGTCCCCTGAGTTACAGCGCCTGCGTGGGAGCTGGGAGAAGATTGGCTCCATGACATGGGGTGACACCTGCCCAGACCCAGGATGGTGACCAGAAAAGCTGGAGAAGACAGCAGATTGAGGGCAAGTGTGCCCAAGTGGAGGAGGAGTCGGAAATGGGGCTGCAGAGGAAGATTGGCTAGGGGATTTAAACCCAGACACGGCAGCCATTGAAGGAGAACCACACGACTTTGGACAGAGTGGGGACTCTCCCTTCCCGCAGCCCTGAGGAGGGGGAACCACGCAGCTTTGGACAGAGTGGGGACTCTCCCCTTCCCGCAGCCCTGAGAGAGAAGAGAACCACGTGTCTTTAGCAGAGTGGGGACCCCCACAGCTTTAGAAGGGAGAACCATGTGGTTTTGGCAGAGTGGGGACTCTCCCTTCCTGCATCCCAGAGGAGGAGAACCACGCGGCCTTGACAGAGTGGAGACTACCGTGGCCCTGGGAGAGAGGACCACATGCCTGTGCCAGAGTGGGGACCCCCACAGCTTTAGAAGGGGGAACCACCACCTGGTTTTAGCAGAGATCCCGGCGACTCAGCGGAGGGTGCCGGGAACCCAGGGAGGTCTCCCAGTCGAGATGGAGGACTAACTAAGAACCAGAGGACTGCCTGAGCCATGGACTTCTATTTCCTTTCCTGAGATATGGTACTCTGGACTGGGCAAAGGGGGAAGGAAGGAAAGACTGTGTGTTTGTGGGTGTTTTTAGGGACTTTAGGATTTTTGATAAAGACATTAGGTCACTACTTTAAGTTAGTATAGCATTAAATAAACATTTCCTTTCCTTTTCACGAATCTCTGGCATTGAGAGACGTCTTTCCTAGGGTGGCGGACATAACGGACCGGGCCTTCTTTCAATAATAGTATATCGTCCCAGGCCCCCCTTGTTGTGTTCTGTAACAATTAGAGAATCAGTCCTTCTGTCTTTCTAAGTAAATTGCATGGCCCCCTTCCCTGCTGATTTCACTGTGCATTCTCCTTTAATTCTCTTCCACTTCTCTGAACGAATGGATGAGTTAGAGGAATGTGTGGGGCAGAAAAAGCACACCTCGATCTAAGGGTATAGTCTTAGGCCAGCTGTTTGGCTTCTCTCGGCCTTAATTTTCCATTTGTAAACCAGGGGAGGGGGAAAATAGGCTGTAAAAATTCGGTGAGAAAACACATGTGAAAATGCCCAGGATCGATGTCAGTTCCTTCCTTCCTGCCATCTCCCCGACTCCTCTCCCGCCTCATTCCTGTGGTTCCCAAGTGCTCAGAGGACAAAGTCCTTTGTGTGGGCTGACCTGGATGATCACGTGAATGTGCAAGGGGAGGCCTCGCTTTGGCCTGGCCCGGCCTTTTCCTCTCAGTGACTGCCCACCACTGTGTGCTCTGCAATGCTTGTTTCATTACTAGCTGACTTCTTTTTTGTTTTCAGTATTTTTTTTAAGATAGATTTTCTCTCACTGAATAAAATTTGGATTTTCCCTGATGAAACTGCTTGCCTCTAAACTTCCTCAACTAGAACTTGGTTATTTATCTCCCAAGCTCTTCTGTGCCAAAAGGCCAGGAAGCAAGAATGACTTTCCAGGCTCTCATTTATTTCCAGGCCACTAACCTACTTTCACTCCATAATCCCTTTTCCCTTCAAGCTCAAATGAGCTAGAACACTGCCCGACCGTTTCTGTTCGCTGACCTCCAGACCGCCACCCCCTCCTGCAAATGATGGCTCACAGTTCCACTTGGGACATTACCTTACATACTATAGCCCCACATTATCCTGAGCTTGCTTCCTTCCAAGTCCACTACATCTACTTTTCTTAAAAGGTTTTTAGAGATGGAACAGCATTTAACAATTTTTATTTGATACAAGCAAATAGCAAAAAGTAGCCTTACATTAAAAAAAATAACCCTCTTTATTTTACTGTCTTTATTTTTGAAGAGATAATGCATCTCTCTCATAGTTTAAAAACTAGTAAGAAGCCACTTTCCCCATCTTCCCCCCATATTCCCTGTTTTCCCCCAAAGTTAACCAATTTTATTAATTTCTTATTTATCTTTCCAGTGTTTTTATGCAAATATAAACAAATATATAGTCATTTCCTCCTTTCTTACAAAGGCAGCATAACACATACACTCTTTTATCATTTGAATTTTCACTTAATATGATCTCCTATAGATCTTTCCATATCAGTACGTAGAAATTCCATCCTCAATAAAATAAGTCACCTTCCACCCTGGATACTTGTATAGTGTATGCATTTTTATTATTACAAGCAATGCTGCAGTAAATAACTTGCACATTTTTCCTTGTTTATTCTCTCCACACATGTAGGCATATCCCTGGAAGTGAGACTGTTGGAGGGTGCATGTGTTTGCAATTTTGAGAGCCACCACAGGGTACACCACGTGCAGTCCGATAAGCAACAGATGAGAGGGTGCGTTGCCCAGCTTTAACAACACTGTATATTCTGTATATTGTGGTGTTCGTGCTTTTGTATGCATTTCCACAAATTTCAGGTATGTCTTATGGAAAATTCTCTTCCACGGTCACACTCACCCCCTCTTCCACTTCTCTTACTTCCATTAAGCCTGTTATCCCACCTCACTGTGATCGCCAGCCTCCTGACTGCTTCCAAATTTCCAGTTTCTCTTTCATTTCATATTGACTTTTTCTCAGCCTGATTTCCACAGATAATCATTTCTCCTGTATTTTCAGTGGCTTCTTAAATTCCCTTGGCTTTCTGATGCTCACTACACTGCCAGTTTCCAGTCATTCTAGATTAAATCACTTGTCTATTTTATGGTTCCAGGCTTCTTAAAAAAGAAACTACAAAATCTCTTTAAATGGTTCTGTTATCCATTATGATTTCAAACTTCACACAGCCCTTTAGTGCTAAACAGCAATCCTTTCACAAATTGTTAGTGGACTTCCTTCTTAGCCCCCAAGCAATCCGCTCCCTTCTAGCTCCTCACCCCTCACTTGTGGTGAGGGTCTTACTTTCTACTTTACTCGGAAAGTCAAAAGTTCATGAGAGCTGATCCTTTGGATTCTTTAGGGGAGTCTGAGCTGGGTTTCTGCCACTTGCCACAGAGTGTTCCTATGTAATCATTCAATGAAGCTAGACACCATGGTCACATGTGAGAAGATTAACAGCGTACCTGCAGGACAGTGTGGTAGTTCCTCCTTAGGAATGCTCGTCATCCTTTGAAAATCATCATGACAAGCATTACAAAAATGTGTCGTTCCAAAACAGAAAAAGACAGCCACTGAGCAGCAGTAGCGACATTTATACTCCAAGAAGTCTGTGCCATGTTTCGGACACATCTATAGCAAAAGAAAACAGACACAAGATTACAGCGCGTGTCTGTAATTATTTCAATTACACTTAAGATAGTCATATATATAACTCAGTGATTCATATTTTAGGAGTATACACAGCTCTAAAAATATATTGAAAATTGATGATATACAACATTAAACAACAACAACAACAACAACAAATGTGTGGCTTTGCCCAAAGGATCTGGACAAGCCTGTTTCTAATCCCAGTTTCATCATAGCTAATTTCATTTATAAGGTAGCCCCTTAATTTCCTTGTGAATATCTTCTGGTAGCCAAATTATAAAATGAAGATTTCATGGAAGAGGGGAAAATCTAAAAATGTGACTGTAGGTTTAAGAAAATAAAATAAGTACACTTATTAATTGTTGAAATATGGTGATTATTTCATGGGAGACAAAATTATAAAATGCAAATCCCATCTAAAATAAATAACATATATGAAATAATTTGCAAATAATTTGAAAGTGCGGAAAACCCGCTATACCACTTCCACCATCCTTGGTTATATTATTATTATTTAAAAAAAAATAGAAGGGGCTTCCAGTCAAGATAGAGGTGCAGGTACACATGGCTTGCTTCCTGTACAACTACAGCAAAAATTACAACTAGACTACAAAACAAATATCACCCAGAGTCGTCAGAAAACTGAGCTGTACGCAAGTTCGACAACCAAGGAATTGAAGAAGACATACTCGTTGGGATGGGTAGGAAGGGCAGAGAAGCTCGGAGAGGTGCAGGCACACGGAGAGGTGCAAAGACTGCAAACAGGTGGTCTCCACACCCACACGTGGTGGCTAAAACTTGGAAAGGATACCTAGGGAGCGAGGGACCCCAGCCCCACACAGACCACTCAGCCCAAGGTTCCTGTGCAAGGAAGATAGGTATCCACAACTTCTGGCTGTAAAAACCAGTGGGGGTTGGGGTGGTGGAAGAAACTGTGGGATTCTCAGAAATCTCCCCTTGAAGGGCCTGCAACAGACTCAGGACTTACAGAGACTCACTCCCTCTGGGCTTCAGCACCAGGGCAACAGCAGGAAGGGCACCAGTGGCATACAGGGAGAAAATGAGGTGTGTGGCATCAGGGCAGAGGCCAGGCAGCAGCACTGTCCCCTCTCTGAGCCCTCCTCCACACAGAGCCACAGCGTAGTGATATGGGTTGCCCCACCCTGGTGATTACCTACGGCTCCACCCCATCCAACTTACAGGTGTGCTTTTTTTTTTCTTTCTTTTTCTTTTTTTTTGCTCTTCTACAGTAGGCCATGCTACTAAGACAGGGAGTCAAAGCAACTCTACCTAATACACAGAAACAAACACAGGGAGGCTGCCAAACTGAGGGGGGAAACAAATATGGCCCAAATGAAAGAAGAGAACAAAACCCTAGAGAAAGAACTAAATGAAATAGAGATAAGCAGTCTATCAGATGCAGAGTTCAAAACAGGTTATTAGGATGCTCAAGGTACTTCATCAGCATAGAAAACTCACTGGGTACTTCAACAGCATAGAAAAGACCCAAGAAGAAATGAAGGTTGCACTAAGTGAAATAAAGAAAAATTTACAGGGAACCAACAGTGGAGTGGATTGAAGTCAAGAATCAAATCAATGATCTGGGACACAAGGAAGAAAAAAACATTCAATCAGAATAGCCAGAAGAAAAAAAGAATAAAAAAAATGAGGATAGGCTAAGGAGCCTCTGGGATGTCTTCAAACATACCAACATTCAAATTATAGGGGTGCCAGAAGGAGAAGAGAAAAGAGCAAGAAATTGAAAACTTACTTATAATGAAAGAAAACTTCCCTAATTTGGTAAAGGAAATAGACATACAAGTCCAGGAAGCACAGAGAGTGCCAAACAAGATGGATGCAAAGAGGACCACACCAAGACACATAAATAAAATGCCCAAAGTTAAAGATGAAGAGAGAATCTTAAAAACAGCAAGAGAAAAGCAGATAGTTACCTACAAAGGAGTTCCCATAAAACTGTCAGATGACTTCTCAAAAGAAACTTTGCAGGCTAGAAAAGACTGGCAAGAAGCATTCAAAGTGAAAAACGAGGACCTACAACCTAGGTTACTCTATCCAGCGAAACTATCATTTAGAATTGGAGGGCAGATAAAGTCCTTCCCAAAGTAAAGATAAAGGAGTTCATCATTACCAAATCATTATTATCTAAAATGTTAAAGGGACTTATTTAAGAAAAAGATAAAAACTATGAACATTAAAATGGCAATAAATCCACAACAATCAGCAACTGAATCTAGAAACAAACTAAACAAACATGTAGAACAGAAACAGATACATAGATATGGAGGGTTATCACTTGGGAGGGGGTGGGAGGAAAAGGGAGAAAATGTGCAGAGATTAAGAAGTACAAATTGTGTCCTGGCTGGTGTAGCTCAGTGGACTGAGTGTGGGCTGCAAACCAAAGAGTTGCCAGTTCAATTCCCAGTCAGGGCACATGCCTGGGTTGCAGGCCAGGTCCCTAGTGTGGGGGCCATGTGAGAGGCAATAACAAATGATGTTTCTCTTCCTCTCTTTCTCTTTCCCTTCCCCTCTCTAAAAATAAATACAAATATGTTATTAAAAAAAAGAAGTACAAATTGTTAAGTAGAAGATAGACGGGGGATGTTAATAACTTTAGGAAATGGAGAAGTCAAAAAACTTCTATGCACAACCCATGGACATGAATTAAGAGGAGGGACTGCTGGAGGAATTGGGGAGGTATTGGGTGGAGGGGGCAAAGAGGGAAAAACTGGGACAACTGTAATAGCATAATCAGTAAGATATACTAACAAAATAGAACTTTTGTGTTTCTAAACTGTCCTTTCTACTAAAAATGTTCTACCCACCTGAGCCCTGGACACGTCAGAACAGGCACCACAAATGAGCTCTCTGGGATCATAGTCATCCCCTTGTCCAGCCTCGGCATCACAGCGAGCTCACACCGAAGTATGCCTAGAGACAAAAGTATCGAGATTAGGGCAGGAAAAAAACTCTGCGATGGGAGACGCAGTCTGGGTGAGGTGGCAGTGAGATCAGGAGGGCTTAGGAAACACTGTTGTCTGGGAGGCGCTTCCTTGCACAGCCGAGCGGGTGCTCACACCGCTGCCTGTTGGGCAGATCAGGGTGAGAATTAAAGCTTCGGCTCTGCAGTTCTGGAATGGAGTCGTGCGCACTGGAGTTGTGCACACGGTAGGAGTTCAAACATTGTACCTGTCAGAGCAAAGTAACAAAAGATTGCACAGTCTTCCAAAAACGTATCAAAACAGGATATTAAGTAGTAAAGAGAAACTGCTTTTTCAGGGCAAAGTTGGAAGAGTTTTTCATCATTTTGAAAGAGGTAATAACATCTTCCTTTTCACTGCACTAAAAAATATCCTTAGAATTCCTCCAATTTTAATCTACAGAACAAAAAATATGCCTGAAGTAAATTTTAATACAGAATTATAATACTCAGGCTAATGGAAAAGAAAAAATCGATTTTAACCACACAAAAATTTTAAAAAAGCAAAGACAGATTTGGTAATTCTGTTCAGAATACTGCTCATATTTATGAAGCTATACTATATGCAAGAACTGATCAGTATCCATTATAGATTCTTGAGTAAAGGAAACTACTGTAACAAATGATTTAACTGAATTTGCTCTGGACACAAAATAAATGAGGTCAATTATAATTGGGACAATCTACATGCACATGTCCCATAGCCAAAAAAGCTATGTCCATAATTGAAGATAAACAAGATGAGTCAATATCATCTGTACTAGAAAAACAGGTCAAAAGACAGGCTCCATTGATTCAGAGGTTATTAAATGGTCATCTACTAGCTAAATTTGGCCTCAGAAATATTTCATTTGTTCTGGGGTCTATTCCAGCTGTTTTACTTTTCTAGATCCCCTGCTTGCCTTCCCGGACATCCTTGTGGTGGAACAATATTCATTTATGATGTTTAGTACATTAAACACACAGAAATAATGTTTTGTTATTTGGAACAATACAATTCACAAATACACAGTATTGGTCGTGTGTGTTTGTGTGTGTGTGTGTGTGTCTGCCCTTCTGGCTACCATCTATCTTTCCATTCATTATTAGTATTTTCTTTTTGCTATACTGGGAAACCATGCATCTTTCATTTATTAATTCCTTTGTTCACTTATTCATTTTCTAATTAACTTAGTGTCTAATCAGTACCAAGTACTGAAGACAGGGGAATTAAAAAACAGTCTTTGTCCTCATGGAACTTACCAAGTGGGGTCCAGAGACAAGTGAACCAGTAATCATGCTTCAGAATACTGAGTGCTACGGTGGACACATGCCAGACATCGACATCGTGTGGTGGTGGCGGGGAGGTGTGGGCATGTTACAGAGGAGGTGAAACCCGATCTGAACCCACAAGTATGACAGACTTGGCTCTGTGCGTGAGCATGTGTGCAGGGTGGGTGGCAGGTGAGAGTAAAATGCAGAGCAGGTAGAGAAGAGCATTTCATGAAGAGAAATCACCTATGCGATGGCATGGAAGTGTCAGGGTGTGAGTAGACATAGCCGAGCTTGGGGACTGCAAGTTGTTTGGTATTTTGTAGCAGAGGGTGCAAATGGCAGCATATTAGGGCATGAGATGAAGGGTGAACTGGGCCACAGGATTATGAGCAGAACAGTGACACACTCAGATTTGAGAAATACTAATCTATGAGTAGCACCGTAAGTATAAAGGATGGCATGGAACAGTTAGGAGCTCCACAGAAGGAGTTTAGTAAGAAGGCTGCTATAGGCAGACAGCTCTGGGGGAGGTTTGGGAGAGGGTGGGTGGAGGGATTGAGCCAAAAAAAAAAGAAAGAGAGAGAGAAAGAACTCATGGACATGAAAAAAGAAAAAAACGAGGAAAAAAAAAAGAAGGCTGTCATAATTACCAAAGAAAATCATTAGGGTTGCTGAAGATGTCATAGGAGGGGGAAAAAAAACCCCCAAAACTTAAGAGAGATTTAAAGGCAGAATTGCAAGGACTTTGGAAATTAACACTGGAGATTGACAGCGAGTCAAAGTTGAATGGAATACTGCACATATGAACTCTGAAGTATCTGTGAGATATCCAAATGTCTGAAAGGCTACTGAATATTTGTATCTAAATCTCAAAAATTTTGGAAGGTCATAATATTACAGGTGGTCAGCAAAGGCAAGGGTGCACAGGAGGTCACCAAAGATAAGGAGGTACCATTAGGCAAGGATGGCGAGCTGGGAAATATGAAAGTGGCAGGTGAACAAAAGGGAACCCTGGGAGGGAGTTAAAGACAAAGGACTAGAGAGGGAGGAGAATAGTAAAGTGTTTTGCTGGAAGGCAAGGAAATAAGGATTTAAGGAGGAAATGCTCAAAAGAGTCAAAGTAAGAGAAGTTTATTCGAGAACCAACTGGGTTTGGCAAACAGGAGGTTATTACTGATGGGAAGCAGCTTGTGTACCGCAATCCATCATGTTTTGGAAATAGTCTGCATAGGTTAAAAAATATCTCAAAACAAATTAAGTAAATAGATGCAACTTGAAACATAGTACCAAGTTTCTCATTTTAAACTTCAGATTTAAGATGTAAGAATAATTGAATATCAGTATACAATTCAACTTCTTAATCACATAGACAATCTCTAGTTCTTAAAAATTCTTAGTATAATTTTATAGCATACCTTTCTGCATTTGTAGCAAACATAATATGCATATCTATTCATGGCATAGCCAGCTGGGTCATTATAAAATCTCACTCCAGGAGTTGTGATGGCTTCACTCTTATGCAGACCTTCATATTCCAATCGCATTAAGGCTTTTCTTCTGACATCCTCATAGAGTTCTTTTATTGGATCAAGCAGGTCTTTTAATACTATATGATTGATTTTGTTCTGAAATTCAAAGAATAAACATCCTTTCAGAGGATCACTTATTAACTAAACAATGTGCACCAAAGTGCCAAGCACTGTGCTAGGAGATACCTAAAACTTTTCTAAATAAAATGCCATTTAAAAGTAATCTTGCAAAGTCCTCACAAGCCCATATTTTCCCAAGAGCAGGGAAAATGGAGGAAGTGAGGCACAGAATGTGAAAGTTCCATTTTATTAGCTTCACATTCCTGAGTGTGGGGCGCATCTGCTGCTGCCTGGGCCGTGCTGGGGGGGAAAGGTCACCTTGCCACCACAAAGAAGACACTCCTGTGCGTGCAGTGGCTCCTCGAAGCTAGGGTAGAATATCAGGTGACAGGAATAGGCAGGTAGTATTTTATGTACCACTTTCAAGTGTCATTTCTTAATGTGACCTTTTATTGGTGGCACCATATGAGTTGGGAAAGCAAATACTCCAATCTTTTTGATTATTTCTCAGTTTAACTAAGCAATGATTATGTTGTCTTTCCATATCATACCCTATATACCAACCTGCAAATCTGAAGAAAATAGGGAGAACTAAATAGAAAAAAAAAGAAGATTAGAGAAGGCATTGCTAATCACATTCTTAAACAAAGGTTTTCTAAATAATTATTATTAGCTTGACAAAACAACTTGCTACTTTGCTTATTACTATCTTGGTAGAGATGTTTGTCAAAAATCTTATTTTATCTGAGCTCTAAAAGAATCTGTCTTAATGGCACCGAAAGTTCGGGTTTCACTCTTTAATGCAGGTATCAGTACCTACAAGTGCCAGAGGCTCGTTCTTTCTGGCAGTCACTCACTGTCATGTCACGTAACCCCAGCTCTCAGGGGACTTGAAAGCTGTGACACATGCCCTTCAATGCTTGGTGATGTCTAAATGAGTTATATAATACATTATGTCTAATTTAACAAGCTTTCAATTGATAATTACTATTTTGAGATGCATTATACTAGATCTGTAATATTCCCAGGTAGCACCCAATAAGGACAGCAGAATCTGATGGGGGATAGAAGTTAAAAAGTAAACTGAAAGGACACTGAGAGATACTGACACATATTTATTCTGAAAGGTGAAAGACGAAGATAAAGATGAAAGCAGATTGAAGGTAGATAATTTCTGTTCCTTTCCATACCTTGCAGATGGGACAAGATATAAATCCAAACGTTATCCTTGGACCAAGCCATCTGTTTTCCAAAACTCGCCGACAGCACTGTAAGTGGAACACGTGACTACAGTCCAGCTTAAAGAAAGAAGAGAGAAGGATATAAGCACATGCAGTAACGATAACACCTACAACTGGCAGATTATTCAATGTATGTTGCTACTGAAAGCAGGTAAGAGAAAAATCAAGAAATTTAGTTCAATAAAAATTTTAGCACTTTTCCACTATTTAGAAGACATTAAGTAGATCTCCAGCTTCTCCCAGTTTTTTTTAGCATACATATATCAATGCCATCTTATAGCAAGTAAGCTGGGTTAGGAAAAGTACAAAATTACTCAATTCTATACCTTATAAAAACAAGAGGAAACTACTAACTTAAAGATTTAAGATATATAAGAGAATATTACCTTGGAATCACAAGAACTAGAATTATAAAAAAGCGATGAGTGAAAGTAAAAAAGACTATATTTAGCAAACAACTTATGTATTATTATTATAGATATATTTATTATATATAGAGGCATACATCACTGCATCATTATGAATAGATCAGTTGCATAATGTATTAAATGCCACTCTGGGTTTTGAAAATTAAGAAGAGAGAAGTTACTGGATTATCTACTTTTCATCCCTATGAACACTTTATACATCTATTACTTCCTCAGGCTCACACAAATTACACATTACAGCTAAACACACAAAATGTAAACAGAACCTAAGAGACAGAATTTTCTCTTTAATAAATTGGCAGGTATTAGTGGAACGTTGTCTACTGATGGTAACGGCCTAGCCGCATTCACTACATTAAAAGCTGGGACAACCTGGATGGCCGGTGCTGCCGAGAGCGCCTCAGTGAAGCATATCATGCACATGTCGTCCGCGTCCTGCTTCAGGGCGGTGGCGGTTTTATCGCAGCCGTGCAGACAGGGCAGACAGTGCTCTTCGTTCTTCACACCTCCGCACGGATGGCCACAAGGGTGTGTCTTACTACAGGCTATCTTAGCGTATTCCTAGTAAAGATGAATTACAATGGCACACAAAATATCAAAGAAGCACATATCCTGGTAATTATATACATTATACTCATTTTCCAAGATACTTCCCACAGTAATTACATATTAGGGATAAGTTACAATAAAGTAATTTTTATTGTTTGAATGTAAATTAGGGTTATTAACAAAGTCAGTTTTTCTTTTAATGTGATTAAAAAAATTTCACTGCACATAAAGGGTATACTGATAAAACGTGAATTAGAAGTTTAATCTGCCCTGGCTGGCATAGCTCAGTGGATTGAGCATGGGCTGCAAACCAAAGTGTCGCAGGTTCGATTCCCAGTCAGGGTACATGCCTGGGTTGCAGGCCATGACCCCCAGCAATCGCACATTGATGTTTCTCTCTCTATCTCCCTCCCTTCACTCTCTAAAAATAAATAAATAAAATTTTTAAAAAAAGAAGTTTAATCTGTTATCATGCATAGCCATAAAGCAAAAAGTACTGATATACAATCTCCCAATCACTACCCACCTCCCTTGCCAAAATGGGGATTAAAAAAAAATACAGATATCTTTCACTATTTGGGTACTATCCAAATTCTTGTTAACTAATTTGAGGAATCATAAATGTTTGAGCCCTGACCAGCATAGCTCAGTAGGTTTGGCACTGTTTTTCAGGGTAAAAGGTCACCAGTTCCACTCCTGGTCAGGGCACATGCCTGGCTTATGGGCCAGGTCCCAGGTTGGGGGCTTGCAAGGGGCAACCGATCAATGTTTCTCTCACACATCAATGTTTCTGATGTTTTCTTCCTCTCTTTCTCCCTCCCTCCCTCTGCCCCGTAAAAAATAAATAAATATAATCTTAAAAATTTTTGAATAACATGGAATGTATACAGATGTTTAAGACTAAAGAACTTTTGGATACTGGAAGTTAATCTTAGGAAAATAAGTGAACAAAATATGTATAATAGGCAAGGAAAATACAATCCATAGATTTTTAACCATTTCTAGCACAAAAGTAAAGGTTAGATATATATGCTGAATACAGTTGGGAAACACACAAAAAATACCTGGTTTGGGTTTGACTGCTTTGTCTGATCCATTCTCCAGCTCTGACAAAGCACTTAACTCTGGACATGGCTAATACCCTAACTTACACAACTGGAGTGGTGCTGAACTCAAACTCTTCCTTTTAGGAAGGGAAAGGTGTCATGTGGGAGTGCGTACCGCCCTTACTGGGACACTCACCTGGCAATCTGCATCAGAACAAACACTGCCAACAGCAGATAACTCTGTTCCACTTCTGGAACCACAGAAGCGGCATGCTTCTGAGCTACTTGTGGTGGGTTTGCCTAGGTCCAAGCAAAAAAAAAAAAAAATCCTCCTTAAGAATGTTTTCTACATATTTTAATATAAATAATTTTTAAAAAACCAATCAAACCAAGCTTGCATCAGATGCCATCACTGGGAAATCAGCCTGGCAGTTTTACAGGTGAAGGATTGTAAACTGCCCTAATTACAAAGTGAATACACACACAAAAAAAGGGATCAGAAACTGAAGAGCTATATCTAAAGCCAAATGAATTGTCAACTGATATATTTATACTTTTTTCAGTAAAAAGAATTAGACTGAACCTCTAGTCAAGAGAGCAGGCTGAGCAGATATGGCAAGTCCCCCACTAAAAAAGCATAATACCAGACAAAATATAACAATAAAAATTAAATAAAAATACACAGAAGAAAGGAAAGTTTTAAGTGCCTTTTCACAATGGCAATAATTAAAATGCGCAGGAGAAAACTTCATCAGAGAATATAAAACTTGAAAACCAAAATTCCTACCCAAGGAAGTAGAGATCATAGAGCAATTTGAAAAAAATTTAAAATCTGAAATAAAGATCAAATAGATCCACAAAAACAAGAACAGAACAACATGAGAAAGAACAGAAAAATTTGAAAAATCTGTATGAAGATCATTTTTAAATATAGATACAAAATTCTAAGTAGTAATGTATTGAACTTAAAAATTTTTTAAAAAGGATAGTTTATATTATGAATGCAATGATGGTTCAACATTAGAACATTTACTCACGTTACAGCATGGCCAGATTATAGGGAAAAAATCAGCTCTAAGAAAAAAAGACCATGCTCTTATAGCATGAAAAGTTACTCCTATATAAAGTTAAATTTATTCAGGTTTACACCTAATTCCAACATTAGAAATTTATGTCAGTCAAATGGCAGATGACAGAGGTACTGAAAATTGAGACTCTCTTAAGATTTAAGCTGGGACTATACCAGACTTACTTTATACATAAATATAAATGAAAAACCACATGGTTTGGAGACAAAATGACAGGCCCAAGGTTACATAACTAGTTAGTGCAAACCAGGTTTTTAGACTGATGCTCTAACACTCAACATTGTCTAGTAAATATAATATAGTAACCAATGATGTCATCATAATCATTTATCAGAATACATTCAAAATTATTCACATTAAATAACTGAATTAAACTAACATCTAGTTTAATGGTAACCAATAGGCATGGGTCAATCTTTTTTTAAAGAATAAAACTGTACACCATTTATTATAAGGATCAAACTAAGCAAATTACATTAGACTTCCTAACCCACTGATCAATACTGTAAATGTAACACGCCAAGAACTTGAAAACCTTTGGAACCCTTCCAAGCCAGGGTGGATATAATATTTTGCTATTGGTGGCTTAGATCCTCTACTCTTTTTTTAAAGATTTTTAAAATTGTTATACTATTACAATTGTCCCAATTTCCCCCCCTTTTCCCTCCTCTGCCCATCCTGCCCCCCCACTCCTATAGCCAATTCCTACCTGGTGGAAAAATGGGAAGGGACTAGTTAAAGAACATGTATGAATGACCCATGGACATGGACAACAGGTGGGCATGGTTCAATCTCCTTTAAGTCCTCTTTTACCTGTGTGCTCTCGGAATTCCACCATTGCTTTCATGGTTTTAGAATCTGCGAGTGCCATCAACCAAAACAATTTGGTTCTACCACAGCCTTCATGAAGGTCGACCTTTATAGCTTCTTCTTCTTCTTTGAAGACCTATTATATCATTTTAAAAACAGGAAAATATATTTAGCACCCTGAAAGAAGACTATAAAATTTAATTTATTCAATAATAACAGTCGCTTTTATTTAGGAAGCACTCTAGAAAGTTCCAGGCATTTCTAATATTCTCTTTAATCTTCACAATACTTCCATTTTAATAAATGTTTTAGAGAGATTGAACAACTTGTTTGATTTATTCAGTTGATAAGTGAGGCAGTGAGGTATTTGATCCCAAAGTCCATTTTTTCCTGTGACACCAAGTCTCCCTCCCACAGAATTTACTGAATATACTTTATGCCCTAGATAATGTTCTGTGTGTAAAGACAGAAATCTTCACCTGTCTCTGATGAGTTTTGGTTCGTCGATGAAGATGAAGGAATCTGTCACAGTCGGTACATAAATTCCCACATACGTTGCATAAAATGATCGCTGCAGTTTCACCATCATCATGGTTATCACACATAGGCTAAAACAGGACGTTTTCATAGCTCACATTAGATTAACGAGGAAGTCTCAATATTCACACAAATTGAATGTAATTTATCTTCAACAGTAAAAGACTATTATTCTGAAGTCTATTAAGAATTTGGAATCTGAACCTTAAAGAGAATGATGGCAAGTGGACCAAATAACAAAATTCCCTCCCCAATTCAATGATTAATAAAATAAACATGTATAATCTACTCTGCTTAATGACTTGAGAAAATTTCTGTACATTTCTCAAACATTGTGATGCTAAATGAATAAATTATTCATTTTTGAAACTTGAACAATTAATAAAAGGTCTTCCCTTACAGTGAATGCAAAGATACATATCAGACCTACTTTAGGTACATTTCTGAAGAAATAGTAATGTCATATCGCCTCTCTTACTGCTTTATTTCCTTCTTACCATAAGACTGATTAAAAAAATTTTAATGTGATGCAAACATGTCTCAAAGAAAAAGGGGAAATTCTTTTATATAATTAAAGCCCCTAGTACACTACAAAGAGGGACCCTTGTGAGGTGAACTTTGGCAGTGTGACACAATTTTTCAAGAGTGCAACTAAATATGCAGGTTTACTTACAGTGTTTTTCTCTATTTAAAGCTAAGCTAACACAGACTAGAAACAAGGTAATCTTACATAAATAATTTTGATCTCACCATTTGTTTTTGTTGTCCATCCTTTCCCATCCATCTTCCGGAGGAGAGACGATCCACATGGTCCTGATCCAGAACGCACAGGGAGGCTAGCGCGAGCCAGAGCTGTTGAAAGGGAAGGCTGTCACACCACTGAACGCCTAGGAAAGACTTGCACAGCGTGGACTGTCTGGCACACGATCACAGTTCAATAAATGTCAGCTGGATTTGAAAATAGGTACATAGCCAGTGGTTCTCAAAGCTTCCTGATGTAGCACCAGGCAAACATACTCATGTGTCTATGCCATGTACAGAGTATGCACTCAAATATATACTGAATAAATGTTGCTCTGATGAACCAGTCTATTTTCTACCTGATGTATAAAATTATCCTTTATTGGTCTAATATGGAAACACTGTATCAACAAATAAATTTACATATTTAATATACCAATGCCTCTTGCAAATTTTTCCATCCAGTATCATCTCCCTGAGGCACTAAATTCTCAGGAAGGTGTTGGATTTCGCACAGTCGCACGAGTAGTTGGGTACGTACTAGATTCTTGTAGACAACAGTGACTCGCAAGCCTCTGCGTGCCCCTCATGGCCCAGCACTCTGCTTGGTGTGCTGTGTCAGAGCTAGGTAAATGTCTAACCAGTAAAGTAAGTGTCTAACAACTTCAGAAAAGTACCCTCAAAAACAGTTCAACACGTTCTGAGGCTCCCAGAGTAAGCTTCAGTTTTACATAGAATAATATATTTCTGTATTACTGAAAAAAACAATTTAAATTTCTTAGCTCTAAGAAGTGCATGTGAGTGTCACTGGGTATGAAGAGTATCGGGGAAAATAGGAAAAGAAAAAACAGAAAAAGAAAAATAAAGTATGCAAGAACAAAGGAGCGTGCAGAATGACAGAACAGAACACAAGCAGGCTGGGACAGGGATGCCACCAGAGTGACTGCGTGAGATGTCACACTCACTAGCGAAAGAACATTAACGCTTTTTTCTGCCCGAGGAAAATATAATGTATCTTCCTTTTCAGACTTCTGAGAATTAACATAAGTAATATTCACCAGTGTTTACTTATTCCCAATGCTGTCACACCGCCCCACTTCTAGGAAATCTCAGATCTCCTCTGGAAGCACACGGAACATGAAATTTGGTAGGTTAAAAATTCCCACAGATGTGTCATCTGAAGAATGAAATCCCACTCTCTAAGAGATTCTGCCCCACTGTACCCCACCCCAGGCACAAACTTTTGCTTTTTAAAAAAGTAAGGCCTATAAATCCAGTAAATATGCTATAGGGATCTACCTTAGGACAACTGGGCCCTACCAAAAGGAGTAGGGAGTGCCTTGTTTTTGAAGGACCTCAGTCTATCATAGCACAATGCTGACACCAAACTTACTGTGTAAGCCACAGTAAATTCACCATTGGAAAGAAAATATGCTGACATAGGAGGAAATTTAGCCTTTTCTAACCAGTATACTCTAAGCTTCCTAAATGACAACGAAAACAACTGATAAAGAATACATAACAGGGAATATTAATAATGACTCTTCATTCATAATTTTAAAAAGCCCTTCATGCTTTTTAAATAAATATAATATTTGGTAAAAAAAAAGGTGAGTTAAGCTGACCTACTGATTCAAATTTGTTCAACATATTACTGAAAAAGACCATGCTACGATATAGACCAAACGAAAAAATCCTACCCTCGTTGTTGCAATACATCTCACTGGAGATCTGAATTCTTCCTCCATCTTGGTCAAGGCAATGATGGTTTCTGCAATGGCATTTTTGGTCACACGGGACCATGCTTCTGATAGATGACCCTATTGAATAGAAAATAATTTAATAAGCAACTAGAAATGTATAATCATAGTAGTAAATTCTATTCTCTGTCATAACATCTCTCCCATAAAGGGAGATTTGTTAGTGGAATTCTAATCAAGAGGCATAGTTTTGAAATAAAAATTTTTCACTGCCCTATGAAAAATTCAACTTCTAATCACTATTTTGATGATGCAAAAGAAAAGTAAATAAATTATACTCTCAATACTCTCTAGAGTTCAAGGCAATTTCCTTTTACATTTTAAAAAATTTCTTCAGTATATTTTATTGATTATGCTATTACAGTTGTCCCACTTCTTTCTCCCCTTTATCCTCCCTCTGCCCTGCATCACCCCTCCCTCCCTCCAGCATTCCCCACCTTAGTTCATGTCTAGGGGTCATACATATAAGTTCTTTGGCTTCTCCATTTCCTATAGTATTCCTAACCTTCCCCTATGTATTTTGTACCTACCAATTATGCTTCGTATTTCCTGTAACTTTTCCCCCATTCTCCCTCCCCGCCCTCTCAGCTGGTAATCCCCCATGTGATCTCCATTTCTGTGATTCTGTTCCTGTTCTAGCTGTTTGTTTGCTTAGTTTGTTTTTGTTTTGTTTTCTAGGTTCAGTTGTTGATTATTGTGAGATTTTGTCATTTTACTGTTTATAGTTTTGATTTTCTTTTTCTTAGATAAGTCCCTTTAACATTTCATATAATAAGGGGTTGGTGATGAACTCCTTTAACTCTGCCTTATCTGGGAAGCACTTTATCTGCCCTTCCATTCTAAATGCTAGCTTTGCTGGCTAGAGTAATCTTGGATGTAGGTTCTTGCCTTTCATGACTTTGAATACCTCTTTCTAGCCTTTTTTTTTTTAAGCTTTCTTTTTTTTCTTCCAAAGGTTTTTATTTTTTAAAAGTATTTTATTGATTATGCTATTACAGCTGTCCCATTACTTCCCTCCATCCCCCTCCACCCTGCACACCCTCTCCCACCCACATTCCCCCCCTTTAGTTCATGTCCATGAGTCATAAGTTCTTTAGCTTCTACATTTCCCATACTATTCTTGCCCTCCCCCTGTCTATTTTCTATCTACCATCTATGCTACTTATTCTCTGTACCTTTTCCCCCTCTCTCCTCCTCCCACTCCCCTATTGCTAACCCTCCATGTGTTCTCCATTTCTGTGGTTCTGTTCCTGTTCTAGTTCTTTGCTTAGTTCGTTTTTGTTTTAGGTGTGGTTGTTAATAATTGTGAGTTTGCTGTCATTTTACTATACATGTTTTTTATCTTCTTTTCCTTAGATAAGTCTCTCTAACATTTCATATAATAAGGGCTTGGTGATGATGAACTCCTTTAACTTGACTTCATCTGGGAAGGATTTTATCTGCCCTTCCATTCTAAATGAAAGCTTTGCTGGATAGAGCAATCTTGGATGTAGGTCCTTGTCTTTCATGACTTGAAATACTTTTTTCCAGTCCCTTCTTGCCTGTAAGGTTTCTTTTGAGAAATCAGCGGACAGTCTGATGGGAACTCCTTTGTAGGTAACTGTCCCCTTTTCTGTTGCTGCTTTAAAGATTCTCTCTGTCTTTAACCTTTGGCATTTTAATTATGATGTGTCTATGAACAGTGGGCCTCTTTATAGTCATCTTGTTTGGGACCTTCTGTAATTCCTTGTCTTGCATGTCTGTTTCCTTCAACAAATTAGGGAAGATTTCTTTCATTATTTTTTCAAATAAGTTTTCAATTTCATGCTCTTTCCTTTCTCCTTTTGACATCCCTACAATTTGGATGTTGGAACGTTTAAAGTTGTCCCAGAGGTTCCTAAGCCTCTCCTCATATTTTTTTTATTTCTTTTTTCTTCATTTTGTTCTGATTAAATGTTTGTTTCTTCCTTTTGTTCCAAATTCTTGATTTCAGTCCTGGTTTCCTTCCCTTCACTGTTGGTTCCCTGTATATTTTCCTTTTTTCCACTTTGCATAGCCTTCACTTCTTCCACTGTTTTATGTCCATGCTCAATCATTTCTGTGAGCATCCTGATTACCTGTGTTTTGAACTCTGCATCTGACAGGTTGGCTACTCTTTGTCACTTAGTTTTTTTCTGGAGTTTTGATCTGTTCTTTCATTTGGGCCATATTTCTTTGTTTCAGTGTACTTGTTATATTGTAAGGGGTGGGGCCTTAGGTATTCACCTGGGTGGGGCGACCCACTTTGCTATGTTGTGGCACTGTATGTGGGGGAGGGGTCAGAGAGAAAACAATGCTGCTTGCTCAGCTCTCGCCCCACTGTTACTTCTCCCACTACCCATAAGAGACTTGGGCCCTTCTAGTGTTGATTCCCCAGGGGGTGTGGGTGTATACATTCTAGGACCCCCTGGGTCCCTCCAATGGACTCTCCTGTAAGCCTGGGAGTTTTTCCCCCTGCCGCAACCCCCAGAAGATTTTACAGCCAGAGGTCTTGAGGCTTTATTTCCCCTCACTAGAACCCTTGGTTGAGAGGTCTGTCTCACTCCCCAGTTGTTCCTCCTGGTTTATCCACACACAAATGTGGGACAACTTGGTCTGCCAGACGCCGCCTTGTCACATGTCCTCTCCGTCCCAGCTGTCCTTTTCTGCCCTCTACCAGTCTGGATAATTGTTTTCTCTTTAACTCCTTAGTAGTTGAACTTCCATACAGTTCGATTTTCTGGCAGTTCTGGGTGTTTTTTGTTTTTAAATTTGTTGTTGTCCTTCTTTTGGTTGTGTGAGGAAACAAAGCTTCTTCTTCCTACACCTCCATTTTGGCTGGAAGTCCTTTTACGTTTTGATAAAAAACATAAGTACTAAAGTTCCTAAGCTTGAGAAATTTCAATTATGAAACCTTTTTACTTAACATGAAATTTATACAGCTAAGCTAATTGCTTCAGGTGAGTATTACTGGAGCCCAAGAACATAAATGGGTTCAAATTTCAACTTCCTTCATTTTCTAACTTGATTTTTACCAATTACTATCACTTTTTAAGTACTACAGAATTTAGGTGTTGCTAAACAGTTTTCTTAAATATTTCCATCCAGTGAACATACTGAAAAAGCCTACTTGAGAACTGAAAAAATTCTCCATTTCTCTGACTGAGGAAATGTCCACACTGTTGGGGAAAGCGAAAGGACTTTCTATTTCTCCAGAGTATCTTCTCTCATCTCATATCTACATTCTATCAGTCTTTTAAGGGGCAGTTCAAATTCCCCCTCCTTCAAAATGGCCCACCATCTGTTTTACCTCTCAGAAACCTATGACTCACAATATCGTGTCCTCCTCAGGCTGAACTCCTGGAGATAATGGAACGTCAGAAAAGTAACAGTACAGAGTACCCAGTGAAAGCAAGGCACTCTGATAAGTAATTCTCTTTCCTCCACACTCCCAGATCTTCCCACCAAGCTAACATCCAAAGACAGTGTGTAAGACATTAATAAGGAAGAGTAAAAATTTTATAAACCTTGAGAACTGAAAAGGAGAAACGGCCACTTTGGGGAGCCCCTTTTTCCTTTCAGACTCAGGCTATTTTTTTAGAGTTCAAATATATATAAAATATCATCATTTAAGTTTTAAAGTTTTGGAAGACTTATGTTACAATTCCCAAGTAAATGAGCTTGGAGGCTTGCAATGAACATAATTTACATGAACGACAAATTTATAACCAACCAAAAAGATAAACGGTGTAATAGTTATCCTATTAAAAAGGACCTTTAAGTTAACCAAAATAACACTAATGTACTTCTCCTATAATTCAGTAGAATAAGCTCCTTGTTTTGTTAATAGGGTTTCTACTGCGTTTCACTGACACAATGCTCAGCGGGGTGCAAACTTACTGCCGCCATGTCCTTAATAAGTTTAATGATGATCTCTGAGATCTGGGTGGGAGTTGAGCCCTTCATCCACCAATGACTTTCACCTCGTCGAATGTAACTGCAAAGAAAAGTCAGCGAGTGCACAATCAGTGATAGTCAAAAATGAGTAAGATGAAAACTTTTATTTCAACATGCAGCACTCTAATCCTTTAAATGTTCCAATCAATTAAAGCACTTTTGAAAAAATCATCAACACATTACCATTATCTGTGTCTTCAATAGCAAGAGAGTAGCTATTCTGATATATGTTTCCTTTGAAATATTTCTGTTTATATATTATTTGTGTATGCATTTTCTAGAACAGGGCTATTTAACATATATCCATAGACCACAAACTGGTTGTCTACATACAGATAATAAAGAGCTCGCAACAGAAAATGTCAGCTACATCACTAAGCATACTACTGTTGAATTCAGCTAGCATTTTTCCTCAGGCAAGTCTATGGAGATAAAGGAAGCAATACATTGATTTACATTCTGATATTATTCTGATATTATTATCTGATATCATGGTTTAACTCTTTTACTAGCATGTCTCTAATGTATACATAATTCTGGTGTAAGACATAATTCTGGCATAAACATCCTTGCATACGTATCTGCGCACATGTACAAACACTTCTGATGCAAACAGTTATAGAAGCAGAATTGGTAGGTCAGAGGATATGCGTATTATGAATATATAGTGATATGCTAAGACATCCAAAAAGACTGTAGCCATTTATATTATGTATCATTTAAAAAATGCCTAGTTCTTCATAATGCTGACAATGCAAAGACGTTCTCTTACTGTTTTATCTACATTTCTCTGATTACCGGTAAAGTGTCTCTCATTTGCTTACTGGCATTTGTAGTTTTTCTTCCCTAAACTAACTTTTCTTGTTGTCTATCAGTTGTCTTTTTCTCACTGATTTGTAGTCATTCTTCTAATATTATGCCTAATAATTCACTGTCTACTATAGATGTTAAATATTTTTTCCAAGTCAGTTGCTTACATTTTAAAAGTATTATATATCGCTCTGGCTGCTGTGGCTCAGTGGATTGAGCGTGGGCCTGCGAACCAAAAAGGTTGCCGGTTCCATTCCCAGTCAGGGCACATGCCTGGGTTGCGGGCCAGGTCCCCAGTTGGGGACATGTGAGGGGCAACCACACATTGATGTTTCTCTCCCTCCCTTTCTCCTTCCCTTTCCTTCTCTATAAATAAATAAATAAATGAAATCTTTAAAAAACGAGATTGAAAAGTATTGTATATCAGTTAATTTTCATTTTAATGTAGTAAAATCGGTGAATCTTTTCTTCTCTGATTGGTTTTATGTTTCATTCATGGGAGTCTTTCCAAATTAAAGATTACAAAAATATTCTACTATTTGTCCTTGTAGAATTTTAAAGACATATACATAAAGCTTTAATTGATCTCAAGTTTATTTTTGTATATGGTGTGAGGTAAAGGACTATTTTTTTTTTACATGGGAAGTATTCCAAGGTCATCATTCAGCAGACACCTTTCCCTGCTAATCCAAAATAAAACTTTCATTATATACAGCATTCTTTTTAATATATTGGTCAGTCATTTGTAGCAAATAAGGTGGAACCTGACATCATGTCTCATTTCTCCAAACAGTAGGTCATTCTGTTCTATTTTAGTACGAAAACACCCCCAATAACCAACCTGGAATTGAAAATCATCGGAAGGGTGACTGTGGTAACCCCCTTGCCCACGGTGGTTCCTGCTGTTCCTGTGATGGTAGTCCCTTTGGCCTTCAGCTGTACTGTGAGCGCTTTGGCAATGCAGCCCAGAAACATGTCCAAGATGCCCAGCTTGTTCCAATCCCCTTTCTCCGTGGAGTGAATGATATCACTGATGTCTGCTGGGGGGAGGGATTTCACGCCTATGATGCTGGCCAGACGGCTGGGGGTCACTTCGGGCAAAACTCGTCTTAGTAAGGAGGTCACCTGTTAAAGAAAATAAAAGGAAAGAATTCTATTTAAAGGTTGGTCTCTTAAAGTTTCACATTTTATTTTTTTTAATGAACCTAGCTGCCATTTTATGAATTCAAAGCTTTGAGAAGGACAGAAATATGATTTAAGCACTATTTTTTTTAATTTCCCAAGTGGTAATTTTCACTTCATGGCAGCAAGAACATGTCTTTTACTTGGTTAGGATTGAGGGAAAATTATATTACAGTTTTCAAAGTATGAGACAATCAGTAGCCATAATACTCTTTATCACAACAGCACATTAATAAAATAAAGTATTATTTTGCTCTTCCATATCCTCATTACAATGAGTCAAAAATAAAAAGCAAAGAGTTAAAATACAATCCAAAACTTGAAACAGAATGAAACAAAACAAGAACCAATAATTAAGTTCCTATATGTTACTAGTTTAATTTTTAACAATGTTTCAAGCAACAAAATGAGCCAAAAGGTAAGTGGTATGACCAGTCACCTGTCTCTGGACTCGAGGCGATGCTGTGTGGAGCAGTGAGAAGAGATCCTGGAGCAGAGTGAGCTGCTGAGCCAGGTACTGCCGGCCCACGTTGGAGCCGCTCAACGCCAAGACCATAGAGAGCAGTTCAAAGCAGTAAGCATCAGAGGAGGCATCTTCATCATTGGGCTGAGAATTGGCATTTTCTTTGCTTGATATGGCATGTTCCCATTCTTCACGAACTCTGGTGGCTTCCATGCGAATGGCCTGAACTATGTGAGCACAAACCTATTTAAAAGGTGACACAGAAACATAAAGAAAATGTAAACCATATTTGTAAGTCTGATTTACTATTCCTAGTGTTTTTTAAAAAAGACAAGAATATTAGTTGATACTCAACTTAATACTTTTCTTCTCAGTTAATTCTACAATACGTCATATCATTCTCCTAATTCATCTTAAAAAACAATTAAGGAAAACTAGGGGAATCATAATTAAAAATCTGAATAGTTAAATCAACTACTATATAGAATCTACTTATATACAAGTTACTAAGGCCCTTGACTATAGTTAAAACATCAAACAAAAACAAATTACCATATTTTATCACCTCTAGGCAAATCTGCCCCCCACCCCACACTGTAATATTTCAATTGATAATGTGTTTTATAATTGATGGCATTCACAAATTAATTGACAGCAAATTTTCTTTTTTAGTGATATACAAAGTATCAGCACATTTTATGACTGGTAGCATCTAAGATTCAATGAAAAGCTGTCAAAAAGAATTAGCACAAATAAATTTGTCATCTACTTATAAAATTTAATGGTGATGAAAATTAAAATAAGGGGCTAACTTAAAATCAGTATTTTTTTGACATTTGAAGAACTAATTTTTATGTTATTTAGACTCTCCATTATATGAACAATGTATTGATACTTCCCAATCTCCTAAGTAAAAATATTAACACTGTTCAGTTAACACAATTAGTCAGCAAAATAAAAAGAAATCAACCAACAAACAAAAAACAGTGGGTAAAGGAACATAGGAAATACAAATGAAATCTAATATAGTTGGGCATTTGACACCAAAATTAAACAATCTACCTGATAATAAAAAATAATAAAGAACAGCAAGTAAGAAAGTTGGTACTCATATGAATCTCTGCAGCGATGCAGGTATGCCAGCATGCTGCCTTCTCTCTGGAGGAAGGCAGATAGGTTCTGCAGGACCCACACAACAGCACAAAGAGGTCTCCAGCCCTGGCCAGGTGGCTCAATGGGTTGGAATGCTGTCCAGTGCACCCAAAGGTGGTGGGGTGATTTCCGGTCAGGGCCCATGTTTCTCTCTCACACTGATGTCTGCCTGTCTGTCTGCCTGTCTGTCTGTCTGTCTCCCTACACCTCTGCCCCCCCTTTCTCTGTAAAATCAATAAAAGCATATCCTTGGGTGAAGATTAAAAGAAAAACCTCCATAAATTTTGGAAAACACTTTATACCTTAAAAACAAACAAAAATGGATGAAGACAATGAAAGGGCTATTAACCAACCTGTTTTTGCAAGTTAGTCAGTTTACTCCTGCTGAATATGATTCCAACCATATGTTCTTTCAGGTCAGCATCTGATGTCGCCTTTACATAGAAAAAGGAAAAAAAATTAAAGCAAGCTCTCTGAATAAAATTTGCACATTTTACATTTTCAGGTATCAAAAAATTAAACATGTGGGACTGCATCAAACTAAAAAGCTTCTTCACAGCAAAGAAAACCATCAATAAAATGAAAAAGCAACCTACTGAATAGGAAAAAATCATGTATCTGTTAAGGGTCAGTATCTAGAACCCATAAACTCAATAGCAGTAAAAAATCAAACAACTGATTAAAAATGAGTAGAAGATCTGAACAGACATTTTTCCAAAGAAGACATACAGAGAGAGGGCCAGCAGTACATTAAAACATGCTCTACATCACTAATCATCAGGGAAGTGCAAATCAAAACCACAATGAGACATCACCTCACACCCATTAGCATGGCTATTGTCAAAAAGACAAGAATAACAAGGGCTGGCAAGGATGTGCAGAAAAAGGAACCCTTGTGCACTATTGTTGGTGGGAATGTAAACTGGCTCATCCAGTATGGAAATCAATATAGAAAATCTTCAAAAAAATTAAAGGTAGAGCTACCATATGATCCAGCAATCTTACTTCTGGGTATTTATCAGACAAAAAAAATTGAAAACACTCATTCAAAACACACATGTACCTCTATATTCACCACATCATTATTCACAATAGCCAGGATAACAGATGCAACCTAAGTGTCCATCAGTGACTGAATGGATCTTTATTGTGAGATGCACACACATGCATGCGCACACACACACACACACACACGATGGAATATTATTCAGCCCTAAAAAGTGAAATCTCGCCATTTGCAACAACATAGATGGACTTCAAGGGCATTAGGCTAAGTTAAATAAGTTAGAGAAAGATAAATACCAAATGACTTCTCTTAAATGTATAATCTTTTTAAAAGATTATATATACACACACACATATGTACATATATATATATAAAACCAAGCTCACGATGAAAAGAGAAACTGACAGTCACCAAGGCAGAGGGTGGATGAAAAAAATGGGTGAACTACTTTTGTTTCTGAGTTTTTCTGTTTAAATAAATGGGAAATAAGTATTTTGAGAAATAATTATGTAGGTATTTTTAAAGCTGAATTTACTTTAAATTGAGGTGTATAATACACACTATGACAAAGGATACAGTTTGAAGAAACCACCAATGGCTAAGGTGACTATAAAAAGAACAAAATTTCTAAATTTAAGATATTCAGAGAAGTACGCTATCTTTTCATGAATTTCTTTAGTTAATTTGGGTCACTTTGATGGAATCTATTCCTAAATTGTGAACATTAATTAGTTCATATCCTATATTCAGTTTTTTGAAGATCAGTTCAGAAAAATGACATTTGGCTAAAAAGGGAAATGTCAAACCCTGGCTGGTGTGGCTCAGTGTATTGAGCACTGGCCTGCAAATCAAAGTGTCACCAGTTCGATTCCCAGCCAGGGCACATGCCTGGGATGTGGGTCAAGTCCCCAGTAGGGGGTATGCAAGTGGCAAACCACACACTGATGTTTCTCTCCTTCTCTTTCCTCTCCTCCCCTCTCTAAAAAATAAATAAAATCTTAAAAAAAAATAAAGCCACTTAAGAAAAAAGGAAAATGTCCAAAAAAACTATAAATTAAGCTACTCCAACACCAACAGTAACCAAAGAAACATACCATAAAAAGAAAAACAAAGGATGAAATTTTATAGTGCTTATTATGTGCAAGGCACTTTTCTAAGTGATAGGGTGATATACAAAGTCACACACACACACACACACATATGACTATACATACATATAGAATGACCAACTCAAAATAAAAAATACTGTTTACAGTAGCATCCAAAATATGAACTGTTTAGGAAACAATTTTATAAGACATGTACAAGATCTCTACATGACACTACAAAACATTCCTGACAGAAACTGAAGAAGATCTAAAGAAATGGAGAGCCTATATCATGTCTATGGATAGAAATGCTAAATATTATTAAGATACTGATTCTCCCTAAATTGACTTATCAATTTCGTGCAATTCCAATCAATATTCAAGAAGTTTGTTTTGGGGGAAGGGAAACTGACAAATGAGTCTAAGTTTGTATAGACATCCAAGGACCTAGAAAACCATACTGAAAGAGAACCAGGTTGGAATCTGATTCCATGATTTTTTATACGTCTGCAGTAATCCAGATAGTCTGATGTTGGTGTAAGATATACACACTTATGTATATATACCTTACACACACACACACACACACACACACACACACACACACACACACGTGTGTATAAATGAGATAGAAGAGAGTCCAGAAATACATCTATATATTTATGGTGAATTGATTACTGATAAAGAACAGTCTATTCAGTAAATGGTGGCTGGACATCTATCTATATGCAAAAAAAAATGAACCTCAATCCTTAGCCCCCCATTGTACAGAAAAATTAACTTAAAATGTGTTTAGCTCTAAACAAAATAACTAAAACTCTGTTTCTATAAGAAAACATGGCAAAAATCTTTGTGACCTTACATTTTAGGCAGGATACAAAAATCATGAGGCATTTAGAAAAAAACAGGTAAATTGGTCTTCATCGAAATTAAGAACTGCTCTCTGAAAGATAAGCCTCAGAGGAGGAGAAAATATTTGAACACATATATTTGGTAAAGGACCTATAACCTGAGTATTTTGAATATATAAAGAAATTTTATAATCCAATAATAACACAAATAATCCAATACAAAAATATAGGTGAAAGATTTAAACACACCCTACACTAAAGCAGCTGACAGGGACTAGGCATGAGATGAGGGGACTTGCAAAGGAGCATGATGAAAATTTTGGGAGCGATATGCTTAAAACTTGATTGTGGTGATGATTTTACTGCTGTACGAGGGGGGAACTCCCAAAAACCAGAATTATCTTCTGGAGGGCAGGCACCTTGTAGTACAGGCTTCGGCTGCTAGGTGATTGTTCTGGGAACCCATCTGTATCAGTGTACCAGTTGGCGTTGTTGTGAGAGGTTGTGTTAGGTTTCACTGAATTTTTTTTTTTTGAAGACTCTTTCAGTGCTTTTGCCCATTTTGTGATGGGTGATTTATGAGTGCATCTGCCCACACCATGCTGAGTGTTCAGCTGTTTTTGACCAAAAATGGCATGACCCCTGTGCCCTACCCTCCCTACTCAACCAATCTTGCCTCAAGTTACCTTTTTTTTGTTTCCCCAGAAAAAGTCCTTAAAAGGAAACACGTGGAACAGGTGAAACAAAAAACAGCAGAAGCACTAATAGGCATTAAAATTGATGAGTTCAAAAACTGTTCTGAACAGTGGAAAAAATGTTTCTATTGGTCTATTGTATCAAATGGAAATTACTTTGAATATGACTAAAGTTTAAACATGTAAGAATAAATACACAATTTTTTATAAATAAATTTCTTTTTTTGTGTGTCCCTCTTCCCCTTGTATATACATTGGTCAGAATGATGCAGTTTAAAAGGATGAAACTTTTTTTGTATGTAAACTTTACATAGAAAAAAATGACTTAAAAATGATTCTCTTAACAATTATGTTATATCATGGGCATTCAACTCCTGGCATAATCTTTCCTATTCAACTATAACACCTCAATATACACTCTGCTACTAGTAGGCCTCTCCAATGAGCTCTTGGACCCATCTTCTCTATTGATTTAACTTTCATCCATTCTCTTTCAGGTCTAACTCATTTCTAATACCCACACCCCCTGCAGGAAGCCTTCTTTGATCACTCCAGGGCACAATAATCTATTTCAATGTACTTCAAAATACATCACATGTGCAAGTTTTTGCACATTTAATAGTATCCTTGTTGACTTATTGGGGGGGGCAAAAAGGCTTAAAATCTAAGGACAGAAAACAAGCTTTTTGAGGCCTTGGCACCAATTCTCAAGGTTTTTAAGCGAAGAATTGCTGTTTGCTAAAATTCAGTTGGTTTACTGGGTAGTTACATAGTCTTACAGTCTTTCAAATGATATCTGCAAAAAGTGCTGAAAGAAATTACCAGAGTTTATGAAATCTTTTTCTTACAGACCCCAAACAGAAAAATGTGGATGATTTAGATACTATTGCATCAGAAGGCACAGTGCTACGCTAGGTAAATCCTTGAAATTATCTTTCAAAGGGCTGCCAAGGTGATTATGTGTAACATCTAAAGATACAAGAATAATTGAGATGTCAGAGTTGACTTCTCTTTTTGGAAATGATAAGGTCTTCCTCTTAGGTACAGTGCTTTAGTTTAGACCAAATTAAGTAAAGCAGCTGCATTTTAGGAGAAATTTGAAGAACAGTGTAAGAATAGGTTATTCCAGTAAAACTTTACTGAACACATGGGTATTTATACCATGGTGGATATAAAGACAAACCAGACATGTACTTGGTCTTTGAGAAACTGTGATTCAGTAGAATAAGTGGTAAAAGATATACACAAATAAATATATCAAGAGAGAAACCAAGAGATACATAGAGATTCCTATGAAGGTTAGCAGAGAGAAAACTTTTTGTTTGGGGGGAATGCATAAAGAAAGTTCATGGAGAAGATAGGTTTTTAGGCTGGACTGTGAAGACAGATACAATGCAGGAAGAAGACAATTGATGGTACACAGCATAGTAAATGACTGAGTTAATTTTACAAGTGCTAACATCTGAATACAATAGCCCAAAGTATAGCGCGAATTTGGTTGTTACCTCTCACACTAGCTAGATCAGACACGAATAATGAATCTCTTTTGATAGTTCCTTTATCTTCTTTCTAATTAAAGTAAACAATATGAACTGCACATAAACTAATAACCACATATCCATTAAAATACATAGCAATACATGGATTATTTCACTGAACAAAAGGAAATGAAAAAGGGTAATAAATATTTTTAGAATACAAATAAATACATTGTATACTTTTTCCTCTCCTTCAGGTGATGACAACAGTGCTTTTTCTTCTTGTTCGGGCGTTGGTTCAGCATCTCCCGAGATGAGCTTTCCAAACACCTGGTGAGGAAGACAGGGGCATGAGAGGAATTCACTGGCAAGAATCCCACTGTGAAAGGTAGAGGACACACAGTTGCTTCTGCAGGCTTTACAGTATCCCCATGCTGTTCCTGCTACACACCACTACTTTTCAGAATTATGAATGTAAAATGAAACACAAGGGTTTAGGACTATGAGCAGAAAAATGGGCCCCATTTGTAGCCAGCAATCTAGGAAGTGCTACAATATTTTGTTAACCCCTTGATTTTATTACTGAAGTAATATATCCTGTGCTGGAATATGTAGTAAGGACACTCACTTGAGATGTGATGAGTCTGAACACTCGTAGAGTCTCAGCTTCACAGTTCCTCTGCTGGGCCACACTGGCTGAAATCTGGCCGGCAATTTTCGTGCTTTCACCGTCCTTCCAGCCCAAGACCTTTACTTGTCGGACTCGCAGTGTATTTTCTGGGCCCTTTAATTCAATTTTGATGATGTGATTATCCCCTCCTGGAAGTTCACTTGTTACCCAACCGATGTGCCTGGAATCCAGATCCACCTAGCAGAGCAGAAAAGGGACAGAGACCTGACACAGACGCATCACTGTGTTATCACTGTCCCCAACTCAGCACTGATGACAGCAAGCTCAAACAACAAACAATTGTACCGAGGGTCAAGTTTACTGGGTAACTTCACACTGATTATCTTATTTAAAGTTTGAGGATAAGTAACACTATAGTAGCTATCATTTGGGTGAAGAAAGTGAGGTTAACACAGGGAGGATTCTCACTAAGCGGTAGAGTTGAGAATTAAAATGCCAGGCACAAGTTATAGAAGAGAAACCATCTCCAGGGAAACCATCTAGACAGGTGGAGGAGTCAAGCATAAAAGGAAAAGAACTCGCAGTCAGGGACAACACTATAATGAGTGCTGGGGGTGGGGGCTGGGTGGAAGTGGAAGAGGGTATGGAGGGATAAATGTTAATGAAAAACACAATAAAAATGAACCGTTAAAAAAAGTGAAACCATTACTAACAATTTATACGATGCTATGTTATCTACACCAACTATAAGTGGAAACACTCAGAAGCTCAGCATTGAGGTTTTGTTTTGTGTACCTTCACATTAAAGGCATTTAAAGGTAAGCATTTTAAAATATTTTAAAATTTTTATGTTTTACGATTGTTCCAATTATTTCCCCCTCCACCCAACCTGCCCCCTGCCCCCACAGTCAGGCTCCACCCTGTTGTCCATGTCCGTGGGTCCTTCATACATGTCCCTTGACTGATCCCTTGATGTGCAATTACTTCTGTTTTACTTTTTAAGAAAAATTATATAAGTAGCTTCAGATTTGTGATTCCTTATTGTACTATATTTCATTGAGAATTTAACTTTTTTTCAAAGATTAAATTTCAGTACACTGTGAAAAGGCTGATACTACTCACTTGAAAAAAATGAAAACTGTTCTTAGGCTATTTGATGTCCAAGAAATGATTCAAGGTTTCTATATTTTTATAAAGTCATCTAATTAACATTATTTTAATTGATACTGTTAATTTCCTAAAAAGAGCATTATGCATAAACAAATACTATCTCAATGAATGAGATTATATCCCCAAATTCTTTAACAATTCAAACAAAATTCATTGTTTGTTTAATCCAACATATCAATTTATTCTTTCAATTTAATTTTCAAAACAGGACAAGTGGTCCATGTTCATCGGAAAAAGGAGAACAGCTTTGATGAAGTTTCATTAATACAAGTAAGTGAGTTTATACAGAATCTCAGACTCATGCATAGAAAAAACCTAACCTGTTTCTAGAGTTGGTTTGTAAATTCACTTGCAACCTGGATGCAGTTGCAGTATTGTAAGTGATAGATTTTTCAGGCTAGAGGTCAACAACCTACATTTTAACCTGAAGTGTAGATGAATTAAGGTGTTAATTGTGAGTCAAGCCTATGACACAGTTGTGGGGGGCAGGAGGCAGGTCTGAGGACTGGAACTGCTCATGACTAGAGAGCATTCGGGGCAATGTGGGTGCAATGCTTAGGACAGGGATGGCTGTAACTGTCTCTGCATATGGACCACTTATCAATTTAGTGTTTTCAAATAGATGATTTCCTGTAATGTTTTGGCAGCATGCCAAAATTAGACTTAACAGTGGAGACGGGGAAGAAATTTCTCACTAGGTCGCAAAACATTTAATGACAAAACTTTAATTACCTGCTTTATTCTGCACAAATCTTCCACTGCTTTGCCAGTTAAGAAGGTCATTGAGGTAACTTTATTCTAAAATAGACAATTCAAAATAGTTACTATGCCATATTCCTGTTTCAGAACTTCCAATGATTTCTTACAGCCTACCAATATCACATTAACTTTTCTGCCTGTCCTTAATGGTTCTTCCTAACTGACCTCACTGCACTTGTCCAACCAACCATACTTACTACAACTCCAGTAATTTCTTATTTTTGCAAACTCCACTTTAAATCTCACATTTCAACTTTTCTCCATGGGCTTTAAGAGAGTAGCTTGGCGTTCCTTCTTTTTACTCAAAGTCTAAACATTTAAGCACTCTATCATGGTATCTTTCAACAACTCTGCTGGTCACTCATGTCCCACTCTCACTGCTACATTCTCATTGCTCTGCAAGTAAAAAAGAAGCCTAACTAACCATACAATGTACCCAACTGCATCGTGGACTCAGAGAAGGATATATGAGAATCATGGGTTCTATCCCCTCGAGATCCTTGCTAAACTAGGCAAGGAACATTAACATACAAAATAAGTATCAGACAGTAGAAGTTCAATATTCTTAAGTTGTTATGCCAGCACAAGAGCCAAAGACTTTAAGGCTAAATAAGTTTTCTGCAAAATACATCAAGAAACAGATTACTTCCTTAGAGAGCTGCATACTTTAAGTGCTACAGGCTGATGGAATTCAAATCAACAAATGAGTCACTCTGGTAGGCAGGTTGGAGGACACAGAAGTACATAAGCATCAGGATATATAACTTAGAGGAAATTTCTTAAAGGCAAAAACTTCAAATTGAGTAGAATCATTATTCTGTGGGAAGAGTATGTCCTGGCTTAAAATGTACCAGGAATCAAAGATAAGTTTGTACTGAGCAGTGAGTTCTATTCAGGAAAATGTTCTGATTTAGTACACTTGACTTTCTGGTAAGACAACTCCATGATATATTAGCTAAGCCCCTTTTTCTTTTCAAATTTTTTATTATTGTTCAATTACAGTTGTCCCCATTTTTCGCCCATTGCTCTCCCCTGCCCTGACCACCCCTACCTCCCACATTCAATCCTTACCTGCTCCACTGTCATTGTTCATGGGTCTTTTATACATGTTCCTTGACTTGTCTCTGCCCCTTCTCGCCCCCATTATCCCCCTCCTTTCTCCCCTCGGTCACTGTCAGTTTGTTCTTTATTTCCATGTCTCTGGTTCTATTTTGCTTGCTTGTTTGTTTTGTTGATTAGGTTCCACTTATAGGTGAGGTCATATGGTATCTGTCTTTCACCTGGTTTATTTCACCTAGCGGAATACTCTCCAGTCCCATCTATGTTTTCAAGAAGGGTAGGAGTTCCTTCTTTCTTTCTGCTGCGTAGTATTCCATTGTGTAAACGCACCACAGTTTTCTGATCCACTCAGTTACTGATGGGCACTTAGGCTGTTTCCAGCACTTGGCTATTGTAAATAATGTTGCTATGAACAATGGGATACATAGGTTCTTTTGAATTGGTGTTTCAGGATTCTTAGGGTATAATCCCAGCAGTGGAATTGCCAGGTCAAAAGGCAGTTCTACTTTTAGTTTTCTGAAGAAATAACACACTGTTTTCCACAGTGGCTGCACCAGTCTGCATTCCCACTAACAGTGCACTAGGGTTCCCTTTGCTCTACAACCTCTCTAGCACTTGTTTGTTGATTTGATTATGATGGCCATTCTGACTGGTGTGAAGTGGCAGGCATCTTATTGTAGTTTTAATTTGCATCTCTCTGGTGTAAGCCCCTTTTTCTTACTCAACTGCAGGGAAGAACTGAATCTACACTAATGGACAGGAATTGGGGATGGCTATGAATGGCAAGGAGTTCTCTGACTGCAGACTGGAATTCTGTGGTTGTCTTATTCCATCCAGGCTCTCTGAGACCCAACCCCACCACTCTGGGTCTTCCTGGAAAGGGAAGTATGCAAATAGATGGGAGCAGCTTGAAATTGATCCAAGGGGATTTAGTAATACTGTATCTGCTAATAAGACACATCCATTCTGAGGGAAAATAATACCAAAAAAAATCCTTTCTTAGGAATGGAGGTAGAAGTATGGAGTTTGGCAGTGGTGCCTTTTTCTTGGTTCTTAACACTCAAGTAGAACTCTTTTTCCTTGGTTTAGTGCCTTTTAAAATAGTGCTTAATTCATTTAAAGCATGTGAACAAGCTAGGGCTAGGTAGAATATCAATCATGATTACTTAGGTTAGTCCAGGAACTCCCCTCACTCCTTCCATGACGGCTGGGGGTGAGGTGTGGAAATAGAAAGCCAATTACAGTGTAGGTCAAAATGTATCAAGTGCCACCAGAGTAATATAAAAAAGCAGAGAAGGGAAGGTGTATTTTTTTATAGAGGAGGTATCAGGAGAGGATTTCTCTGCTGGGTCTTAGCGATATGGGGACAATATGAAAGAGAGTTTACGCAGATGACTTCCAAGCCAAGGGAACAGCTTAAACAAAGGCATGGAGGTAGAAAAGTATAGGGAAGATATTTATTGGGTTGGCCAAAATGTCTGTTTTTTTCCTGTATGATGCTCTAGTAGTGCTTAGTTGTCTTTAACTTCACCTGAAACAATTTTGTTAGATTGTATTGTGACAGCTGTCATACCAGAGGGCATTTAAAAGAAATTTATTAAAATTGGTGAATTTTTGTGCAGTCATTTTAATATTAAAGATGGAAGAAAATATGCAACCTTTTTGATGTATTATACTTTATTATTTCAAGAAAGGTAAAGGCAAATGAAACACAAAAAAAGGTTTGTGCAGTGTATATGGAGAAGGTGCTGTGACTGGCCGAACGTGTCAGAAGTGGTTTGTGAAGTTTCTTGGTACTGTTGACATGATCAAATTATTTTTTGCTGTGGGGCTGTCTAATGCATTGGAAGATGTTTAGCAGCACCCCTGACCTCTACTCACTAGAAGCCAAAAGCGGGAGAAAGCAGACATACTCAAAATATCCAAATAGATAATATTATTGGTGAAATTTAAAAACATGTCTTTTATTTTATGGAAAAAAAAGTAATGGGCTTTTTGGCCCACCTACTCTTCTGTTTAGCTGTAGACATGCTACATGTATAATAAGAGCTCTTTTTAGAACTGGTGTTCCATAGTACCCCCAGTCACATTAATCTGTTTTTAGACTTATGATTTCTTTGGTAAATATACAATGCTGTTTGCTTGGTAAAGTTCTGTCTTTTTGCTAAACTCAGAAATTAGAGTGCCTGATTACTAACGGTCTGAAAGAACAAATGAGCTACAAATAAAGTTTCCTTTCTTACCCCAAGATCTCGGGAATTATCCACATGAACAGATACGTAGCGAGCATTGATTCCTTTCACACAGTTGATGGTGATGTTCTTAGTTTTGTTTTTATCCTCATCTCCTGATTCCCAAAAAGTCTCTGTGGAGCCATCTGTCAAACTGCCAATCATGGCAGGCCGGCTTGACGTTTTTATGTCAACAATGCTGGTTAAGTCCTTTAAGCACATGACTATGCATAATTCCTACCAACGACAAATATAAGTGATTATACTACTCAAACGGAAATCACCTATGACAAAACAGACGTGAAAAATAAGAAATAAAAGCATCAACTTGTTTATGAGTGATTTCCAGTTTTTTCTTCAATATACTGTTGAATATTAACAGGATAACTGTTTGATGACTGACCTGACTCATAGCTTCAAAGCCAGACTGAATACTGATGCTAAAACTCTCTTCACTATCTCCATCATCTGATTTTGACAAAATATTGTTAATGTGATGAAAGACGTTGCTCTGATGGAGGAACTGGTGATCGGATTGCTTGAATTTCAGACTCCAGCATCTAAAAAGGCATAAACAATACACTAAATAATTGTGTTTCAGGGATTTCTAAGACATTCAAATATTTCAAGAAATCTTAATGAGCTAGGTAAAAGTAGAAATTAAAAAACTCCAGGAAACAAAAACACTGCTATTGACTTTTCTAAAAAATAAAGGTAATTTCTAAGAAAAAATATGGGATAAATTTTAAGGAAAGTTCACTCATTTTAAATAGAAAAATTGGATACTTGAAGATTAAGGCCACAGAAACAAAAACAGGTAATTTATTACCTTTGTAGACAAGTATTACCTGAACTATGACAGCTTCTCAAATTTATCAGTCTTACACTTCCACACTGATTCCTCAGAGTGTAACAATACATCCTGCACTTCAAAACCCTGCGAGGAGGAAACAAAATCTCCCCTCTGTTGGTCTTATCCAGTATGAGGTGTGGGTAGCCAAAATCACTCCATCAACCCATCTCTTGTAACAATCATTGGAGCATTTATTTATGTTAGTCTCTAGTACATGTGGATCTAATAACAAGGTTCCCAATGTAAATGTTAAAATGTCAGCAGGTTTAAACTTAAAAGGAGGTGATATTCCTCAAGGTAGTTTTAAGATTAGTCGTGTATAACTGGGCTCTATTTTTCTTAAGATTCTTTCCAGTTTAAAATCCTGTTTTGATTTCTGTTTTTGAGATTTCATGCTCCCTCTCCCTTTTTGTGACATTTAAAATTCTACTTGTAGGCAGCACTCAGACAAGTGCTTGGGTTAGGAGGGAGGAACAAGCGAGGAAGAGTGTTATAGACTGGTAATTGAGAGCACTAAGAAGTATGTTATCCGTATTTTACAGAGGAATAAACAGGCGTAAACTAAGAAGGAGGCAATTGTAAATTATGACAGGAAAGAGGGAGGCACCATTAACATAATGTAGGGATTCTCTGTATCTTACTATTAAAAGAGGACTTCTAAGCAATTTGAATTTAAACATAAAATATCTTCTCCAATGCACCTCGACTACTTAGACATAAAATTACCTCAGGGCCATCTGCTGTAATGAACTGCCACTGGGGAGGGACATCATGAGATCGGAGATCGTCTGAAGCAAGCGGTGAAACGTATGTGGTAAAGGATGAGCAGCTTCACCTGCAATCACTATATCTGAGAGTGGATGTTCACACACTCTTGTATCTTTTTCCTAAGACAGAAATTTAAAACAAGTTGATCAGTTCGTGTGTTGGAAGGAATTTCACCCACTAAAGAATCTTACGTATACTTAAAAGTATTATGTATACTTTCAAGATGCTCATGTAATAGAAATGTAAACAACAAAACCAAACCACACCCGAAACATACAGTAAGATTAACTAATTATGTTTGTACTACTTTTAGGGAAAAAAAATGATAATGTCACTCATAAATGAAGCCACCAAACAAATGAATGCCTCATATAAGTATCTATTCTAGTGTACTCACAAGTCTGTTAGCTCAGTGAGTGTATATGTGCATGCAGAAATCAGCCTTTCCTCTCATTGAGCCTCACCCAGAATTCTAAGCCAAAGGCTTGTGAACCAATAAGAAGTAGTTTTAATCCAATGAGTTCTGGGGTATTTAGTTATGCAGGGATAGAAAGCTGTTATAAGTGTGTGACAATCTCACATTATAATTGAATTTATTCTATTTTTCCTTGTGGTTCTGTCATTTTTTACTTATTTTTAAGGCTTTATTATTAGTTACTACATGCTCAAAATTAATCTTTTACCATTTTGCAGAGAGCCTCTTTATTCCTTTTAATAATTATTCTTAATATCTATTTTTTCTGATGTTAAAATAGCTAAACTTGCCCTGGCTGGTGTGGCTCAGTTGGTTGGAGCATCGTCCCATAGCAAATGGGCTGCAGATTCAATGGCTGGTCAGGGCCCATACCTAGGTTGTGGGTTCAATCCCCAGTTGGGGCGCATATAATTCCCAGTCTGGGTGATCCCCAGTCCGGGCACACATGGGAGGCTGCAGATCAATGCTTTTCTCTCGCATTGATGTTTCTCCCTCTCCCTTCCTTTCTCTCTAAAAACTAATGAAAAAATGTCCTCAGTTGAGGGGAAAAAATATGTACCAACTTTATTTTGGTTGTTATTTATCCATTATGTATTTTTCTGACTTTTAATCTTCCTGGGTCACTGTTTTAGATGTAACAACACTTATAAAAAGCATCTAAGCTCTTGTTTTTTTTCCTATCCTGACAGTTTTTGTCTTTTAAATGGAGGATTTAGTTTTCTAATTCATTCTAGATATAAAAATGAAGTCCAGAGGTAAAAATGGGGCTGGAAATCAGGCTTCCAGTGTCCTAGTTCAATACTTTTCCATTATGCAGACTGTGCCCAATAAAATCTAAATCCCTTCTAGCAAACACATTTGAATTTCACGTCCCTACACAGTACCAATGCAAGTATTGCTGTAAAGCAGACTGATCTTCTATGTGATAATGTCCCATTTATCTAATATGGTACTGTAATAGTGATCTTCCAGCTGATTGCTTAATGACAACGATGTTTATGCAAAAATCAGAACTGACTGACTGCATTTTTGCTGGAGAGAAAACTATCACTAAGTATAGTTAATATACTGCTCATAGCACTGAAATTTTATTCTTGCCTTCAGGTTATATAATGTGTGCATGACCTCAAGCATATTATACTATCTGAAGGTGTTTCTACTCTTTTATAAAAACACGGGCAATTAAAAAACCAAAACCTTCACTTACTTGTTCTGTATTTTCTTTGTTCGTTTTATTTTCCTCATCCTCTTCTTCTTCTGGTTCCACTGGAGCGGGAGTCAATGATGCCACAAAGTGCCACAGAATGTCATGGAGGGAAGTCGTTTGGATGACATTGCATAGAAGCCAGTTGAAAGCCTGAATAAACAATGGTTAAATAAGTCCAAGACAAGAAAAAAAATATATGAGTAGAAAGTTCAGGGCCTTTCTTATTCAGAAACAAAGTACCTCCAGACTAAGTGGTTCAAGGAAAGATACTAGGAAGTCTGATGTTCATTGAAAGCACACTGAACTTGAAATAGTCACTAATTTTGGTCCTAATTTAAGAAAACATAATAATAGGGAAAATAATACTTATAAAATGTAATACTAAAACTTTTCCAAAACATGTTTTATTTTAAAAATTTGTCATATGTTAACTTACTTAAGCACATTTTTCCAACTTGCATTTACATCAACATAGAATGTTTCTAAGCTCTACACAAGCTACTATTTACTTACATATATTTATATTGTTCCCATCAGTAAAGTGGTAGGTTATCACACCCATATAAAGAAAAACATTTACTATATGTAAGTCTATATTATATAGCAATTCTATCATTTTCAGAGAACAGAGACTCAGGTAAATTGTAATTATTAAATTAGCAACTCAAAAGCCCTACGTACATCCTTTGCATGGTCACTCTAACTGATATGACATTGCAATGACAAAAACCTTTTTAAAAAAATAATATAAGGATTCAAATAATAAAGCAATGTAGAAATAAATTTCTTTAGAATGCTTAAATTTGGAACTCTAAATTCACTTCTGTTCCCCAACTTAAGTGTTTAATTTTGATGGGAACACTTGATATTTTCAGTTGGCTAATGTCCCTTAAATTGTTAGAATTTCTGTTTGGTAGAAAGTGACAATCACTCAACAGAATCATCACATGACTTGTCTGATCAATGAATCAATAACCCCACTGATGTATTCATACCTCCATAGCAAAAACTCGACAAGCAGATTTCCTTAAGGCCTGTTTCATTGCTATTTCAAGACCTTCTAGATCATGGTGCTGTATAACGAAAGCTAAAACTGGCCATTGGAAATTTCGTTCTCCTTTGGAAAGAGAGCTGTGGGCTGAGATTAGCCGGGAAAGTTCAGGAGATGGATGTCTCAAGAGAGAAGAGCCAACTTCTATTAAAAAAAAAAGAATATTAATTTTCACAGGCAATACATAAGACTAATATATTTAAGATGACATTTAGAAACAATAGTATCTAGCTTATTCACGTTAGAGCTTTTTTTACTTGATACAAATTACAATGATTTCAATTTTTACTGAGCCTTAGAAAGATTAAATATCTTACTTTGCTCAAGTCATACAGCTATTAAATTACAGAGGTGGGTTTTAAATCTGGGGCTGAACTTAAAAGTTCATGCTTTCTAAAACACTAAACACTAAGTGATTTCCTTTCTCCCTAAATGAAATCTGTATCTCCTCCCTATCATTTCCTAAAGGACTGCTTTGTAACTATAGTTCCTCAATAAGAGCTCAAAAATATGTTATATGAACATACAAATCACTGAGAGATACTCAATAATATTTTCCTTGCAATTTTTCAATAAGATACAAAATCATCTGCCTATAAATATTAGGCCATATCTTCATTTTACTAGTGATCTACCTGGTTAATCATCAGCATATTATTTCTTTCTTGGGTTTCTTTCTTTACTCTTGGGACAGAATCAACCAGCCCCAATTTGGGGCTATTGATACCAGTTGGTCCAGATTATCTAACCTTTCTACTGATTAAGAGGTACTCAAATCCCTACATTTTATATCTATTCAGAGTGATAGTGGCTGTAAGAGTTATAAGCTTCTACTGGGAGTGAGAAGATTAATTAATGAAAGTGTAAGTCACTGGAATTGCTGGTTCTCTGAAACTTGGTGAAAGGGAGAATGGCAGCAACATTTGGCTCAGACCCCTGACAAGTAAGACTTTAAGTGACAATTTATTCCTGAATGATCACTGAATGATCTCTGGATGTCTCTTCAAACTGAGATGCAAAATTTAGACAGGTGTACTTTCAGCCACGTTACATAGAAGGAATGTCTGCTACAATTTAAAATTAATCCATTCCTTTTCCCTTCACAATTAGATATTTAAAAATATCTGCTAATAAAACCATTTGGATCATTCAATCTTCCATTTTATCTCTAGACTTACCAGTGTCCCCACTGTTAACTCTTCTTCTAGGAATGGCTTTAACTCGTGCAGGTAAAATGGAGTGTTGTTTATCATATTCAGAAGCAACAACTGAGTATGATCTTTGGAAGACAGTTCTCTTTGCAAGATCAGTATCAGTTATGGGACTAGTTTCTAAACTGTAGATAAAACAAGATTACAGATCAAAGCTCAGGAAAACAAGTAAATGGAGTGAAAGTATACTTAGTTTATAACAGTGTAGTAAAATATGTGAAGCTGTATTTCACGTGACAAAATAAATTCAAAGCCAACTTACTATTCTCTCTTTAAATCAATTTGATTTTTCCAAGTTTTATACTGGTTTTAGAACTGTATCTGAAAACTTGGTTTTCTTAAATCTACTTTGTGCTTTAAATGAAAGGGAAAAAAGGCATAAATGTTCTAAGCTCCTTTCAGAATCAAGACACTGTGGTGCAAGTCATGTGCCATGATATTCAGGAAACAGGAAGGTATGTGCATAAAAGCACCGAAAAGAAAGAAAACAAAAATGTACATACAGAAACCAAACGAAGTCGAAAGTGAAACGATTCAACTTTCTTTGGCACTTGAGTGTTCTTTTAGGTTTCTCCTTCGTGGGCAGTGCTGCCCAAAGAGCCTTTCTAGAGCAAGTAACAAACTGATTTTTGGCAGAGTTATATCATATTTACATTCTACTTAAGAACTTAGTGATTTTCACTCAGGTTTGTAGAAACTAACAGTTTTTTCTATGTACTCTAGTAACATTAAAAAAACACTTGGAAAGTTATTAAGATTATACAGTTCCTTCATTGGGGAGTTTTATTAAAAAAAGAAGTGGAGCCCCGGCCGCACGGCTCAGTTGGTTGGAGTGCCTCCCTTACACCTGGGGCTGCCGGTTCCACTCCCGGTCAGGGCACCCGCCCAGGCCCAGGTTACAGGCTCAGCCCCCAGCTGGGCGCATTTGGGAAGTGACAGATCAATGTTTCTTTGTCACACTGATGTTTCTCCCTCTCCCCACCTTCCTCTCTCTTTAAAAATCAATGGAAACATGTCCCCAGTTGGGGTGTGTACCAGGAGGCAACCAATCAATGTTTCTCTCTCTCTCTAAAAAGTCAATGGAAACACATCGCTGAATGACGGTTTTTTTTAAAAAAAGTAGCTTCCCTTCCTTTTTGTCTTAAAAGAAATTCACAAACTTCATGTATTTTTTTTTCTGTCATCTCATTCAAAATTGTGACATTTTTGCTCACCTTGAGTTCTGGAGTTGTTTCTTTTCACTTATTTAAGTCACCTTTGAATCCTGTGTCCCTTGGTAAAGCTTACGTATTTTCTGGTTAGTGGCTAACTCCCTGGCCATGCTCTGAACTCAGCACCTCTCTAAGTGCATGTCATTCTTGTTTGAACAGACTGTGAATGTACATAACCGACTGGGGTAAACGTGTCTGGATGTCAGTTTGGGTTGTACGGTTTCTGAATGACCAGCATATGGGATATTCGTTTGATTTTTCCTACAAAACATTTCCTTTATCTATCTTTTTTCCCATAATCACTGCCAATATAATCTAATTTGACATAGCTAAATGAAATCTCTGACTAAATTTACCAGCTTCTTAAATGACACCGTCAGACTCTTAGTGTTTTTATCATGGCAATTCCTTTTCTAAAAAGTCTCAGTGGTACCCAGTGCCCTATGCATTATATTTATTTACATGCTTCAATTCAGTTTCCCAGGAGCTCTTTCCTCTGACACTACTATACCTAACTGAGGGTGGGTGGATAGGGAACAATTGTAAACAATATTCCAAGAAGTTCAAGATTTATTTTCAGTGCTTCTTCTCTCATGAAACCTCCTTTAAGCACTGCCTCAAAGTGACCTTTCTCTAGCTTGACTTACTACAACACTAAATGATAGCATACAATGGAACGTTTTACTGTTACTTCATTAGTTGTTTTTTTCCAATAGGCCTGCTCCTGCCATCAAGGACCCTGTACCTTACTCATGTTTGTAGGCTTTTTCTTACCTCGCTAATAGTTAGCAGAGACAACTCAATGTCCTTCCTGAGACAGAAGGATGTACAAAGGAAAATCTAAGAGGATTCCTTTCTAGCTATCTTTCTTCCACCAAACACTGGCTATTCAACAGAGAGGAGAGAACTCAAATACCTCGGTGGCATAGACTTCATGTTGCTCTCTGGCTCTTCAAATACATTAGGACTGGCATCAGGAGTTACTGATATGTAGGGGGCAGGTACAGATGTTGAACGTAGGTATCTCATTTCATCTTGGAATAAGTTGTCATCTTGATAGACCACAAAATTTTCGTGATGATGCCTGCATTAAAGCAAACCCAGTAACTTGAAGTTGAAGGCAATACAGATACTTTCCATTTTTAATCTCTTTTGTAAAAGTAAGAGCAGCACATGTAAATATATATCAAGTATTAAAATAACCACAGATGTAAATAGATGTAAAATAAAACCATAGATGTAAAAAAATTGTCGTACAATTTTATACACAGATATTCCAGGTACCACAGACATTTCAAATCCAAAACTGAATTCATTTTCTTTCCTTTTGAGAACTTTTCTCTCTTCTGGTGATTTGGTGAATGATCCCACCAGTTATTCCAGGGGCCTAGTTAAAATATCTCAGTGCTGTGGTGGGCTTCATCTTAGGAGTACCAGATTTCCCCTCCCAGCCATTCTCTCTTCTCATTCCCTATCGTCACTGCTTTAGTTCAGGCTCATGTTTCTTGCATGGACTATTTAAACATATCAATCACCTTTTTGGTAGGAGCACATACAAGAGTTAAATTTGAGAAAAATTAGATATGTAAAATGTTCCATGGGCTAAAGGAGTATCCATTCCCCAGAGAGCTAAAAATATAAAATCCATAATTATGGTGTGCTAGCATTTTTACATGTTTTACAGTTTCATTCCTTCCTTTGCAAACTGGAGCAAAGAGTTGTTAACCTAACTAAGTGGTCTTACTGGAGCTTCAGATCTGTTGCATTTGGGACACCTGATGATTTTCATCTTGGTCTCAAGCGTATTTAGTCTCACATTCTCATTTTTGTCTCCCACTGATTTTACTGAAGTAGTAAGTACAAAGGTAAAAGAAAAAGCAACACCAACAAAAAAAACCCTGACCTAACTCTGCTGTACAGAGGAAAATATTGTCAAAATGGAACTGTTGGTTGGCAACTTATGTCAGCAGGGAATTTCTAAAACGTTCATTTGTCACCTGATGAAAAAAATCTGAATGTGGTATATGAAAGGCTGTTTTAGAGTGTCAGTGTTTAAGGTATGATGGTACCGGCTGTACGACCGAGGTCCAATGTAGCATACTATTAACAGGCTTCTCCCCTTTTATCCAGTTTCCACATTGGAAGCTAAGTGAGCTTCTAACTGCAAGCCAGTTCAAGTATTTCCATTTTTATAATTCTTCTGCCGTTTCCTCTATGGGGTAAAATCCAGCCTTAGCATGGGCTACAGACAGGGTCCCACATTACCTGGTCTTGAGTAACCACTTCTAGTAGCATTTCATATATTTCTTCCAGTAGCCAATGTTTTAATAAACCTGTGAGTTTTCAAATATGTGATGCTATTTCATCATTTGTGTTTTCACACATGTGTTTACTCTGTCAGGAACCACTTTCCTACCTTTACCTGCTTGATTAATTCCTAGTTATTCTTTAAGACTCCAGCAAAGGGTCAGATCCTCTGAGAAACCTTTCCTAATTTCCTCCGAAGATTCAGAAACTCTCCATCTTTTATACTCTAACGGTATCCTGTACATAACTTTGATTTTAATACTGATCACATAACATTTTAAATATTTCATTTGCAAGCTTGTGTTCCCACCAGACTGAGCACATGGAAGTCATCCTTTTATTACATTCATCTGGGTGTCTTCGAGGTCTAGTAGAAAGCTGGTACTCAGCTGGCATTTGTTTAAATGCTATCAGAATGAATACTTTAAAAAAATTAAAGAATTCTTTAGGAAATAGTTTCTTTCTACTTTAGCATTTCCTGCTTTTAATAGAATGAAGTCAACCTACCAAAGAGTAAAAGATAGCTGAAGTCTGACTTTCTAAGACATATTTTGTATGATTAATAATACAAATTGACATAGTATTTATAGGTTTAAAAAAAACCCTAGTACCTTAAAGTGTGTACCCTACCAGTCACATATTGGTCAAGGCACCTCAGAAAATGAATCCCTGGAGTACATTATCAATACAGGAGGCCTTTTTATTGTACACAGTATGTAATACAGTGTAGGGATTCAGAGCACGATATTAGTGAATCCAATTGTTAGTCCCAAGCGATCAAACAAAACAACCAAGTTATATTACCTAGCTAAGGTCTGCAGGTAGAGACAAGGCATTTTAACAGGAAGGTCCTCAGAAATGCCCTCTTTCACAATGGGAAGCTGCGACTGGAACGGTTTCGCAGGATGGTAACACAGGATGCTTGGCTCCGCTGCACTGCTCAGAGACAGCAGGAAGAGTGCATTTGCTTTAATCACCTGGTGAGCTTCCATGGTGGGCAAGGCACGAGGAGTCTTCACTTGCATTGGCTTCCTCCTAGATTGTTTGACCTGGCCAAGAAAAATTTGTAGAGATTTATTTTTCTATGTATATATAAATTCTTAACCTAAGTATTCTGAGTCTCTGATAAAAATTATTAAACACTTGTAGAATCATTTTAAAATAATAATTATTACCCAGAACGACATTCACTTCATGCTTCTCCTCAAATGACTAAAACTATTTTATATTGAACATAAACTATATTTCTTTTATGTCCTTGGGAAAAATTAAAAAACCCAAGTAGTAAAATCTAAATAGAATTATTTTTTTAAAGAATAAATAATGTGTGTGTGTGTGTTCAGCAAAAAATTTTTAGTCAGGTGTAGCAAATATTATTCCTGTTATAAAGTTGATCTTTAATATCAACTAAGTGGAGTTATCTCATGTAATATAATCATAAAAAGATTTTCATAAGGTTTATCCTTATCATTAACAGCACAGTCAAAACAGAAAAAAAAATACCTTTTCCCTTGCAGCAGCCTGTTTTTCACGGAGGTACTTTTCCCGACAGCGATCACATACCAGATACCAAGTGCTTCCTCCTATGCCACCATCGCCACAGTTACCAGCCCATCCTCCACAAAAGTGCCCAATGCTGTTGTAACCTTGTCCACCAGCATAACGGCCGCAGCCTTGAAAAAGAACAAAGTGAGGGTCCTTAGTAGTTTGATCCTTGCCACTTACACATTAATGACTTACTTACCTTCTTAAGGAAGCAAAATACTGAAGCACCTCGCTTTTTTCCCCCAGGCTATTAACTATATCGGAAAGATAGCATGCTTGACCAAAAAGTAATCAATTAAAAAAGATACCTAAAACACGGTATACAGGCAGATGAAAATATACAATGTGGGTACATTTAGATTTACTAAAGTATGCCAATAAAATTAAGTAAAATAGGTATAGAATATTCTGTAAAAACAATGTATTTTAAGGAATCACACATTCTACAAAAGGTTTCAGGTATAATGTGTAGAAAGAGAAAAAAAATTAACCAAACTTGTAGGGTAAATTCTGAATACTAATCAATTGTTATAGGAATCCTTATATTTAAATAAAATACAATCTTCTGATGAAACAGTTGATATCACTTCCATAGGAAAATGCCCCTGGCTCAGTATAATCTAACTTAATTTCCCATTCTGAACAGAAAAACACTAATATCAAAGGAAACTTAATACTCGGGTCTTTCCTCAGCACTTGTGAGATACCCTAACAGTCTCCTTTGGGTAACACATAAAACATTTTAAAAATAAACAATATTTCAGACTGTAATACATTAAAATAAAATAGTACAAAACTGCCCTATCCATTTCTCACAATAAACCTATATTGATAATGAATGTACTTTAATAATTTATAAGATACTATAAATTCCATGCAATAGTTTCCCTGTAGTTGAATGTAATTCATAAACATCTCAAGTTAGAAGTACCTAGTTTATTTTATTTTTTTACAAAAAGTTCTTATATATGTTTAATATTGTTTACCTGGGTGAGCTTGTCTCATGTGATATGTCACTGGGTATGGATGTGACTCTCCGCACAGCTCACAGATGGTGTCTTTCTCTGGTCCTCCTACTGCCAGCTGGGCCATCTCACCAAATAAGTTACCTCTGGGCCGAACTTCTGCCTTTTCTTTTTTCTTTTTCTCTTTTTTGGCCTTCTTATTCTCTTTTTCACACTCTTTCTTTTTAAGGACTGCACAAGAGCCGGGACTTGGGAAAATCATATTTTGGGAAGCTGCTTTGATAGTAGCCAAAGAGATGTCTTCCCAGAAAGCCACCAAATGTTGTAAAGTCAAGGGAAGAGGAGATTTTGACTTCATTGGGTGATGCATGGACATTTCGAAAGTGGCTTCGGTTTTCCCATCCTCACATTTTTCATGCAGAGGTGGCTCCTTAAGCATAGACAGCACCTTGTTTTTGTTGATACTACCCATTTTGGATATATCTGGTCCATGAGGTGCAATATTAAACATATTCAGTGCAGATGATATTTCCAATGAGTGTCTGTTTTTTAATTTGGTTTCCTTTTCTTCTGTAGGTTGTTGACTGTTTAAACTACTTCTTATAGGAGCATGTTCTTTGGAAAGTTCAGGATTAAACTTTAAGAAAGAAGAACAAGCCATCGCGTCGTGCACTATGCCTTCATGCCACAGGAAGGAGGCAAAGACTGCCCTGGCACACTCGGCCACGGAAGGGGACATGGCTTGTTTGGCGGGCTCTAAAGGTTTGGCTCCGTCTCCTTTGAAGAGAAAGTTGGATTTTTCCTTTTTGGGCCTGGTGTGTCTATTAGCACACTTTCGACTTATTTTAGGGGATGCTCTCATGTCTTGTTCCTCTTTCAGCGGGGCTTTTCCTATGCTGAAATGAACTTTATTTGAACCTTCATCCACATTCTTAAATTCACTGCTTTCATCACAGGTGCTATCTGTTAGACTGTTTGTTTTTAACGTACTTGAAGTGCAGACTTCCACCACCTCACTGTGAAGGTTTTCTTGTACCACATGGGGAGAAGGAGCTCTATTTTCAGATCCGGGGGAATCTTTTGAATCCTTTGGTACTGGTTTTGGTTTTGGTGATGTTGACCGTCCCCTTAATGGTTCTGTGAGAGGCATTTTCTTCTTGCGGAGGGTGTCTGGATCAAGTGTGTAAGAGTCTGATTTGGAACGTTCCCGAGGAGGATCAAGTTTTGTCTTAACAGGAGCCGTGCTTTTTTGAGGTAGATTTTTATCATGTGGTGAGGAGGAGCGGGGAGAACTAGCACCAGATGGGCTAGACCTATTGGCGGGGAGAGTCTTTGGCTTAGGAGACGATGACCGAGAACCTGGTCCCGGGGATTCAGCTCTGAAACTAGAAGACATCCTCCCATCAGATTTCATTGTCTGCAAGGTGTTATGGTTGGGGGACAATGACCTACTATGAGAATCTGACCTCAACTTTGCAGCATCAGATTTCAACATGAGGGATTCACTAGCTGATAAACCGTCTGTACCCCTTGGTTTCTTTTGATCAGCAGTAGTCCGGCTCATACGTCCATCAGGTTTAATGGATCTGCTGTGTTTGGAGGACAGTTCTGATTTTCCTGACGTACAGACTGGTCTAGAAGATGTTGAGATAGTTCCTCGGTCACCTGTTGTGGTCCATTTCATAGTAAAATTTGTTAATAAAATTATAACTTACTGATAATTTAGCTACTAAACACTGATTTTAAAAATCATGACTAAAAAGATTTATATTGCTTATCACATACAAAAATACTTGAAAAATAAAGGAAAAAAAAGGAAAATATTTTTTCATAAAATTGCTATTACACCACTATACAACCATTTCCATCAAAAACAATTTTCATGGATGCAAAACAGACTCAACAAATAGTACCTATGCACCAGTATAAGTTATCCATCATAGCTGAACCTCAATCTTAGTACAATAATTAGTGAGAATTTAAATTCAGTGAGGGACTAGAAAGAAAAAAAAATAACAATTTTTTTGAAAAGAAATGTTAAGAAAATATGTGTTTTTTAAGTATGGTGTAGTTGAGCAAAATTTCCAATAGAGTGGTATCTCACATCCTTCTTAAGGAATGTTAATGGTATAGGTCTTGTGGAATTAGGAAACTAAATTTATAAATACATTGATCATTTTCAAGTCTATAAACAGATACGATTAGGTTAATAAAGAGTTGCTTAGGAAACACACTATTTTAATGTTTGGATTACAATAGTTCATAGTTAACATATGAATGCCCAAAGGTATTATTTAATTACATGTAATTCAGGCAGTCTACTGTTTATAAACAGATTGAACTCTGAAAACTTATCTAGCTCATTAAGCTGAGCTGGTTAGAGCTTTGAGCTCATGTCACCTTGGAATAAAAGATCATCCTCAGAATTGGTAGCCCATGTCTAAATTGTGGGGGACCCTGATATATGGATTCAGGAAAATAACAGATAAAAAAATAATTTGCCTCTTTCCCAGTACAAACGCTAGATATTTCTACATGGGCACCATTGTTTTTGGTATCTGACCCTACTATTTCCCACTTTCCTTTGAGACATTAGAGGCATTAATGGTCTTTGTTACCATTAAGTGGTACAACCTGCGACACTACCTTTCTTCCCTAAAATAAAAAACTCCCAGTCTTAGTTAGTTGTTAGGAGGAAAGCAATCTGATTAAAGTGACACATGTGGTGTGAAAAACTGAAAATCCACACACCTTGCTAGAAGTGTTCATGTTTTTAAAAATGGTACTGAGCAAATTCAGATAAATCTGTTAACTCGTTACAATGCAGGTATTTTTTTAAGGGGGAGAAAGAATGTGAACAACTTGAATAACACAGGGAAATGTTTTTCCGCTTGCCTGCCTGCGTGTGTGTGTGCCTGTGTGTACAAGTGCACCTATGTTTTTGTAGGCACACTCTAGGTATCCACAGGTCAAGGCAGTGTTGCCACAGAATCTGCCCTTCTGAAGGAAGGTTCACAAGAACTGGTATTATGGGCTATTACTTTTCACTGATGTAATGTCAAGAATGTGTTCTGGAATGTAGTAAGTGCTCAATAAATATTTGTTGAACGAGTAAATGAATTCCTATTTTCTTAATGTTTCTTCTTGTGCTAGTCCCAAATATTCAGATTCTCTAAAAATCTGCTTTTTATAGTATGGCCCCCAAGGCCACAGGGTAGAGGTGACAGTAACCACTGTTGTGTAATGGGGTCAGATGTTTGCAAGTTAAGTAATTCTGAAATAACAAAGTATGGCTTAATAGCCTACCTAGAGCATATTTTATCTGCAATGTGCCAGTGTTTAGAATAATTATTCATTCTTTCAATAAATAAAAGTAACTACTGAATATAATGCTCTTCAGTTTTTTGCAACTCTTTGTTGTCAAAAATTTCATTTATCATACATGTGTTCTTTTTATAAAACCAGTATAAGGGACGCGCTCAATTCAGAGGAAAAGTGGTGGAAAAAACCACAATGTAAAAAAAATCCAGATAATTATGCTGATTCAGCACAGATAAAAAGATGTTACAATTTTGTTATACAAGTGCTTTCAAATTGTATAAAAGTAGGTTAAGAAACTGGAGTCCATCTTATAGATCTAGTAATAGAAGCACAGAAGAATTTTATAAACAAATACACTGAATGAAGTAGAATTAATATTAGCCTAAGTCCCTGCCACTAATTTTGGGTGTGTAATATTATAGAGTACTAATTTTTTGTTGTTAATCTGATAGCTGGCAATGCCTTCATCATCACATTTATTTTGGAAGCTGAACCATATATAATGGTGAATCGAGACAAATAAGTAGTTAATCTTTTATATCTGATACACCTTTCTCTAAAAGATCAATTTGTGAATTGAAAGAGGTTTCCTTTCTAAATTAATGGTGCTTAATTTCTTATAAAGAAAGTCTCTCCTCTGTGATTGTTTGAACAATGAAGTCTTTCAAGTATCAGGAACACCATTTGTCATGTGGTAGCAAAACTGTTATACAGAAAGGGTTAGAGAGTACAGGCATCTGTACACCTTATTTTTATATCCCTAGTAGTGGCGAAGATTCTCTTTCACTCTGTAGGTGGTGACAGCTGGAGTCTGAGTGTGTGAAGGTGGTGACCTGTTGTGAGTCCAGGCACAATAATAATGTGAAATTATTTCTTCCTAAGATTTGTAAGATTATCATTAAACTTTTGAAAAATTTACTTTTCCAAAATTCATTTCATATCTATTTTTCAAAAGAAAATGTCTAGTTTGTTATGTGTGGGAAAGTTATATGCTAAATGATGTTTTCTTCTTTATTTGGGTTTCTAAAGTTTTGAGGCATGTAGTAAATATTACTAATAATTGCCGTGTTATGGCTGCTTGAAATATCAATAAACATAAACAAATATTTTGTTAAATATCTTTAGAGCACACATAATCTTTCACATTCATCACTTAACTAATTCATTATTAAACTAATTTAATGATTATATTTATCATATATAAGTTTAAGCACAAATGGGCAATATATTTTTTAACCTCAAATGAATTCTAAAAAGAAAAAAATACAGGGTAGGATAGAAATTAAATACATTCAAACAAATTAGTAAACATGTTTAAAGTTAAGTATTCATTCATCAATGACCTGCATAATTATTTTTATGCCAAAATTACATAAGTCCTCATGTTATTATGATACCATACTATAATATACCATAATATAATACTACACTATCATATTATATGCCATAATATATAGTCTGTATCAGGTTATATAACACCATGTGCCACAGAGATCAGGTTATATAAGACTAGTTTCTATGTGACTATTTATTATACTATAATATTCTATATCACTATCAAGTGTATAAAGATAAAATGTAAAACTGATCCATTTCTAAGAAAAAATAAATTACTTGAAAAACTTATACAGTACTTTAGTCATTGCTACAACACTTTTTGACAAAATTTCTTAAAATATAGGATTTTAAGTTTAAATATTACTTTCAGACAAAATTATTTAAGTAGGCACTTTAAAAGACTAAAAACATTTTTAAATTTTATCAATTTTATCAGTTGTCAATATAGTTTAAATATTACTATGTTTAAAATTTTTAAGCTAAGTGACTAAGAAAAAACTATAAGGAAGACTCATGCCAGACAGAACAGGTAACTGATAACTAAGTTAAACTTAAAAAAAAAATTTAACCTAATTATCGAAGTACTTCTCATAAAACACTGAAATAGGAAAATAATTTTTGCATTATAGAACAGAAAAATGACTTAAAGACTAATCTGTCACATAAGATACTATATATTCTTATAGGTCATGATGTGCCTTATGGCTTATATACAGGGTGGGGCAAAAGGAGGTTTACAGTTGTTCATATGGAAAATGACACAATTAATTAATAATATAAGTTCTGCATTTCACATACTCACAACTGTAAGCCTCCTTTTGACCCACACTATATATATCGTCTTGTTCTGAAAATTTTACAACTCCCCAAAGCAGGCACTTCTCTCTACACACTATCTATTTTCAGACCTCATACATGTTTAAATTAAATAAGAGTAATATTTAGCCTATAGATATAGTCAACATGCATATCAGGATAATCAACACTATAATACTGAACAGATAGATCACAAATTAACTCCAAATATAAAAAGTTAAATGAATAAGCTTTAATCTTAAAAAATGGAATGGGATGAAAATGACTGCGGTGAATCGTAACTTCCTCACTGAAACCACCTATGTTCACTAAGCATGGCCCGTCCATGACGGCACGCATACCCACCCTTCAGTTTGTGAGACAGAGATGAAAGAGCAGAGGCAGGCCCAGCTACACCATAATTTTTGTAAATGCGCTCACGAGAAGCAAGGTTGCGAGATGGAGATTCTACAGTGGAAAACATTGGCAAAGAAGCAGCACAGATTCAATGGAAAAAAATTTAGCAGAGAACACAAGCAGAAACAAAGCATTTCAAATGATATGTGTGACAACTGTTATTAAAAGTTTATATTCAGCTAGATTTTTCAACAAGTTTATATTTCTTTAAAATTAAAACTGAAAACAAGTGTCATATTAATTAATTTAGATTAATAACGACGGCTTCAAATGTGGTAACTTAAAAATCAAGTAAGGCTCAGAGCTCTGATAAATCAAATTTGAGCGTTTCTCTTTATACTAATACTTCTTAAACTTGGTTTTCTTTAATTTGGTTCTCACTTACTTACAAATAAAAATTTTTAAGTAAAAGTTTTGGGGGCGTAAACAGTGGGAAATAAATTCACTTACAGTTTAACCTACTGCCCCCTAAATTTCTATATGGACACGTGACTATGATTCTTCCACTATGTATCTCAGAGTGGGCTCAAGTTGACATTATGGTTATCTATTTTTCTGAGTTCATCTTCAGTGAAAAATGCTAGCACTAATCCCAACATTTAGTGTTTACACTTTGTAGATCCTATTACTGAGGCACCATATTTTGTTTATAAAGCTTCACAATACAAACAAAGCAAAGAAAATTCACAAGTCACTGAAAAATGTTAAACACATTCATGATTTACCATGCATAAAATGAAGTACTTAAAATTAAATAATTTATCTTGTAAAAAGAATAGAACCTTTAAAGATAG